TGCCACCCAGGGAGTGCATTGTTCAGAATGCAATGGATGCTGTAACACTTCATCAGGAGGATGTAAACCCCAGTAGCAATTGTTCTTGGAACAAACTTGTCCATTCAGGAAGACATGTGTGTAGGAGGATCATCAACAGCTTTGTTCGCCAGATTGAATTGTGCATAGAGATGAGATTTGCAGATTTGGGGCATGTTTTGTAAGGAGCTGTAGTTTTTGACTCAATTGGTAGATTATTATTAAACTTTCACAACAAAATTCACATTGAATGAACTAAATAATTCTGAAATTTCAAGGCAAAATATGCAAAATTGACAGAGTTATTCAACTTTCTTACGGTCCTGTTTTTTTTGGACACCCTGTATATATATAAATACTGACAAGATACAAATTAAATAAGACTATTTCAGAAAATTGCTCCCTGGATCTGTTTCTCTTTTTAACCTGATGAATACACATAAATTTTAACTCATTTTGTTTTTCTTTTGATCTTACATGCTACATAATGTGCATTGCTTCTTGTTGTGACATTAAACTGTAAGCATGAATTAAATGCAGCTAAATAAAAATCTTAAGGGATATTATAGAGATCAAAACAATATAAACAAGGCACATGCCGTGAACAAGATGACACACTTCAAAATTACCACCAAAAAACAAGATGGCCACCTTAGAGTTAATCAACTCTAGAACTTGATATCCTATATAATGTGTGCGAATTTAGAGAAAATCCGATGAGTAAATGTTTTATTAAACCAGCAAAAAATATTTAGCTTAACAGAAATATTAGATAAGAAATGGCTGCAATAGTAACTTGAAATCAAAGTACACGGGCATATAAAAAACTAGCTAGAAAAGCCCCCATTAACCATATTCAAATACATAATAAATTGTCAAATAAGCTATCAAACACATTATTGTCAAATAATATGTGCTCTTGGCTGTTTTAAACTATTATAATGGTCATGTAAATTGTGTGGTCTCATAATGGATGATTGTTATGCATCATTAGAATTCACTGTTAGACCCTATGACTGTTTTGTCAAATATCCTGAGGAAAATTAATTTTGTCCCTTTATTTCATTTTTAAGATGTTGAGACCACGTACAGGGTGTAATTTTGTTTATATCTGAGCAATATATTTGTTTTAGATCATGTTTAGTCTGACCAAAGGATCTTACAAACTTAAAATAACTTTTTATCAATATGAATTTTATTTTTCTGAAGATCTCTGCATCTATTGCATTCCCTTACTCATTCATTTCTGATCATTAGCTTTAGTCTGAGACCCAAACCTAATGAAGCATGAAAGCATCCCCCATGACATCACACAATCCACAAGATCAATTTTTTTAAATAGTAAAAGCACCTTAACAACATATTCAAGTTAACATTTTAATGTGATTGGTAATCTATGAGAGGTTATTATGAATGTTAGGTTATTATGAATGTTAACATGAATGTTAACATGTTAGGTTATTATGAATGTTAACATGGTTAATTAGACTCATTCTCTCAATTTCTTTTATTTGCCACAGGTGCCTTGATTTCCATTTACTATGGCAACCATTTGTTATTCGATGTTTCTATTAAACTTAATATTCTTTAAGACATTCTATGCTGCACATTCAGTGAAAATACAATAAAATACATAAAAATTAAAGAAATTAAAGAAATATTATGAGAACTTTGTGATCAACCTTCGTTTGTTAAACATGGATCTTTTTTCATGTCATTGTGAACCTTTATGTGTCTAGAAATTGAAAATTGAATTGAAATTAAAGTTTAGGAATTCTATTAATATTATATTAATACCATGCTGTAAATTGGGTTTTTTATGTCCGAAGCACTGCTCAAACAAATTCGCTTTTTGTATCTATTTAATTTCAACAGATGATAAAGTTCTCGATCTTAAATATTACCCTCATAATGACATTGTTGTAACATGTTCTATGTAGCAGCATCCTGTTTCCTGCATAAAATGGAAGAACATATATTTGCTTGAGATAGTAACATATTGTCTTAAAACATTCTAGCAAGTTGTGCTATGTGGCATCCCACATTCTGTATTCTCAACAAATATATCATCCTCCTAAGCAGGTATCCAGAATCCGTACCTCCTTCTTCCCCCCCCCCCCCCCACTGTAACCAATTTGGAAGTGCCCGATTAAAATGAATCATTTGATCTAATTATGCGCAATGATGTATACATGACAGCCAATCAGATTTCGAGTTCTTAATCGGGGAAATGCTAATTGCTTATCGCAGGGGGTAAAATGAAAGAATATATTCTGGATTTTGAAGCCCTGTGATCGGAGGATGCAAACATATATACTAATTATATAAGAACTAAACAATTAACTAATGATGAAATTGATTGTATGTTCGATACACTTACTACCAGTATGGTGAATAATCAGACTTGCATATACCGAAAAGGAAATTCCCAAAACACATAAAACCGTTCTCGAACGATTCTGGGAAGACTTGTTCAGGAACACAATGCTGCTTGGCGGGAGTGGACACGCGCAGGCCACCCTAGGGACTCATCTAACCCCATTTGGGAACGGTATAAATCCGCTAAAAGGAACTTTCAAAAAGCATACAAGTACGCAAGATATGAATTCGAAACAGCAAAATTGAATTAGAATACCAGATCGATACAGCAAAACTAATGTTCATATGGATGTTACTGAGTTTGCCTTGCAATGATATATACAAAAGACTGTTGATTTTACGAATGACACTAATGGAATTTGATTTTAAAGGAATTAAAATGACATCCCCAATCGCACACATGTGGTGCATGGCCAGGAAATACGATCTTTCCGAAATTGTAAAACTAATGTTAGATAAGAGAGTAACATATTGTCTTAAAACATTCTAACACATCTAAAACAGCCCGCATTCTGTATTCACAACAAACATATGGTACTAGAGTAATAAATGTGTATAAGAGAGTAATAAACTTAAAACATTCTTGATATAGCGGTATGAAGCCAGAGTGAGCTAAAAAAGGTGACCCAAACGAATCACACATCTACTACACTAGCTATTTGATGAGTGTGCATACTATATTCTGTAATTTCATTGGTTTATTGAAACTGTTTCTGTCTTGTGAACCCACTCATCCCCTTCGCCTTGAGCCACCCCCCCCCCACTCTTCGTTATAAACCAAACCACCAGGCCAGAGAAAATTGGACCCCATTTGGTAAATCATATCTACTATCTTGGAGGAGCATCAGAGAGTTGAAACAAGAGAAGGATGATTAGAGCCATTACACAAGATATTTGTGAGCATCGAGTCACCTGGTGCGTTCGAATTAGCCTCCAGAGATGAGAAATAACCATAAAATTTTGGTCATTTGAGGTAGACCAATGAGACTTGGTAGAATGAAACAAGGTAGGCTGAGCAAGGTTAAATTGTGCCAAATATGATTTTAAACCCATGCTGAATGACTGAATTATCAACAATTGTTTTTGGTTACCTTTTTTGGCTCACCCTGTAGAAAACAGCAACCTAGCAGATAAGCAAATCCCACTGAACAAAACAGTCTATTAAATTTCTAGTCATTTTGGACTTTACATGATCCTAATAACCAGGGGCCCCTTTTTGTACCATTCGTAGTCAAAAATGTTCATCAGTCTATTGTTTAATTTACAAATTTCATTAAGTTTCAAAATCTACATCCATGATCTGGGAAACTCTGTCAACAGGTATTTTAGTTATCACATCTTACTTTTCCATGAAAAATGGCAGCTATTTTGAAATGAGTAGCAATATTGAAAATGTCTTCTTGAACAGAGGTCCAGAGATATTAGCTTAAAAATTCTGAACCATAAATGGCATTTGAAAATTAGCAGCCATATTGGAAATTTCCTTTTGATAAATAGTGGTTATCTTGAAAATCTTGAATCTTGAAGAGCTCCCTTGTCCCTAGGTATTAGCATATGAAACCAAATCTGTCCACTGATATTTGAGTTATTGAAGATTATGTTTTTTCAGCTTTCGGCTATTTCAGCTGCTATCTTGAGGAGAGCTCCTTTATCTCTAGGCATCACTGTATAAAATTTGAACCAAATCAGTCTTCTGGTATATGATCATCAAAGATGGTTTTCTACGGAAAAAAGGCAGCCATTTTGAAATTATGTGCCCATCTTGAATATTCCTAATCAAGCACAGATTTTGTGTCAAACACTGTCCACTGGTATTTGAGTTATCAAAGATAAAGTTTTTTTTATGAAAAATGATGACCATTTTGAAATTCAGCAGCCATCTTGAAAATTTCATCTTGAGCAAAGCTCCTTTGTACCTCGGCATCAGCATATAAAATTTGAACGAAATCTGTCGACTAGTATTTGAGTTACCAAAGATTATGTTCTTTTATGAAAAATGGTGGCCATTTTGAAATTGAGCTGCCATTTTCAAAATTTCTTATCAAGCAGGCCTTCTGTGTCCCTCAGCATCTGAACAAAATCCGTCTACTGGTATTCAAGTTACACTCTTTTACGAAAAATGGCAGCCATTTTGAAATTCAGCAGCCATCTTGGAAACATCTTCTTAAGCAAAGCCCCTTTGTACCTCGGCATCGGCATATAAAATTTGAACTAAATCTGACATCTGGTATTTGAGTTATCCACGATTATGTTCTATTACGAAAAATGGCATATAAAATTTGAATCATATCCATCAACTTATATTTGAGTTATCGCCTGGACAAATGGACGGATGGACGGACGGACGGACGGACAGCTTTCCTATATCACCCCCTAGAATTTCGTTCGGTGGGATAATAACCTGGTAACCATGTGATTAGACAGCTTTATAAGCAACATAACCGTAACATATTCAACAGCATGAAAATTGTCTATTATGTTAGTCTAACATACAACAATAATGCATTCAAGTTTCTGTCTCAGTCTAACACTAACTTTTTGTATAATCCCATTTGTGGATAGTTACAAGTATGTTGGAATACCACTAATGTGGACCAGTCATTTCATGGAATTCTTAGGACCATCTAGAGAGCTGATAAACAGAGGACATGAAGTGTATTTCATTGTAGCTTCAAACTGCATGATTCCTAGTGATGTCACAAAATCTGGTGTGAAAATACTGACGTATGCTTCTACTGGAAATGAAATTGGAGCAACGGAAGAATTTCAGAATGATGCAATTAAGTCCATCATCAATGGTGATGATAATTTATTTAGGAAACACACGAATAAAATAAGGATAAAACAAGGTGACGGTTTATTCAATGATAAAGCTCTGTCTGAACGAGTGAAATCTCTGAATTTTGATTATGCGATTGTTGATGGTCTCCTTTTCGATCTATATTTGATGCTGTACCCACACAAGTTAGGCATTCCGTATATTCCTTTGACAGCTGCTCTTGGATTACACTGGGACGTAGGGGTGCCACATATGCCTTCGGTATATCCTAATCAGTTCACAGACTTCCCAGCTGACATGAACTTTCAACAAAGGGTAGCGAATTTATTCATGTATATTATACTGCCATATGTCACTAATTCCTTAAATAACAATCCGGATGACCTCATGGAGAAATATTACCCAGAAGCCCCACCAGGCACAACTATGTTGGGAATATTCCGGGATGCCGATCTTTGGTTAATTGATCAAGATCCAATACTTTCTTACCCTCAGCCTACTGTACCCCATATGATATTTGTCGGTGGTTTAACAACATATCCAGCAAAACCCCTTGAGGCAAACATCAAAAACTTTATTGAATCATCCCAGCATGGCCTTATTGTGGTATCATTTGGGACTTATATGGTTTACCTGCCTATGGAGTTGACACAAATACTGAGTGACGTCTTTTCAAATTTAGAGCAACAAGTAATTTGGAGATTTAAGGGAAAAGCACCGAAATCTGTTGGAAATAATGTCAAACTGATGGAATGGATTCCACAAAATGATATCCTAGGTCATCCCAATACAAAACTTTTTATTGGACATGGTGGGAGTATAGGTCAATACGAAGCTGTTTACCATGCTGTCCCAATGATTTCTATACCTTGTATGCCTATTGATCAGAAACATAATGCTGTGAGAATTGAACATAAAAACTTTGGTATTGGACTATCTTGGGCAACATTAACAGCTGAACGATTAAACGATACAATAAACAAGATTTTGATGAATCCAAAATATTCAACATCAATAAAAAGAGCTTCCCGTATGTTCCGTGATCGACAATCGACGCCGCAAGAACTGGCAGCCGATAGCATCATCCATGCAACCAAATATGGAACAAAGCATTTACAGACTCGAGCAAAAGAAATGACGAAAATCAAATTCTTTATGCTTGATATACTGTTTTTGTTCTCACTGATTGCCATAGCAGTTTGTGTCATACTTTGGTTTCTATTAAAACGTCTGGTCCAGATGGTTATTAAGAGACAGCTCAAGGCAAAAACTGACTGAATGTTATACCTTAGCACCTTAACACAATGATGATATTTTTACTAATGTTAATATCAAAAAAAGTATGAGATGTTAAATTGTGGATAAACTTTTATTCCTGGCTCAAGAAATAGAAATACTTCCTAGTATCAAGAAATAGCATACTCTCGGGTCCAGAAAATTCATACCGTATGTAAGTTGCTTTAAAGGACTGACTGCGCTTCAGTGAACTAAATTCAACATCGTTTTTCTCTTAAATCAATTATCAAAAGAAATCTAAAAAATACACATTCTCAATGTAATAGACATTAATTAACAATACAATTTGAAAAATACAGTATTTATATACAAATCTTATATATCTGAATTTTATGTAATTGCTTAAGTAAACATTAAACGTTTTTTTTGGAATGATCTATATGAGATGGAAAACTGGTCCAAAATGAGGAAACTACAGTTTAAACCAGGAAAGAACTGTGAAGTTATTTTCCATAAAATTAGAGCTAATCTTCTAAATGGAAGCAAATCAGATCTAAGTATCTCTGAAATTGAAAAGAATGTTCATACACTAAGTAGACAGAGCCGATGAAAAATATTTGATCGGCAGGAATGAGCTTTTGGTTCGGAGTTAACGGTCATTTTGAATTCATTCCTTAGTAGCACATAACCTTAAATTAAATGTCTTCAACTCGAGTGATCATTTATTAGAGACATTTTCATCAGCAATAACCTGAACAGTTCGTATAGAACTAAAATACCCATCGCCGACTAGTGAAATCGGCTACAATAAAAAGAGTATCAAATAGTTATGACAATTTTCCCAATTTTTCACGTTAAAGCGAATGTAAAGAAAGGTGGTTGCTTCACTAAGGCTTTCTAACTCTTCAAAGATGCATATTTGTTGTCTATGAAAAGTACATTCATATCCCTAGAGAATGCACTAAATCTCTCACTTTTGCACAAAAAGGGGAAATTGACATCACAACATTATTAATGGTCATTATTTGACCATTCGGCAAATTAACCGCTCAGATTAAATAAACCACTTATACAATATTTTTCATTCATATTGGTTTTTCCATGCATTTGCAATCAATATCAATTACCTTAATATAAGTGATGTTACATCCATAAAAGAAATGAATAAAACAATTTATTTTCGAAAAATTATTCAAAAATAAATCACGGGATAAAAATAAATCATATGATTTTTCTTGATATCAATTTTTCGCAATCACTTCTAGCATTTCAGAATGAAAAATATTCAATTCGGGCAACACTCCAGTTGTTCAAAACAACTGAATGTCCCCCATATGTTATGAAATGTGACTTGGTTTTGACCAATCAAAGAATGGGAAGCAGGACGATTGCAATACAAGGCATTAACATACAAAATGTCACCACCTGCCATTTGTTCAGATGCGTTGTTACAGATGCCATGTACAGATACCAATCACAAACCACCATCCACAAAATTGTTTGAGACTATAACAATATGGCACCACTTGATTTGGTGACATAATAATATGACACCACTTGGTGTGGTGACGTAACAATATGACACCACCTGATGTGGTGACATAACAAGCATGAAGATATTCGGTAAAATTTGGCACTTACTGTAATGTGGTCCCAGTTCTGCATAAGGAAGGTATCTGCCTGGTCAAATATCAGGACTTCTATACTGGATAAGAAGTCATAGTCTCGCTTTTCTTCCCTGAAAAAACAAAAATCAAGTCAGGTGTTTTTTCCAGTCGTTTACCAAATGCTGACCGCAAAATAATTTCGAGGCTATAACAAATCACCACTTCTGGTGGTGACATAAAAATATATGGAAAAGTCTGAAGTTAGTCTAAAAGAAGGCTTACCCCTCAGATCCTATGATGGTTCTTAGTCCCAGGGGCGAGGCAAGGATGATATCAGCTTTGTAGAACTCTGTATACAGCTTCACACTCTTTTTTGCAATACCGATACCCACACGAAAGTGATCATCGATATTGCCTTCAAACATCGCCTCAAAATCATCTGAAACACAACAGAATATGTAAAAAGCATGATCTTATATGTTGAAATGGCAATTTAGAGTTTGCAAGATTTTTACAACATTTTTCAGAGGTTTTCTTCGTAGCAGTATATCAACTGTCTTTCTTTACTTATTTCATATTTAAAAAAATAAATACATGGCTTGTCGCTTGCTAACTAGAAGAAAATTTAAAACACAAAAAGTCAGAGACGGCACAACAATATGTCACCACCATAGAGGTGAGGCATACATATAAATTCTAACATGTCCTTTTCTCTAACCTGGTCTGTTGGCTCTCTTTGACTCCTCCTCTAAAGTGGTGAACTCTTTATCAAACCTCTTTCTGTTATTAACGAAACTCTGCAAATGAAATGATGTTACAATACGGTTTTACGTTAAGCTAACCACCATGCTTGTTTTGTTGAAGGAGTTGGGTAAGATTATCACTGTCATTAGACGTTGACAAAACATCAATTGTGCTAAAAATGATGCAGGAAATGATCAAATATCTTAAAAGTAACATTTTTAAAACAAAATCATCAAAACACTTTATGTAGTTGTATGAACTAGCTGTACAAGCTAGCTTCATGGGCTAGATGCATAAGCTAGCTGTATGAACTAGCTGTATGAGACAATGGGTAGCTACCTGTTTATCATCTGCCAGTAGAGAACAAAGTGTGTTCACTACTTGATATGCTGCATTACGGAACGGCAGAACTACAAGCACCTTAGGTCGGGTTAACCCCTGATCTCTATATTCACTGAAATAAAAGACAAAATATTCATCTTTTTATCATTTGAATGATTGTATGAATACATACAGGGTGAAACATTAAAATTGAATATTTTTGACCCAAACCATGCTTTATAAATCTTGAAAAGCACCCACTCATTTTGTCTCAGCTCATGCAGAGAAAAATTTGAGATTGGTACGTTTTAACCATGTTAGATCCACATACTTCTTCATTACAATTCGAACAATCACTAAATCTAACCATCCACTATCCATCTTAAATGAGCCATAAAAACCTTGTGAGGATCATTTTGTCTAGAATAATACATTGTGGTTTATACTGTAGATGCATGATAAAAAAATACTCACTCTGGGATATCATCTTTCTTTGATTTTATCTTTGAATTGTGGGTAATAACCTTTGACCTGGTTCTGAAATGTAAAAGTAAACAACTTACATACATTGTATAGTGAGTTGTATAATATCCTGTATCTGCTGTACCAAATATGATGCTTTGCTGTAAAATGTTCTACTGAGATAATAATACTTATTTATTTAAAAGAAAACAAATTAATTTAATATAAATTGAATCATATAAAGGGTAGAATCTGTGTAATGCAAACGCAACAGGGACCCACCAAAAGTGTTCAGATTTGATGTGTTCGCATTTTAAATTGTAACTAGAACAGTTTTTTTTAGTATAATTTGAAAAGAAAAATTCATAGCTTATACTCACTTGAGTACATGGTTGAGTATGTGTAGACAATACGTTGTGCGAATTTCCTCCCATTGTGTATAATCAGCCTTTGTATACAATAAGTCCTAAACAATAAATACAAGGTATTAACATGCAAAATGTCACCACCTGCCATTTGTTACAGACAAGACTTTGAACACCAACTGCCAGATGCAGAACACTGTCCACAAAAAAGTTGAGACTATAACAGTATGTGGTGCTGACATAATAACATAAAAGATGGTCTATCAAAATTGATAGTTGTGAAAAGATAAAGTAATTTCGCAATGGTTTAACACCTTTCCCAAATAAAGAAATTTGAAAAAGTTGATTAGCTGAGAAATGAACTTATTATTGTAAATTTTTTATAATACTCGAAAAGTGCTCAATATGGTGAAAAACTGCATGATTCTAAAAGAATTTTTGATCAGATCACTCAAACCACCCTTCTCCTGCTACAGTGAACACGGTGGTATGATGAGCTAAGCCAATTGTGGATCATTAAATGCTCATATGCTGAGGTCTGGCTTGTACCCATCTAAAAGAAATGTTCATGTACATGTACCACAAATTGTTTTAGTAGACCCCTTGTACACATTCTCACCTGATAACTGTTGAATATATTGAACAATGGCTGTTGCAGTGCTGTCAAGGGACCTTCAGATGAGCTGTTTTCCAAGCAGGTTGAATTTGTCACCTTGAGATTTTTCATTAGTGATTCTTTCACCTGGAATTTCAAAATAATAAGTATATATACAGGGTGTCTCATATTTATACACCCCCTCTAAACTCATAAATGTCATAAGGAACAAAATGATAATTATATATACAGAGTGTCTCATATTCATACACCCCCTCTAAACTCATACATGTCATAAGGAACAAAATGATACATAGCATGATAGGGTGGCAATGCTAGGAGTTTAGAGGGGTTGCATATGAAACATCCTGTAGATGAAAGTAGTTAACTGTACATGTAAATGCATACACCCCCTCTAAACTCATACATGTCATAAGGAACAAAACGATACATAGCATGATAGGGTGGCAATGCTATGAGTTTGAGGGGGTGCATATGAAACACCCTGTAGATGAAAGTAGTTAAGTGTACATGTAAATTCATACACTTTTAAACACCTCTGCAAGAGTCGCTTTTGATGAATCATTATAAGCACCCATTTCCAAAATCAGAATAGCATATAAATCAAAAACATATTTTTAATAGGCAGAAAAAGCCTGATCAGTTTACTCGGCTCACCTCCACAGAACATAGACTTACATGCGCCGCAGAGAGATCATTTATTACTGGTGCAGCTACAGGTGAGAAATCTGCAGGTTGTGTGACTATACACTTTCCTATGTGAGGAATCTGAAATGGATCAAATATGTGTCCGTAATACAAACTCATTAGGGAGATATGGGATCTTATTTATCCCATTGAACCAATAGTTGGTATTTCAGGGGGAGTAAAATACTGTAGAATAGCCACTTTATGCTGAAAGGTTGGGAACTGAAGATTCCCATGGGATGGTCTGAAGGATATAATAACAGCTGAATACTAATAAAAAAATTAGACAACATCGCACGTAAATTCTCCCTAATCCGGATCCACTACATATTCAGGTTCTAAAATTCAATGTTCAAAATAGTTAGATTCAATTCAATTCAATTCAATTTGTGAGTGAATCATTTCATTGTGTTTTCCTTGAATTTACATATTCACATATCTAAGTTTATCATAAGCCAAACCTACCATTTTCTCTGATTTAGTCCATTTTGTTTTATCAGCAAGATTTTCAACAAATGCCTCAGGTATGTCGACCTCTATGTGCTGGCAGAAGGGATCTGAAACAAAAAACAAAAATTCAATCAAAACATCTTAACCCAGTGCCAAGAAAAGGGAAAATATCATTAAAATATGGTATTGAAATGTTTATAGTTGAATGAAATTGGAATTAGCAAGTCAACAAACAGTCCAAATTGTCCAGAGTAGCAGAAAAATTGTTCCTTCCCAGGATCGTTTCTCAACTTGGTGAATAATTCTCAATTTGTACCTATACAGATTTGAAAATTCGAAACTTGTCAAATCATACCAACTTCTAATATACATGTTTATGGGTTCTTAACTTGGTAAAATGTAATTTTTAACACAACCAGTAGTATCTTGCATCACTGTGCTTTATCTAAGGAATGAATAATGATCGGCCATTTAATATGGTGAAATCACAATACAACACAATGCATAGATTCCCAGATGCAGATTGCACAATGAACGGTTGTTGGCTATGCTGCATTCTGATTGGTTGAGACACTCAAGTAGAAAATAGTCATGCTTGAATTAAGGAATAAATAATGATAGGCCATTCAATATGGTGAAATTCAGCACGAGTTGGGCAGAATGTTGTACAAAGCACGAACCGAAGGTGAGTGCATTTGTACTAACATTCTGTCCAACGAGTGCTGAATTTCACCATATTGAATGGCCTATCATTATTTATTCCGATTCAAACATAAAAATTAGTAAAAGCCGTGTCTGTGGAACGGGCATGAAGGAAGAATACGCATGCTGTCAAGGTTCTGAAGTCGGCCGGAAAAATTTTAGAATTTGTTTGGGCTGTTCTATTTTACTCCCCGTTTTACTCACCGACTGCAAACTTGAAGTCAGCCATAGTTAAATAGTTACAGTAGTTACGGAGGGAGTAAAAAAGAACAGCTATCCCCGGACAGAGCCCCAGATGTGCAGCTGAGATGTGACGTCACTCAAAACAATGCAAATTGCAGATTGAATAGAGCATGGTCGTACATCTATGGAGAATTAGAGAACGTTCAATATTGGCTATGCTGCATTCTGATTGGTTGAGAAATTCGAATAGAGCACGGTCATGTTTGAATAATATTTTAAGCATGTTTATATATGTACCTGATTCATCATTATCTTGTTTTTCCTCAGCAACTTCATCCTCATCAGATTCACTCTCATCATCTTCCTCATCAATTTGTTCCTCATCTTCATCATCTGTATCCTCCTCTGCATCCTCCTTTTCCTCTACATCTTCATCTTTCTCTGCGCCTTCTTCTTCATCATCATCTTCTTCAGCAGCATCTTCAATATCATCTTCAGACTCCTCACTATCTTCACCGGATGACTCATCATTATCAATCTCTACAAATCAAGAAAAATATCATAAGTATTTTATTGAAATGTAGAGTAAGGGATAACAAGAACACTAATGTGTACAAAATGTCCCCACCAAGTGGTGATCCCGTGAAATGGTTATCCTGAAAATGAGTAGACAAGACTTTACCAACACAATTTGAGGACAGAAAATCCAAAGTGGCCACCTTAAAATTTACCCAGAATGCCAAAAATGTAGTCAGTTCTAGATTTTCATACTAAGAACCACCCCTGAAAATTTGAAATTGATCCGTCACACAGTTAACCAGAAAACATGTAAACAAGACTTTACAGACAAGATTTCAGGATGGAAAATCCAAAATGGCTGCCTTGACATTTACCCAGAATGTCAAAAAACTAATCTGTTTGTAGATTTTCATACTAAGAATCATCCCTGAAAATATGAAATTGATCTACCAAACGGTTCACCTGAAAACAGGTAGACAAGACTTTACAGACAAAATTTTAGGACAGAAAATCCAAAATGGCTGCTTTAACATTTACGCAGAATGCAAAAAAACTGATCAGATGTAGATTTTCATACGAAAAATCATCCCTGAAAATTTGAAATTGATCTATCAAACCGTTCACCTAAAAACGCGTAGACAAGACTTTACAGGCAAGATTTTAAGACGGAAAATCCAAAATAGCTGCCGACATTTACCCAGAATGCAAAAAAACTAATCAGTTCTAGATTTTCATACTAAGAATCATTCCTGAAAATTTGAAATTGATCTACCAAACAGTTCACCTGAAAACGAGTAGACAAGACTTTACAGACAAGATTTTAGGAAGGAAAATCCAAAATGGCTGCCTTGACATTTTCCCAGAATGCCAAAAAACTAATGAGATCTAGATTTTTATACTAAGTATCATCCCTGAAAATTTGAAATTGATCCACCAAACGGTTCACCTGAAAACGCGCAGACAAGACTTCACAGACAAGATTTTAGGACCGAAAAATCCAAAATGGCCGACAATAAAAAAGTCCTTATGAGTTTTTGCTGATTTCTTTTTACAAAATTATCACATATAACTACTGTTAACAATAAAGTAGGCTTTTACAACAAAGTACATCTGAAATTATTTATAAAGCTACTAAATAGTTAAAGTATGAAAACTCAAAAACACCATTCAATATGATACAAAGTATTATCGCGCGCTAACTTTTCTTAAGACATTCAAAATGGCTGACACGACTGAGCTAGCAGGTCCAAAACCTAATCAGATCTAGAATGAAGTGAGCTGAACAAGATTTTAAAGTTTTAAAAGCAACTGTGAAGCAGTTTTTCTTAAAGTTTGCAGACAAGGATTTTAGCATTTGACTTCAAAATGGCGGACAGGAAGTAGGTTTCGAGTTAAATTTTTTTCATCCACATCTATAGGCACTCATAAGTTATCCCTGAAAATTTGAAGGTGATATCTGTAGCGGTTTTGGAGAAAACTCCCGGACGTACGGACGGACAGACGGACGGACAGACGGACGGACGGACAGACAGTCGGACGCGCCTAGGCCGACAATATGGCCCCACACTATGTGGTGGGGACATAAAAAGTAGTATTTTTTTCGAGATATTGTTATTTGAACAAAGCCAAATATATTCAGTCTGAAAAAATATTGTAAGAGGTTTTTCTTCCAGTCAATTAACAATCAAAACAATGAAAGCAACCTTTTATTTCATTCAATATCTCCACAACCTTTTTATAGCTTAATGTTTCTAACATGAAGAACAATATGGTATCAATTGTGGAGGACCCGGGCTGAAAGCATTATCAGTTTGGTCATTGGTACCCCCTCCCCCCTCCTTACTAAATGTCTAATTAATGCTCTTTCCACTCTGCTGCAATAAATTCATAACACCATAGACTGACTGAGTGTCTTCAACCCACCTAAATCAGATGACTGTTCTCTACCATGAACAGACTTTAACAGCTGTTTATAGGCAAACTCTCACCTGAATCAGATGACTGTTCTCCACTATGAACTGACTTTAACAGCTGGTTATAGGCAAACTCTCACCTGAATCAGATGACTGTTCACCACTATGAACTGACTTTAACAGCTGTTTATTGGCAAACTCTCACCTGAATCAGATGACTGTTCTCCACTATGAACTGACTTTAACAGCTGGTTATAGGCAAACTCTCACCTGAATCAGATGACTGTTCTCCACTATGAACTGACTTTAACAGCTGTTTATAGGCAAACTCTCACCTGAATCAGATGACTGTTCTCCACTATGAACTGACTTTAACAGCTGTTTATAGGCAAACTCTCACCTGAATCAGATGACTGTTCTCCACTATGAACTGACTTTAACAGCTGTTTATAGGCAAACTCTCACCTGAATCAGATGACTGTTCTCCACTATGAACTGACTTTAACAGCTGTTTATAGGCAAACTCTCACCTGAATCAGATGAATGTTCTCCACTATGAACTGACTTTAACAGCTGTTTATAGGCAAACTCTCACCTGAATCAGATGACTGTTCACCACCATGAACTGACTTTAACAGCTGTTTATAGGCAAACTCTCACCTGAATCAGATGATTGTTCTCCACTATGAACTGACTTTAACAGCTGTTTATAGGCAAACTCTCACCTGAATCAGATGACTGTTCACCACTATGCACTGACTTTAACAGCTGTTTATAGGCAAACTCTCACCTGAATCTGATGACTGTTCTCCACTATGAACTGACTTTAACAGCTGTTTATAGGCAAACTCTCACCTGAATCTGATGACTGTTCTCCACTATGAACTGACTTTAACAGCTGTTTATAGGCAAACTCTCACCTGAATCTGATGACTGTTCTCCACTATGAACTGACTTTAACAGCTGTTTATAGGCAAACTCTCACCTGAATCAGATGACTGTTCTCCACTATGAACTGACTTTAACAGCTGTTTATAGGCAAACTCTCACCTGAATCTGATGACTGTTCTTCACTATGAACTGACTTTAACAGCTGTTTATAGGCAAACTCTCACCTGAATCAGATGACTGTTCCCCACTATGAACTGACTTTAACAGCTGTTTAAAGGCAAACTCTCACCTGAATCAGATGACTTTTCTCCACTATGCACTGACTTTAACAGCTGTTTATAGGCAAACTCTCACCTGAATCAGATGACTGTTCCCCACTATGAACTGACTTTAACAGCTGTTTATAGGCAAACTCTCACCTGAATCAGATGACTTTTCTCCACTATGAACTGACTTTAACAGCTGTTTAAAGGCAAACTCTCACCTGAATCAGATGACTGTTCCCCACTATGAACTGACTTTAACAGCTGGTTATAGGCAGACTCCTCGTCGCTACTAGAGTCTGATTCCTCCTTGAAATAAAACATACAGTTGTGATATCATGTTAATGAATAAAGTTATGTTATTGTTTTGAATTTCAAAAAACATTGTTTCTTTCATAAAATCTGGTATAAAGAATCACATTCATTATAGAGTTATTTACTGAAAAGATATCAAAAAAACTTTAGGTTTAAAAATGAAATTCCTAATGCAATGAAATAGCCATTCTATACCACTTGTACTTGGCGTTTGTTTTTGGGGAGCTTCTTTTTCTCTTGTTCATCCTCGACTTTCTGATACTTTGTTCTGTCTTGTTTCCTGTAGGATAAAATAATAATTAAAAAATTTTGTTCATATTTATTTTCAAGTTTCCAAATGAGACTGATTAAAATGTCCATGAACAGTTTCCCGAGATCCTATCTCCAGAGATTTTCATTTGTTTCCTTTTGTGCTGCTGTCAAGTGAAAGGATAGGGATCTTTACCCAGGCCCATAACCAAATCTGCTTTATTGGTCAGATAATGCACCAAATTATAATGGTTGTTCAAAATAAAAATTTAAGTGGACGGAGCGCCTAATCTCGCGAGAATAAAGCAAATCACGCAAAGGCTCGTGATTTTTTCGACCAATCAAATAGCATGAAATTTACCAAACCATTTCGTCCAGTGTTTCACACATGCACAGTAGAAATTGTCAATTTACTGAGCGGAACTTTCAATGGCCTGGAGAAATTTTACTCATGAGAATTGATGATTACTGAACACATATAGGCATAAGAGGTGAGCGACCCAGTTATTTTTGCGTATAAATGTTTCAAGAATAGCATGATATCAAATAATCTGTACATTATGCTACGATTCATTCAAAAATTGAATCTAGAGGACAGGTGACTATATTTTTTCATATTTTTTTAATTATTAGTAGCATAACCTGGTGTATAGTCTACCTCCTAGATGGAGGACTTCCCACTATGGGTCAATATAACCTACTTGAGATTTGTTTTGCTCATCGTATAGGAAAAGTAGTACTTAATACACTAGTTCGCTACTTTGTAGATGTATGGCACGTATATGTGTACATGTATTGGCAATTAATGTTTGGTGATAGCTAGTAGGAGTGTCAGGGACCGCTGACAGATTATTATTTTGAACCAAAAAATTGAATTATATTTTTGGCGGTCTCAGTAAATCAATGGGGTAATCAGGTCCTACGTGCTTTTTACAGGCCCAGAAATCAATGCTCGCTTATAAATGTAGCAAAATCTTTTTTCGTTCGTGGGATATTTTTTTCACCATATAACCGAACGGGAAGTTTTTGAATAGGACTACATGATCTGAATGGATGTGAGAATTCGATGGGCTGGGATTTGAGAAATTATGATTTGAACTTTGCCAATTTTACATGTATTCCAATGGGTGAAAAAGTAAGTTGCTTTCTACCTAATATCAACCACATTTATTAGTGAATTTCGAGAAATATGTCGAATTTAGCCATATTTCGCATATCTTTCTATGGAACCATTTAAAATTTTGCAAATTAACCACTAAAATTCTAGAGACGACGATCTAAATTTTGCTGAGTCAGCAATTTTCGTTTTTTCATTGAAAACAGTACTTTTCAGCCTAAATTGCTACATTTCTGCTCTCTTATCAAGTAATTTGATGCAGTTCTTGCCAAATTAAAGGAAACACACCCCAAACGTTCCACAGTGTGCGAAGTTCCAACATTTTGACCCTTTAAACCCACGAAAGACCCAATTTTAAAGGGACGTATTCAGTAAACCTGCACAAAAGACAATGCTACTTGAACTAGCCATCAGAAGTTCATGAAAAACGAAAAATCAATGATGTTCAGTTTAGTAAAGTAGCAAATAGTCCTACTTATGAGAGAATATAAATCACTTAAGCAATTTGTACAACTTTAAACAGCTGTTTTAAGTAGATTAGTATCGTTATGGGCAAAAATCCCCCAAAATAGCCCAAAATTTGTCCAAAAATTCAAAATTTTCATGCTCAAGGCTGAATTATTTGCCTATTTTGCTACATTTATCAGTGCAGTGACAAGAAGTCTTGTGGATAGCGCAACTTTTCCTGAACGTTTCTCTAATAAGATATTTTAATGACAAAATAACTACATTTAGTCTGGAATAAATTGTCACAAAATATAATGACCCCAGGGGTCAAGAGAACCCTATAAAATTAAAAGTGCTGAGGGGATTTGAGCAAAAATGTACATATCACTTCATAAAACCCCGAACTTTAAAATTCATATTGAATAAAATGCATATTCAGTCAACCATGACACTAATATCAACCACATTTATTAGTGAATTTCGAGAAATATGTCGAATTTAGCCATATTTCGCATATCTTTCTATGGAACCATTTAAAATTTTGCAAATTAACCACTAAAATTCTAGAGACGACGATCTAAATTTTGCTGAGTCAGCAATTTTCGTTTTTTTCATTGAAAACAGTACTTTTCAGCCTAAATTGCTACATTTCTGCTCTCTTATCAAGTAATTTGATGCAGTTCTTGCCAAATTAAAGGAAACACACCCCAAACGTTCCACAGTGTGCGAAGTTCCAACATTTTGACCCTTTAAACCCACGAAAGACCCAATTTTAAAGGGACGTATTCAGTAAACCTGCACAAAAGACAATGCTACTTGAACTAGCCATCAGAAGTTCATGAAAAACGAAAAATCAATGATGTTCAGTTTAGTAAAGTAGCAAATAGTCCTACTTATGAGAGAATATAAATCACTTAAGCAATTTGTACAACTTTAAACAGCTGTTTTAAGTAGATTAGTATCGTTATGGGCAAAAATCCCCCAAAATAGCCCAAAATTTGTCCAAAAATTCAAAATTTTCATGCTCAAGGCTGAATTATTTGCCTATTTTGCTACATTTATCAGTGCAGTGACAAGAAGTCTTGTGGATAGCGCAACTTTTCCTGAACGTTTCTCTAATAAGATATTTTAATGACAAAATAACTACATTTAGTCTGGAATAAATTGTCACAAAATATAATGACCCCAGGGGTCAAGAGAACCCTATAAAATTAAAAGTGCTGAGGGGATTTGAGCAAAAATGTACATATCACTTCATAAAACCCCGAACTTTAAAATTCATATTGAATAAAATGCATATTCAGTCAACCATGACACTAATAGGGTCAATATAACCTACTTGAGATTTGTTTTGCTCATCGTATAGGAAAAGTAGTACTTAATACACTAGTTCGCTACTTTGTAGATGTATGGCACGTATATGTGTACATGTATTGGCAATTAATGTTTGGTGATAGCTAGTAGGAGTGTCAGGGACCGCTGACAGATTATTATTTTGAACCAAAAAATTGAATTATATTTTTGGCGGTCTCAGTAAATCAATGAGGTAATCAGGTCCTACGTGCTTTTTACAGGCTCAGAAATCAATGCACGCTTATAAATGTAGCAAAATCTTTTTTCGTTCGTGGGATATTTTTTTCACCATATAACCGAACGGGAAGTTTTTGAATAGGACTACATGATCTGAATGGATGTGAGAATTCGATGGGCTGGGATTTGAGAAATTATGATTTGAACTTTGCCAATTTTACATGTATTCCAATGGGTGAAAAAGTAAGTTGCTTTCTACCTATCCGTGACTGATACAGCTACCATGTCAGAAGAATAGCACTGAATGTCAGATGAGAGTGTCAATGGTAACGCTATATCCATTGATTCATAAATGAGTCAAACTTTCAATATACCTATCATCGGCCGGGTGTATTTCTCCAAACTCTTCAAGATGTTTCTTCTGTTTTTTGGAAATATTTTTTGAAGCGAAATCAGTTGTTCCACGCCCTCGTTTTCTTTTCCCATCAGCTATTCTTCCCATTTTTGTTTTTCAATATATACATGAATAGTAAAAGTGTGCTATTGAGCGATTTGGTATGTTGATTTGTTCTTTATTACCGTAGAAATCAGTCAAAGTGTGGATTTTTAGAAAATTCTTCACATTATTTTCAAACTTTCGGCCCATGTGTTTACAGTCTACGTTTGTTACAAGAAAAATGATTGCTCGAAAATTATAAATTAACGAGATATGAACCAATCAAAATCTATTTATTAAAGTGAGTTTCGTGACGTCATGTACAGGAAACGTCCGCCATATTGATTATTTTTCAGAAAAAGTTCAAAATGAAATAAATACAAAGATTCTATCATTAATTAAGAATGCAACAGTCATAAATCTATCTTTATTACATACCTCAAGTATTTGACTATATTTTGAGAACAGACTTTTGATGTAGGAAACGACTAAGAGCACTAAAAACTGGAGTAAGGTGAGGTTTTGCTCCACAAAAGATTTTTTTTTTTTAAATAATTTTTGTTTCTCTTTTTCTCTAAACTTTCTGTTCAAATCACTTATGCTTAACTCAACTATTCTTATGTCTTTAATGCAATTAATATTTTATTCGCCATATAAAATAATTATTTCTCATTTCCTTCAAAAGCAGTATCTGTAAATTTATGGTTTAGAACTTTAAAAATTTCATAAGAATCTCGTTAATGAAATTTGAATTTCATGAACAAGATAAAGTGACGAATTTACATATGTTTGCGTTCCAGCCAATAGCGTTTCAACCTCATTTAAATAATGAAGTTGTTATATAAGGGTAATATCCCTTACTATCGGTCTATTTAGCGCTTTCGACAGAATAATATTAAAATAAGATTATCCCGTGGGAAAAACACATAATTCCATGATGGATGAAAATTATGTACTTGTTCATGAAATTTTCAATAAGGTTTTGTTTCATCTTACCATATACTGTATGTGAAACTGTTGATCTTCCTTCACTACTTGTGAAGTTATCTTAAGGTCTCATGGAAGTTAACAGGAAATGACAAAACAAAAAATGACAAAGCCATGCTGGATTTTGAAAATTTTTTGAACCAAGATAACAGAGTTCTGTTTGGACCTCCAGTCAGTTTAACTAGTTCCACATATCATTTACATGATCGGGAACACAGTTGAAATGGTCAGAATGACCATAAACATGATAGAATAACCTTTTTAGCCCTCTGAAAATGTGACTGAAAAATAGCTAAAAGTAGGTGCTCAGGAAAGGTCAATGAACAGAATCTTTTGATTTTTTCAGAAAATGTGTCCAATATATTGCTCTAAATGACACAATCTTTGAAATTTTAAAAAATCGTCTGAAACAATAATGGCTGTAGTAAAAAGGAAAATAGATCGATTTTCAATTCAGTTTTTTTCAATTTTTTCTTTTTCTAAGAATGATATCAAATTTTTTTGAATTGTATCATTTAGAGCAATATATTGGGCACATTTTCTGAAAAAGTCAAAATATTCTGTTCAGTGACCTTTCCTGAGCACCTACTCTAAGCTATTTTTTAGTCACATTTTCAGAGGGCTGAAAAGGTTATTCTATCATGTTTATGGTCATTCTGACCATTTCAACTGTGTTCCCGGTCATGTAAATGATATGTGGAACTAGTTAAACTGACTGGAGGTCCAAACAGAACTCTGTTATCTTGGTTCAAAAAATTTTCAAAATCCAGCATGGCTTTGTCATTTTTTGTTTTGTCATTTCCTGTTAACTTCCATGAGACCTTAAGTTGTTACTGTAATATACTTCGTTTCCTGTGAAGTATCATAATTCGATTATTTACAAGTCTATCGTAACATTCCGACAGGTCCTTCTCTACCACTTCCAGTGGGAGTAAAGTTTGATGCTCAATCATGTCCTTTGAGAGTACAATATCTTCTACCAGCACTTTGTGGGATTCCAAAAAGTTTATACATCGCCCTTTAGGCCTCTGTCCTTATTATGTTGAGTGAGTTATCCCCTGAAAGCATAACAATAAATAATTAATGTTATGTAATGTGGGAGGGCTGTGGAGGGATTATGTATGTAAATTCGTCACTTTATCTTGTTCATGAAATTCAAATTTCATTAACGAGATTCTTATGAAATTTTTAAATTTCATTTCACTCGCTAAAGTGACGAATTTACATATGCTTGTTCAAAGATAGAGCTCACCTCAAAACTAATGATGAGAAGTCTACAATTTCCTTTTTATAAAATTTGTGAAAAGTTTCAGCATTGGACCAGTTGGCAGTGTTGACAATAAACTAGATGCGAGTAGAAATAATCTTGATTTACGTCATTAAATATTCAAAATTCAGTCAAAGTGATGTCATATTTGAAATCTACATGTAAAAGTACATCTAGAAATATGGTTTCGAAAATTGTTTATCAACTTTGAAAATTTAATTTATTTTGAAAATGTGATTTCTAGTTCGAGTTGAATCCTCATGGACCCCATGTTACAAAGTCACAAAAAGTGAAATATCTTTTCTTGTAATCGACAAATATCATTTTCCTTTACTGGAAATTTTTTAATTAGCATAACTATTAGATACATGAGGGTTATATGAAAATTGAACCACCAAAACAGATGTAATTTAAGTTAAAGGGAACTTTCTACCATACCCGCCATGCTATCTGACCCGAACGAGCCACCTGGTGGTGAAATTGGTAACTACCTACTCGCATCTGCGTTATTGTATTGATCAACATGCCACTAGTCCATGCTTTTGAAGTAGCTGCAGATCTAGTAGAGTGACCTTTATAAGTTTTAGTATCTATACCTGCCTGTTCCATAACAGATTTGAGCCATCCTGCTATTGTACAAGTTACTACAGGATTGAATGGTCTAACATTTGATATGAACAGTCTAGATTTTTGTTGTTCAGTTTTCCTAAGTTCACTTGTCATTTCTAAGTAATCTCTGATACATTTGACAACATCTAAGTTGGGATTTTCTATGAAACTTTGAAAAATCAGAACATTATATGGTTTTTTGGGTGTTGATGTTTTGCAAAGTCCATCTGTGGGAGCTTCTATTTCGAACCCTTTATCAATGAAAAGTTGTGGATTCATTTTAGACAGTTCTGATCCTCGACATGCACTTGTTAGGGCCATTAACATGGATAGTTTTTGAGAAAGAGATTTCCTACTAAGAGTTTTATTATCTCCTAAGTCATTTATGTAATTCAAGACCAAACCTACATCCCAAGTATGACCATATCTTGGTTTTGGTGGTTTCGTGTTAAAGAAACCCTTCATTAACATGGAGATTGTTGGGTGTTGTCCTACCTTAATTCCCTCTATTGGTTCATGATATGCTGAGATTGCTGATCTATAGTTATTAAGAGTAGGATATTCCTTACCTGTTTCATAAAGGTATGTTAGGAAATTGGCTACATCTGCCAGAGGGGATTGAAATGCATTAATTCCCCGTTCAGTACACCAACTTTCCCACTTTCCCCAGGTGTAGTTATAAGCATTTGTTGTGCCTCTTCTTCTAGATTTAATGATGAATTTTGAAGCATTTTTTGAAAAACCTGTTGTTTCATAATGTGACCTGAGATTTTCCATGCCGCTAGTTGCATGTTGTTTTGACTGATTAGTGGGTGTGATTGATTCTGTGGAGATTTCAGTAAGTTCTCTGAAGTTGGTAAGAGTATTGGATTTTTGATTGACATTTGTATCAGTTGTGGGTACCATGGTTGAGATTGCCATATTGGGGTTATCAGAACTAAATCTGCTTTCTCCCTCCTTACTTTTTCTAGTAATCTGTTTATAAGGCAAAAGGGAGGAAAGGCATACAGCAGTTGATCTCTCCAACTCTGTGTAAATGCGTCCACCGCTATCGAGAAAGGATCTTTCTTCCAGCTGTAATATTTGGTTATCTGAGCATTCATTCTGTTTGCAAAGAGGTCTATTTTCATTGGTCCCCATATTTTGTTCAGTTGTGAGAAAATGCTCTTGTCCAGCATCCAATCTGACGAGTCCTTGAATACTCGTGATGCATTGTCTGCTATCAGATTGGCTTTCCCTGGAAGATATTCTGCTGTAATTGTGATCTGTTTGTTCAGGCAATGTGAAAAAATTTCTTTGGTTAATTCTATTAGTTTCAATGATCTGGTCCCCCCCAGTTTGTTTATGTGACTCATTGAGGTTATGTTGTCTGTTTTTATCAGCACATGTTTGTTTGTCAAGTTTCGAGTAAAAGTGATCACTGACAGTTGAATTGCTTTTAGTTCTAACCAATTGATATGTTGAGTTTTTTCTTGAGGTTTCCACTGACCCTGAATTATCTCCCCTTGACATTCCGAACCCCAGCCTGTCAGACTGCTGTCTGTTGATATGATCAGATCCGGTTCGCTGATTTTGATTGCTCGACCGTTCCATTGATCTAGTTTGGTTACCCACCAAATGAGTTCCTTTTTGATTTCTGGTTGGAGTGTTACTGTTGCTGAATATGACTAATTGGATCGTTTCAGGCCTTGTGTTTTCAACATTTGTAAATGTCTGAAATGAAGGGGTGCTGGGAGAATTGCCATTGTTGATGCAGACAGTTTGCCTATTATTTGAGCTATTTCTTTCAATGTTACTTGTTTCTGATTATATAGATTTTTGCAATCTGATTGAATTTTGTTTGCTTTTTCTCTTGGCAATTCTATTGTCATTTTTTGAGTGTTTAACAGAAACCCCAGATATTCCATGTTTTGAGATGGGACTGTCATGGACTTTTTCCAATTTATTAGAAAACCTAGATGTGTTAGGAGATAAACTGTTGTTTGCATTTGATATTGCAATTCTTGGGGGGACTGATTTAGAATTATCAAGTCGTCGAGGTAGATTATTGTTCTTAGACCCAACTTCCTTAAAATTGACATGGGAACTTTCATCAATTTTGTAAAAATTCTTGGACTTGATCCCAGGCCGAAAGGTAATGCTTTCATTTGGTAAATTTTCCCCTGCCATTGGAATTTCAGGTATTTTCGATGATGTTTTGCTATTGCTATGGTCATATAGGCATGACGTAAGTCGATTTTTATCATGAAATCGTTTTCTATTATCATATGTTTTAACATTGTCAGACTCTCCATTTTGAAATGATGATATTTGATGAAGGCATTTAGAGGTTTGAGATTTATTATCGTTCTTTTCGAACCGTCCTTCTTCGGTCTGAGAAAGAGATGTGACAAGAATTGATCTTTTGATGGATTGCTTTCTTCTATTGACCTTTCTTCTAAGAGATTCTGAATTTCTATTGACATTTCCTGTGTTTCTTTTTGACTGAAGTTTGGCCAAAAGGGGGTTTTGTTCTGGACTGGTTCTTGCATAAATTCTAGCTCGTACCCCTTTACGATGTTGATAATATTTGTATTTCTTGTTATTTTTTGCCAGTTCTTGACGAAGAAAACAATTCTTCCCCCCACATATTGAATTTTGGGGATTGAGTGAAAATTTAATTTTTTCAGATATCGACTTACCGTTCCCTCCATTTGAGGATTCTGCACCTCGTTTGGGTAAGGTTCTGAGTAAGATGTCAGATTTAGATTCAACATACCTCGTTTTTCCACCTCTGGGTGGTCTTTGGCCTCTGTTGGTGTTTCCTCTTCCACCTTGGCCTCTACCAGTACCTCTGTTCTGGTTGCTTGTATTGTAGTTTTGTTCGTTTCTTGCCCCTCGGCCTCTACCATATGTCGAAGGGCCCATCTGAAAGGGCTTGTTTTTGTGGAAAATTCGTTTGATTTTTTCCATCTCAGTTTTTTCAGTGCTTTCATTTTTCAGAGCTTTATACATTTTCTTGTTAAACAACGTTGCATGTTTCTTGATATCTTTCTCATTTTCTCTCAGAAAGTTTTTAGCCATTTTTTTTATCAAAACCAAAGATTGGTATCAAGATTTCTAACCTCCTGTAATAGGTTACCATTTGAAAGGCTTGTCCTAGGAGTAATACTGATTGATCTAAGAGAAATTTAATCATATCATTGTTCAAGTCTGCTCTTTTGGTGTTATAAAGTTTCCAGAGGGCACCCAACGGTCCCATAACATCAGATATTTTGTTCTGGCTAGATTTCCAACTTTGATCAGATTTTGATGCTGATTTTGAGGACATTTTCTCACTATATTTATCAAGTTTAGGTGGTTTAAGGTACTTCAACTTTGGTCTAGCATTCTTCTCTAACATATTGTTAATATCATCCATTGACAACAGTTCTTGAGACCAGAAACGTTTAACATATTTCTCTTGGTCTTTAGATAAACACCATTCTTTTGATTTTAAATCTTCATGTGGATCAAACTTTGATGTTTTCTTACCTTTTTTGTGTTTGCTATGTCTATTCGACCTACCAGGTGAGGTCTGTAGCTCACATCTGATAAATTGTCATGAAAGACAAATTGATCATCGTTTCTCCTAGTTCTTTTCGTACTGGCTATCAGCCTATCTGGACTTCTAGTCCTTTTATTAGTATTTGATTCTTGGCAATCAACTTGTGAACATCTATCATAGCCATCATCATCATCATGATCAGTTTCTACACGAATATTTTCATCATTCCTATCTTGACATTCACCTTCTTCAAGGTTTGTTTTTCCTTTGTCCATCTTGTGAAGTTAGAACATATCTCCTTGTAACTTATTCCAGTTATAAATTATGATTTCAATATAATAGAATTGAATTATTCAAATTTTTCCGAAAATTTTAAAAGTTTTTTCCACGCCACGCCATTTTGAAAAAGTTTTGAATTACAAATTGCAGACCCATATTATACTCTCAAAGGACATGAATGAATCTTGCTATTTAGGCGTGTTCTAGTCGAAAGCGCGGAACAAATAGACCGATAGTAAGGGATATTACCCTTATATAACAACTTCATTATTTAAATGAGGTTGAAGCGCTATTGGCTGGAACGCAAGCATATGTAAATTCGTCACTTTAGCGAGTGATATGAAATTCAGTGGAGTGGTTGCAGAAGGGGAAATGCATTGAACTTCGACCTATGGGAAGATGGCCAAACCCAGAAATTTGAATTATCAGCCATGGTCGAAATAACCCAACCATCCCATCCCTATGAATTAGCCCTCTACAAAGTAACCCTATACATGGAAGATACATTCCCCCTAATTGATGTGTCACACCTGCATTTTCTCAGGATTATGGTTTAAGACCATTGCTATTTTTTCTTTCAAATCAAGGCATCTCTAATCTAGGAGTTTTTTATGAAGAAAAGGGCTTCTCTTAGGAAGATGCTATCTCAAATTGGCCTACATTATTGGCAGAAACATATAAATAGAGCTACGGGAGGAATACATTAAATTGTAAATCTCAATTGAGTTAGTTTCAGTAGTGGTCAGTGTAAGGAAATATCATCATCCAATTATACATACATTCTCGTATGTAGGCTAGTATCATCCTGAGTGAAACCACTTTCTTTAAAAAATTCTGATTTCTGATCTGTTTCAGCATTTTTTGTACTGTACTTAACTAGTTTACAATCGGAACTTTATTTGTTTGCATGACTACAGGGTGTCAAATGGCGTTGTGCCCCCCCCCCTCCACGGCATAAACTAGGAAAGATACACACACATACCATATACCATTGCAGAGGTGGCGTTAACGCAATTTTTTACGTATTTTACTCACATTTTTGCAACTCTGACGCAAATATTCATTGTCTACCGAGTCTTTCTGACGCACGTTTGTTTCACATGCAAAATCCCCGCTTGGTACTTGGTTAAATTGATCCCTATACGTGAAAATACGTGATTGATCAAATTTATAATTTTGCTAATTCCGGAAATCTAACATTTCCTTCAGCGCAATCAAGCCTCCTTCCTACCGATCATTTTCTCATTTCGGTATTTCATATAATTTTTAAAGCCCTGTGATTCAGATTCAATGATCGATCCCTCGATTTGTTTATCTCGCGAAGCACGTTGCTAGGGGGCGTATCAAAAATGCAATAAAACGAACATAACATTGAACAATAATTTATTAATTTCATACTCCCTTCTAAGGATTTTAGTGATCGTATATTTATCTAAATTACCGCATAAAATTTTCCCTTGAATGTTCACACGCTAGATTTACGAACCTTTAGTTTCCTTCGCAAGTTCGCAAAATTCCATAGCTAAGTTAGCAAGTTTCCTTGACCCGTCCCCTTCATCAGCATGCGCAGATGTAATGCGCAGTAGGTTTATCAATGGTGCTCACAGTGACTGATCTATCGTAAGTTTTCTCCAAGTATTTTCAATTAACTCCCTCAAGTTAAGATCTTCGATTCACTAGATCTGAAGCTGATCCTATGAAGATAGATAATGGGCACATGAAAATCCAGTCGATCGCACATTAAGGGGGGTAATGATGATAAATTAGGTATGAAAACAAATCTACTTTCGGTTTCATTTGATCAGCTATAATTACAAGATTCTACCGTATTCAATTTAAATGATGCCCAGTATTGTGGTCGGACTTATATTGCCGTTTTAGACTTTGGAATGATTGCAAAAATGTTGAATTTCAACATGAAACGCTTTGACCCCAATTTGTGTAACTCCACAAAGGGAGAAACTCCTCTCCCACTCCATTCACACCCATGACTCGCTGGACCAGATAATCAGATGATTAATAGTGACATTTTTCTTGCAATTGCCTAATTAATTAATTGTTAGTTGTTAATGTGCTATAAGAGTACAATAAAAGGTATGCACAAAATCAAAAAATAGATTTTGTATGTGGTTTCTACATTTTGTATGCATTTTTACTCAAGAAAAACACTTTTATAGCTTTGACTCAACTTTTTTTCTTGTGACTCACTTTTTGAAACTACCTGAGTCATGATGACTCACAAAAATATATGCCTACCGCCACCGCTGCATTGGAAAGAGCATTTAATTGTTGTTAACATGTGAAAAGATGAAGATGCATGATGGAAAATAAGATATATTTTTTACTTACTTTTAAAAGTGAGTATGACCCCCTTGGGCAGCCTTAACCACTGCCAGTCTAGCCGGATATGAAGCTAAAAGGGAATGGAAAGGGGCTGTGTCTTTCTCAAGAGATTTTAATACTTTTCGGAGGTTCTTGAGCAGGGCATCTTTGGAATATCTGTTCTCTGCAGCTTCAGTGTCCATAAGTTGCTCTGTTTTATCCATTAATATGGACCCCATGTGCTCTGCAGCATTCAGGTCAGGGCTGTTGCTCAGGTATTCATCAATACCAAAAAAGGCAATGCCAGATTCTCAAAAATCAATGAAATAGAGCACTACAATAGTACATTTCAAATGCATGTGACACTATGTAGCAATATCTGACCTAGGTCATCTAGGGTTTATTTTATCCAGAATTGAATGCTCTTTCCAATGACATACATAATGTGTAGGTACCTTTCTAAGTTTATGCTGTGGAAGGGGGGCACAACGCCATTTGACACCCTGTAGATATTCGGAATTCAGATTCAGATTTAATTGAAATTGAAGGTTTATCAATAGTGAACAAATTTTTCTACCATCTTGGATGATAACTTATGTAAGTATCATCAGCTATGGACCAGTGAAATAAAGAAGTAGGCAACAGTGAAGAATAAGCAACATATGTCTATAAACAGTTAGAAGAGGAAACAAACCAGACTTCTCAAGGTCCTAAAAGTTTAGGCAGCACTCAACCGAAATGAATTGCAAATGGTTGAGTTCTATCATGTCCAATCAGACACATAATTAGGTTACGGTACATCTACTAGAATTACATAGACAAGAAGCACCAACATCTGTTCATCTTTATTTATAATCAACTATACCTGTGGGATATGGCTGTTATACAGTTCAGTATAAAGTTACCCTTTTTAGCTCACATGGTAAGCTATAGCTATCACCCACTTGTTTATGACATATTTTCAATTTCTATATTTTTTTTTTCAGAAGCGGGCAAAAGAAGTCTCCATTTCTGCATAATAGTTACGATAATAACCAACAAAGATGCCTACTAAAATATTTGTTGGCAACCTTACCACTGATGCCAAAAGTAAAGATTTACAAGGCTTGTTTGAGAAGTTTGGACGTGTGGTAGAATGTGATATAATCAGCAGTTATGGATTTGTAGTAAGTACATGTCAGACATACATACCAGTGATCTCCCCAGCATTAAAACAAGTGGGCGAAGCACCCACGTACCTGAGATTTTGAAAATAGGCTTGTACCCACCTGAAAATTTTATAGCACCCACTTGAAAATGAGAAAAATCATGAAAAATTTGCATATTTTGACCAATTTTGGTCTGACTTGTGAAAATGAGAATTTTGCACTCACCTGAGAATTGAGAAAAATCCTAGGGAGATCACTGCATACATTTTAAGATGAGCAAGTGATACATACAATATGGTTAATATTGTAGTGTAATATTTTGCCCGTTTTATCTCAAACATTTTTCAAAATCATCTGATGATCACTTTCAACATCGTTTTTTTGTTGAAATTTTAAATTCATGATTTTCTGCCACACTTTAAGCTGTTTCTTTTCTTTGAAGTTGATTATTTTCTTGGATTAAAAGACCCTGATGTTTTCCTTAACTTGCTTTTGTTTCCTTTAAAATTGAATATTTTTCTGACAATTTTATTTATCTAGCATATGGAAGATGAAGAAGATGCAAACGCAGCAATTGCCGCCTTAGACGGACACAGTCTACACAACTCTAAGATGCATGTAGAGGTAAGGCACAATTTTTATCACCTTTGCTTGCTAGAATCAGTATCTGACTGGTTATGGTAGAAAATATGTCGGCTATTTCACACTATTATGTGCAAATTGTACCTTGGTCTTGTTATAGGACTCAAACAGGAAACTTACTTCACTTGCAAAGTCTTTTGTCATGTTAAAATGCTTGGATATAACCAGTCATACTTCCTACAAAACTCTGTATTGATAGGTGAACCCCCCCCCTTGGCAAATCCTGGTATGTTGTGGATACTCTAATTAATGCACTATCATTATCATCCTCGCTTGCTAGAATCAGTATCTGGCTGGTTATTATAGAAAATATGTGCTTTCTGAAGTGCACATTTTTCTCCAAAATGAAGAAGTCCTATTTTCATTATTATAGCATATTTATATGTTATGGATATATGGCATCAATGCCTTGTCCTTAAAAAATGGACAACATTTTGAAAATGTCTCAACCTAGCAGTAGCGTCATATTATTAATGAAGTGTATCATGATTTATCTAATTGATGATGTTTTATTGAAATAGATACAGTATTATAACATGTTTGATTGACCTACTTTATAATATTTCATTAAAATGAATATCCTAGTATCCTAATATGGAAATTAAGTTTAATAATAAATCTACTCGATTATATTCCAGCTTTCACACGGAAAGAGGAAACCACGTGGAGGTTTCAGAGGAGGTGGTGGCTTCAGACAGGGTGGTCGTGGTGGAGGAGGTGGTTACGGTAGAGACAGCTACAGCAGGGGACCACCGTAAGTCTAACTTTTTATCACAAATGGTGACATGTTAAAGCAAGGGTTTCACGAGAATTTCTCACAACAGGCTAAATAAATGAAAACAACAGGCAAAATTAATGGAAATCATATATTTAACATGAAAAAGTTGAAAATCCCCCAAAACAACAGGCAATTTTGTGAAAACAACCTGTGAAAATCGCCTGTTGCCTGCTGCTAATGAAACCCCTGCATAGTCGTTTGTGGACAGCAGTTGGTGGTGTTCAGGGTTCAGTGTCTGTAACAAATGGTGGGTGGTGAAATTTTGCATGTTAATACCTTGTTTCAGGATGCCACACAAAGATTATGGACAGGAATGGCATTAACTGCTGAGCTAGCAATCAATCCAATGCCCCATTCAGGAAACACGTTGCAAAGTTGATTGTCAAGAGTGGTTGCCTTGACAACAAGCAATCTTATGTTTTGAACTTTGGTGCAACTTCTAGATTTCTTTACTGCTAGTCGAGATTGTTTAACATAAAAATTGTCATGCTGGAAAATATGCTTAAAATGAGTCAGACTGAAAATAAGAGGCTCTAAGCCTGAGCCATCTTGCTTCCATTTGAGAATAACAGGAAGTGAATTTTTGCCATCTGTATTATAGCGCCACTGTGAATTTTCATGTGAATTAATGCCAATATCTATTTTTTGGGTCCAATGACTTGTTACTTTCCTTTTTGAATTTTTTTGTATGTTTACATCAATAAAATCAATATTTATTTTTGAAATGCGAGTGTCCCATTTTCTTGGACCACCCTTTACTTTAATGATAATATATATATATACGGAAAGTGCCATTAATCAATCAAACTTTAATCTATACTTTTTTGATCTTTCAGATCACGAGGACCTCCTAGAAGAGACTATGGAGGTGATAGATTCAGATCTGAGCCATCCTATGGGCGAAGAGACAGTTACAGACGCGACAGTGACAGCAGAGATGGCGGAAGAGACAGGAGGGGTCCACCAAGGGATTCATACAGAGATAGAAGTCCAATGGGAAGATCTTCAGATTATCGACGTCCTTCACCCGGCAGGTGTGGTGTGATTCTTTATCTTCTTCATTATTCAGTGGTTATATTCAACATAGTTTGACAGTGTTTTGCGGTTGGTGATTGTTTTTTGATAGTCAGCATTCGGGGTCTGTAACAAATGGCAGGTGATGGCATTTTGCATACTAATGCCTTGTTTATCTCTGTTTTCATTTAGAACATAGAATTTTAAATTTTTATACATTTTTTGCTATTTTCAGATATGATGACAGATCTTCTGGTTCAAGAAGGTGAGCAAAAACCCTCTAGATTTTTTCTCTTAATACAGTCACACCATTTCCTCAACAAGCAGACAATAGAAATAAACTGAGAGTTGAAATTACGGTGTTATTCTTTTATTTCCCTGATATGCTGCTGTACTTGAAACAAGGAGCAAGCCAAAAAATTAAAATAATCATAGCCATTTTTTCAAAAATTGGGGCCCATTTTTCAAAGTGAGTCCCATTCTTACCCAAATCTCATTTGTTTCTATGGCCTGCACCCTAAGTACAGGGAAGAAAATGGCATGCTGAAATATCATTTTTATTCACCTCAAAAACATGTTCAAGTTACATGTGCTTATTATGAATAACGAGACAGTTGGCAACCGAACTCACAATTTTCGTCTTTCATGTTTTTCATGATCCTGTTTTTAAATCGTCATTGACATACAGGGTAGTTTTTATGCATTGTGGTATTTATCAGGTGCATGAATTTTTGTGAAATGTTCATCTTCAGCGTAAACTGAGAGAAAACAGAATCACATTTTGAATAATGATAATCCATTTCATTGTGCCCACTCATCTCTGTGTACTTCATACTGCAACGTATTAACAATTTTTTTAAAACTTAATTTTTTAAAGTTTTGATTCATTTAATCTCAATTGCTTGCTTACAAACATTCAGCTTATAATAGAGGTTTAGTAATAGTGCATGAATCAGGATATTGCTAATGCTTACATATTATCATACATGATAGATATAAAAGAAATTCTTTAGCTAATGAAATGACCTATGTTCACTGTGATATAACTAGGCCTTGTGTACCAACAGGTTTAAACATGTGTTAAAATTCGCGAGATCAGTATACCATTTTATATGTGTCTGCATGTTACTGTTGTTTTTGAGGGAATTATTTCTTGACTCAGAATTAGTATGAGGAGTAATTTGAGGAAAAGAATGAAAATTGTCATGAATAATTTATTCATGACAGTTTAATAAAAAAAAGTTGACATTCGCTAGAACATGATAAAGTTCTTCATTATTTCATATCATTTTTACTTTGACATAACATAGCAGAAACTTTTTTAAATAATTAATAAAATTTTTGAATTGGATTAAATTAGAGTTAACATTATTAAATTATGTTTTGGCTGAAGAAATAGTTCCTTCACTTGTTCTTTCAACAAAGTGCTACTCTCTCCTTAACATTATGTATATGTGGTTAATTTTGTGAAATTATTTAAAAAGTGGACATTTCCAGTTCCAAATCTCAAAATGAGAAAAATACAGTGTCTGGGTAGTCAGAAAGAGTAAAAGTGTTTAATTTAGAATTTCTAGAAATTTTGGTGGTGGAAACATTTGCACAATGGATATTTTTGCATATTGGAATCCTGACTACCCAGATATTTAATTTAGAGTACTTATTTAAAATCTAATTTTTATCAAAATTTCAGTTTACATGTATGTTGTGTGATTCCACCAAATTAACTGCATGCTTTACATGTTTTATTGGTATTTATCTGCCTAGTGTGTCCTATGTTAATCTCTCGATATATTTTTTGCAGGTGAACGTATAATCTAAAGGGCCCGAATGCCCTAGGCTATAATATCGCTCGCTAAATGCAGGAACCCAACATAATCGTCGCAAATTTCGTTTCGTTTCCGATTTAGCCTAAATGCCATTCTGATGTGGAGACCAATCACCAGAGGGAGCACTGTGTCGCTAACAGTGTCGGGATGCTTTTATTCGTTACTGGTCGCCCTGATTATTTCGCCCTAATATTCTCTCAGTCATACCCAGAATGCATGGTTTTACGTAGTCGTAATTGCTCAACTAAAATGGCGTAAATGTCGATAGCGTTGCCGATCATTTTCCAGCTAGCGCCATCTATAGAATCCTGCCTTCTAATGAGTAAAAATCGAGGAGCACTCGTATAAATCTCGCTATCTACATGTGTGTAAGTAAAACTGCATGTTATTCTGGCACCCATTGATATCTCAAAAAGTAGTCCATTAAATATGTCTTATTGGTCATCTTTCATTTAAAGGAAAAATTGTTGTCAAGTCATACCGCATGAAAGTAAAAATGAGGCATGGAATCAGTATATTTTATCTACATCTTCTATCATAGTTGATAAAACGTAAGATAGGTCTGGGGAGAAACAAAAATTGTGTTTCACTATAAAATGTTATTTCCAAAATACTGTACATCTGTGTATGAAACCTGTTTTGGTAAAATCAAATGTGGTCTACATTTCAACAGTCAGTTGTCTTTAAAGAAACATTGGATCGGTGGCATGTTATTGAAACTTGACTATATAATAGCTGTGAGTTTTGAATCAAACCGTTTGAGGAAATATTTTATGTAATTGCATGGGGAACTTTGGTAAATGTAAACTGCAACTCATAAACATATTAAATATTAGTTACAGCATTCTCACTCTTGCTTTACTCTTCCCCATATTTATGTGCTTGAATCGCTCAAAAATTATTATTTGATTATATTATTATTATATTAAATTGGCCTATTTACCGATTGAATGTCAGTCATGTCATTTAAGTTTTTGAACTGCTCAGAATTAGTCTCTGATCCCACTTATGAACCTTAAGTTTGTTTTAAGATTATTACCAAATTCTTCATAAAGTTTAATCTAACATTTTTAGCAAAATATATATTATTTCTCAAACTCATATAGATAAAGGGTAGAGGCTGTCATAGAATATGTAATCAGTACATTTTTACATTATAAGCAACTTACATTCATTTCTCATTCAAACCACAATTAAAAAAAGACAATAAAAGTTAAGTTTGATATCATTGAAATTGTAAATCTGTATCTGAAAATGAAATTAAGTCAGAGGGAAGTAGAATGAATTAGGTAACTGGGACCAGGGTAGTTAAAGATAAATAGTTTTAGAGATATCTTTGGGTGCCTTCATAACTGTATCCTATCACAGTTCTCACATTCTCCACCAGATGGCCAGATTTTGCCCACCAGGTGGCTAGAAATTTTGATTTGGGTCAATGGTAAAGATCATTCAGGACATGGTAAATTGTGGATAACGATTTCCGGAACACAACTGAAGATAGCCGAAGGTTTAACTCTAACCCTTCAAGGAATTTAATTGGTTCCAAACCTTGAAGCATCTTTGGCCAAATTGTGATAGAAATGTCTTCGGTTGCGGTGCATCGGTGCTCTCATGAAAAATTATGTGATTATGAGACTTGGATGAATTTCTCATTTCTGAATTTTCCTATTTCCTGAATAAAATACTCATTTTCTGAATAAATTTTCCATTTTCTGAATAAATTGCCAATTTCCAGAATAAATTTCCCATTTCCTGAATAAATTTCCCATTTTCTGAATAAATTTCCCATTTTCTGAATAAATTTCCCATTTTCTGAATAAATTTCCCATTGCCTGAATAAATTTTCCATTTCCTGGATAAATTTTCCATTTCCTGAATGAGATTACCAAGCAACATTTGATTTTATTTGGTAAATTGGAGGATCTTTTTTGGACACACATCTGGCCATAAGGTTTAAATAGAGAATGCAGTTCTTTGTGAAATATTCTTTTTAGGGCTCTAATCACTGGAAGAATCTAGTTGTGATGTCATCAATTACTATATTGTCGTTTATCGTACTCGTTGTTTTCGTAGAGACCCACGCAGATCACCACCTTCCCGACGCAGCAGCGCATATCGGCCATATTGATCAAAGGAAATGTGGAGAATCATGGATCGTGCGACAGAACAAACATTTTAGTGCAACTTACACCATAATGAGAGAACAATTGTAAATTATTACTGGTTATCAGTGGTCACGAGAGTATGAACAACTGAACCAGTGTGATTGTATATATGGACACAGAAACTTTTGTATCTGACATATAAGGTATCAATAGCAAATATTTAATAGGGCACCTACATTTCTAGAGGGTATAACAGAGATATATCTTCCGAGCACTGGGGTTTAGGATCTCAGTAACTTAAAAGTAGTGTTTTGTTAGTACAGGAGGATTGGCTCCCTGGGATGCAATATTTTCCAACAATGAAAATGTCAGAATTTTCTGACATTATAACTGATTATAAATTCCTAAGCATCAGTCAAAAAGATTCAAACAAAATCTCGCTCACTTCTTGTGTAAATTTTTTTGTTTGAAATAAAACCAAAACCCGCGATTCAAATTCTGAAGTGAACAAAATGGCGGCTATTTGAATTCGAATTTTGTAATCGTGACATCTCCATATATGGCACTCATATCAAGTTGGAACCCTGGGAGCCATTCCTCCTTGGTACAAGGAGTAACTGGCACAGGCCTTCACTTGGAGAATTACGGAAAAGTACAAGGGCTAAATGTTCAAGGGCTCTAGGATACAGGGGTATAGCTTTTTGATAACATGTGCTCGGAATATTAAAGAAAAATTTGACACTGACTGCCAATGAAATCTAAAAATTTGTGATTTCAGAAAAACATAATAGTCATCTTGTGGTTGAACAAATAATATATGGCACTTGGACCTGTATTTTAATTTACTGATATTATGATTGTTTTTAATAATATGCTACCCAGTGATACATGTGTCTTAATATAAGTAGGTAGGCAATATGTCTTTCAGCCTGAAATACAGTATAATCTGCTCAGTCAATGGGCAGTATGACATATATAGGCTTGTTATTTATGAAGTATAGATTGTAGTATAAACTCAGATAAGTACTAGTATATGTAAATTCACATCTGTTGGTTCATCAAATATGGATATTGGTCAAAATTTGCATATTTACAGCTGGTGGTCATCCAAATGTGTATATTCACAGCTGGTAGTCATTTAAATGTGTACATTCACAGCTGACGGTAATCCAGATGTGTATAATCACAGCTAGTGGTCATCCAAATGTGTATATTCACAGCTGATGCTGCCGATGGTCATCCAGATATATATATTCACAGCTGGTGGTCATCCAAATGTGTATATTCACAGCTGGTGGTCATCCAAATGTGTATATTCACAGCTGGTGGTCATCCAAATGTGTATATTCACAGCTGATGGTCATCCAGATGTGTATATTCACAGCTGGTAGTCATTTAAATGTGTACATTCACAGCTGACGGTAATCCAGATGTGTATAATCACAGCTAGTGGTCATCCAAATGTGTATATTCACAGCTGATGCTGCCGATGGTCATCCAGATATATATATTCACAGCTGGTGGTCATCCAAATGTGTATATTCACAGCTGATTGGCATCCAAATGTGTATATTCACAGCTGATGTCGATGGTCATCCAGATATATATTCACAGCTGGTGTTCATCCAGATGTGTATATTCACAGCTGGTGGTCATCTAAATGTGTATATTAGCAGCTTGTGGTCAAGCAAATTGTATATTTATAGCCAGTGGTCATCAAATATGTATATTCACAGTTGCTTATCATACAAATCTGTACATTTACAGCTGATGATGATCAATAGCTGGTTTTCAGTCAGATGTAATTAAAAGCTGGTGATCAAACAAATGTGCATATCTAGGCAAACATAAAGTAGGGTTTTAGTTTTATTAAAATATCTTCGACATTTGACCATAATAGAATGTGTACAGTAAAACCTGTGTCCATAGTGATTGGACATTACTGCCTGGAAGTAAAGGGTGTTCCAAAAGTAACAGGACTGGTGCTAGTATTTTGTTTAATATGTACCAATCTTCTTCGAAATTTTACATTGTTTTATGAGCCATTTGTTATACTGGTTTTACTGTAGTTGTTCATGGGTTATATGGCATGAGAAATCCTTTGGTTAACTGTATTATGATTACAGCCCATTTCACTACTTATTGCGTCACTAACCTAAAAAATAAGAAATCAAAAGATCATTATGCAATAATATATATGTAAAAATATATTCCTGACATTGCAGTCAGATGACATTTGACATTTGCAGACAAATGACATTTGTATATCTTGGATTGCTTCTAGTTTGGCTTTAACGTGTGTGGCTTCTTATATTTGGATGCTTCTCTGCCATAGTATTTTCAAAAAGATTAACATGGCTGAAATTCTTTCAATTACAAGAGGGCAGACTTATTGCACAAAAAAACTAAATAATCTGAAATATACAAATGTCATTCATGTACCATGTGTACAATATGGATATACTTTTCCATATATTATTGCACAATGGTCTCCTGATTTCTTATTTTTGGGGTTCTACTGACGCAATAAAACAGTGAAATGGGCTGTACATGTATATGGGTGTTTGTTTTTCTCTATGTTGTGTAGAACTCTGTAGAACTTTTGTATGTTGACTTTATATATAATTATTATATCACTCATTTTTGTTATAAATACATGGGATGTAACAAGTAGAAATTAGAGTTTAACACTTATTAGATTAAAATCCATGTTTTTATGAAGAAAATACTGAAATTTTTCACCATAGAGACAAAAAAAGAATGGTTAAAAATAACCCATTTGTGATTTGGTTGTTCCAAATCAGTCCCTTTTATGTTTGGAAGTGGCCATTTATTTTAAGATAATGCTAGAAATCAACTAATATGTCCATGTGACACATGTAGGAAGTCATTCTCATATTTTTGCATGCTGGCACATTGATTGTGGAATTTGTTTAAATCGTTTGAATTACAGATTTCAGTTGTTTGGTTTGGCAAAATTTACTTCCATTTCTAGAAAATTACAATACAATGGGGTTAACTTTCAGATATTATGGTCTAGAATGCAGTTTCAAGAAAATGGGCACCCTTTTTCATGTGCATGGGTCATTTATCAAAATAGCCATGTTTTATTTGGGCTGACTGTACTTGATTGAATTGTTTCTTACATTTAAAATTCAAAAATGATTTCTGTTTCCTCGATCACAATGCATGCATCATTTTTGTATGTACATGTAATGCATTATCAGGATGAGATTGCATAGCAGTGTAGTGTCAAAAGTTGTGAATAAACGTATATATCTTTGTATAAAAAATAAAACATTTTCATCTTCTTTGTTCTTGTTTAATTAATAAGATTGTCAATACCCCTGAGAAATGTTACACCGATACCCTGTTTCAGGCCCATAGCCAGCTTTTGTCAAGGGGGTTTCACATTTCAAAAAATTCCAGGGGGACTTAACATTTGACAAAATTGGCCATAAATCACTTGATGTTGAACGTTGAAACATGATTTTGAAAGAATTTTTGGCCAGAAAGGGGTTCAATTGATCTTATTTCCCATAATACAGCCATAAGGCATCTTGATTACTTGGGAAGAACTTTTGATAAATGTTTTGCAAAATTCCATAATAATTATCAGTAACAATGTATGACATCATTCTTTTGAATTATCAGAGCACATAAGTACAGAGGATCAAAAACAATGAGGCTCATTTGGAGCAAAAACTAAACAGCAATATATGTGTATCATTCAATTTAACTTTAGGGCAATTTTATTCTCAAGTTACATTGGTTTTAGAGCCTGTGAGGTTAAAAATGTTTTCGCTGTAAAGGAGGTGCTGTTGTTTTTTGACACCCTGTATTATACACTCCATGATCAGAATAAGATCACCATCAATATAAAAAATTCCAATGTTGGAAACTGCCTCCAGTTTATATGTGCTAAATTCAATAACAAATAAGGTAGTGTTCAAATCATAGATCAAGGTATCAAAAACTTTTGTGGAGTTTCTTTGAGAGTTTGAATTTTTTAAATTATGTAAAAGGCAACAAACTCTGACCTCTCCCTGAATGTGATTATTTTAGATAAATTCACCTGATGCTAAAGATGACCATAGATATTCTGAGATGGTCCCTAAAATAACCATAGATGTAGATGTATTGTCACTTAGTCCAAGATGACCATAATTATACTGAACTGGTCCCAGAGACAACCATAGATATATTGAGATGGTCCCTCGAGAACTGTACTTTTTGATTCATCCAAATATGACATCGCACGATCGTCTTAAAAGAAAAAAAGTAACAAAACACAGTTCTTTTTTTAACAAAAATATATTTCATAAAAATATAGCATCTCATCACTGATTCATAGGAGTTATATTTTCATATGTAAAAACACGAACTAACAACCTTGTGACTGGATATACATGTACAGTAAAACATGTGTACGTGGAACACCCTTGGTACCACTAGAAAGTGTTCCGCTTGTTTAAGTTTGAAAATATGAAGTCAATATGGGACTGTTCCACTTACAGAGGTGTTCCACTTGACATGATTTACTGTTTATGCTTCATAGCCAGTATACTAAAGAGCCATTCACAATTAAGATTATAACAAACTAGAAATATCTTTCTTGGTATATTTTAAAGTCAATATCATGAAACAATAGCATTTTTTATTAATCATAATTCAAGATTTTCAAGAATTGCTATCATAAGTCCTCTGTACTAAAATTGAATCTCACACACATGTGCCATCAAAGTCTAGCTACAGAATGGTTGTACAATACTATTTATCCCAACGAACGAAGTTCGGTAGGGATATAGTGAAGCCCTCCGTCCGTCCGTCCGTCAGTCAGTCAGTCCGTCTGTCTGTCCGGAAGATAACTCAAATATTAGTTGATGGATTTTGTTCATATTTGGTGGAAAGATGTATATTGATAATTGATGATTCGCTTTAAAAATGACGGGACTTTTTCGCAAAAATCATAAATTTTTCATTCTAAACCAAAGTAATTAATATTATTGTTTGAAATTTTGGTAGTATATTTCACATATATTCCGTGTTTTTCATCCTGATCCCCAGGGGCCGTGTATGGGGGGTCAGGAAAACAGAAATTTTTGCTAATTTTTAGATCTTTCTGAAGTATAGCTTTATTATACTTAAATGAAAGGCAATTAAGAGTAGATTGCAAATATTGTATCTTTTTTCTGACTCGAGCCTCGTAAAATTCAAAATGGCCGTCTAATGTACGATTTCGCAATAATTTTTCGATCCCTTCAAAGTATAGCTATATTATACTCAAATTGAAGGAATTTTGGAGTAGATCACAATTATGGTATTATTTTTCAGATTTGTACCTCAGAAAATTCAAAATGGCTGCTTTGCAGGAATTCGCAATTCTAAAATCTAAATTTTTCAATTTTAACCAGAGTAATGAGTATAATTGATTGGAATTCGGTATTGATATTTTGTTCGTTGGGATTTGCTACTCCGCAGAGTTGCCGTTATCTAGTTGACCTATAATAAACCTTTCCAATAAATCCTGTTTGCCTTTTTGCAGATGAAAGAAGCTACGAAATATTGGCTAGATTGATGATATCATTGGTTGTTCTTTGGTAGCAATCTGTCCAAGCAAGAAATGAAAAATAGGATTCACTTCTTATTAATTTTGAAAAAGAACAATCTATGACATTGTCAATCTAGCCGAATATATCATCGTTTCTTCGATCTATTCAACGGTGACATGATTTACTGGAAGGTCTATGCACCTCCATCCAAGTACCACAGATGGACAATTTAATATATTTGGTAGAATGGAGATAATTTCATGAATACTTCCACAGTTTACCTATATCCGCCTATTTTAAATGCTACTTTCTAAACATCATGTTTATACTTCCTAATGCTGAGTGAGTGGAGGCATGTACTTTTTGAGATCAAAAGTGAACAGATTTTTCACTTCTGCTTGACATGTACAAAAATACATTCCGGCATACGTTTACTTACCCTGATAGATATATGATACTCACTGAAAATACTAGCAGAAATACATTTTTCAAATTGTTTACCATAAAATGTCTGAACACTTTTCTGGGGCATACATTTCTAAAAAATCAGACTCATGATTCTGTTGATAACATATTGTGACAATTGAATTTTCAAAACATTATTAAATTCACAATGATTTAAAAAAAAGCCGCTTAAAATACAATAAGATAGTTGTGACTGTCACCCACTTCATCTATGTGATTTCATGTGAGAAAACAAGACATTTACATGATAACGCATCTCCATCTGGATACATACTGGCCAGTAACTAAAACGTAACAAGTTTGTGTTTGCAGTCAGATACTGACTGCAAACACTGAACACTGAAAAGGTGGCTTCTTGGTGGTGAAAAATAATAATGGTTTTGATTTAAAACTTTGGATTTAAGCACCTTTGTGAAATTACAAGCAGTTTTAGACCCATCTAATTCTATATACATCCAATATATATCTTGTGCTTTGTTAATCTTCAGATTTCTCAGTTACTTCAGTTTCATTTTTAATTTCAGTTTGATCATGGTTTTCATTTGGCACAGCAATTTGTTCTTCAGCTTTCTTTCTTTGTTCATCTTTCTTTTTTAGTTCTTCCTCCCGTTTTTGACGAAACTTTCTGGAAAAACTTTGAGACTCTTTATCGAAATGAAGCACCATCGTCCCCAACTCACCATCGAAACGATTCTTCGTAACCTGAAATCAGACAAAAACTATAAAAAAAATGTTACGTGTGTTGAGCCCATTATTATGGGTCCATGTATGTAATTCATGTGATTCATTATTTGGTCAAAATGGCTACAGCATAAAAACTTTGTTCATAGATAAACAGTTGAATTTCACTTGTTCATATGACTCAATTTCTCAGTATCTCAATTTTTAATTCATACTGTAACTCCTTAAATAGCATTTCAAATGGCAATATATCATCTTACAGCTGCATATTAATACCTTTTTTTAAGATAAAATAAATTTTATACTAATTTTAATACTAGTATACTACAGTAAAACATGATTGAAAACATAATCTAAACACCACTGGAGTGTTCGGATAAGAGGTGTACACATTTCAAGGTTTTTATAATATGGCAGTCTATGGCAGATTAGAAAAATGGGGCTAGAAAATCATTCACATGGTTTCGGATAAAAGAGGTATTTGGATATACCGGTTTTACCAAATACAATACCTGTATGAACTTTTTTCCTCTGGCTGACGACATCCTCGTGTCTTGCAGTATCATGATGTTGTCAGCCTCCTGGCTCGCCTTTGCACTACCAAATATGGAAGCTGTAGTCAGAAGTTCATGGTCTGATTCCTAGAATAATAGAATATTGTAAGTTAAAACTGTGACTTACTTCTGCACTTTCTCAAAATATGAGGCCTTTTAGTCTTGAACTTTATGTGATTTAGCACTTATACAAGGGGTGATCATAAAGTTCTCATAATATCTCTCAAATTTTTTATTTTTAATATACTTTATACTCATAAATTTTCTCATATGTTTAAGATAGTAATGACCTTTTCTCTGAGCCATACTCCCAAAAATTTCAACTAACTTTGTTACATATTTTAGAAAGTGGATATTTGTAATTTTGTTTTGTATGTAAGAGCACTGTTTGGAGTTTCTTCTGGATTGGTTATGCTTTTCTGCCTTTTTAACTGGGCATGTGACCTCACCAGGATTTTTTCATATCTTGAACAAATATCTCAAAATTTCATTTCCTCATTTCAACTGGGTGGCATGTGATTTCCAGATTTTCAACAGGGTGAAACAGACTGTTCCTCTTATATAATACTAGGTGGATCGCTGGTCTTTTTAAACACTTTTTGGTCATTCCCCTTTGATGATAGGTATTGTACAATGTGTTCCCATATCTGACAGTCCACTTACTTTCCTGGGGTGTATAACGAGGGTTATATGACAGTTCATATTAGTCGCAAATTTCCTGCATGCAGATATAATCTGATCCTGCTTCTGGAACTTGTCCATAGATGTCCCTGTGGTTGACCCCATCATAAACTGAAGGTTGTCGATAATCACATGGGCGATATCATGGATATATACTGCATGTGACATGGTCTGAAATGGTAGCGTTAGAGATGAAATAGATAATCAAATACTCTGTAGCATATAGGTATGAGTTTATATTCGAATGGCAAAAATTGATATAATGTGAAATAGCAATCATGGAGTGCACCTCTGCAATCATCAATGTTTTCTAAAAATGCTGGTAGTTTACATGGTTTATAAATACATAGAAGACCATGTGACAAATAAATATATTTTTGACATATCAATGTCAATATCTTTTTACTTAATTCACAAAAATACAGCTTTTCAATTAGACTGACATCATACTAATACATGTAGTTACACAAGTACCTATGTATCTTTCACAATTAAAATTGAATTTTAATTTGCGCTAATGTTACATATATAAGTACATGTAAATACCTCAATGACGCGCGTGATGCTTTCCTCCCCGTGAAACGTCATAAAATGCATCGGAATAGTCTCAAACATATCTGCAGCTTCTTCAAACTTTTCCAGGTTTTTCGTCATGTTGAAGCCCGACAATTGGTTGAGAATAACTTTCATAAGCTTCAGGTTGTTGATCTCAAAACTGCCCCATAATGTTGACACCTATAAGTAAATTTATTTAATTTAAGATAGGAAAAATAGAGGATTGTTTCTGAGATTTTGAAGCTATGGACATTAAAACAACTTTTAGGTAACTTTTGGGGTAAAATACAATTTTCTATTTATTCAGTTGTCTCTATTTTTGCAGTTCAATCCACAAAAATTCAGATAATGGTAAAATGATTATTTGTGAAAATGTTAAAGATAAAAATAAAAATATGTACCATTTTTGTGGACTGAACTGCAATAATAAAGAAAATTGAATAAATAGAAAAATGTTCCAATTTTTATTGGCCCACTCTGTACAAGATGCTTTTAAGACACCCAAATCTGACAACATAGCACCCAAGCAACAAGGGTGTGATAAAGATGCTGTAATTTGACACAATATGAAAAGATGGGGAATAACCCAGATTTCAAAGATGAAAATATCTGCATTCGAAGTTGAACTTCAGAACTCATGATAAGATAAACCTCTGGGTTTTACATGAAGATGGATTCATCTTTCTGCATTGTTCCCTTCTCTTGATATGATGACTTGAATGTATATCACTGAAAGGAATATACATTACTACATTGGTTATTGGCATGAAAGGCGGATATGAATGTTTTGGACGAAGCTGAGTAGGAATATAGTGAAATGCCTTTTAGACATGGAAACAAAAGTATTTTCTTTTCAAGTCAAAAACAGAATCAAGAAGTCAGAGTCAAAAAATTGAAATGAAAAAACTATCATGACTGTAGGAAAGAATGTCCTGACATTCACAATAAAACTAATAATCTAAAGATTTTTTACAAGAAATGTAAATTTATTGTCTAGTTGGGTTTACTATATCTAGTAGGCCGATAGTTTATTGTGTAAAGATCCTATGTTTTGAACTAAAATGAAACTGAAAGTTTATTAGCTCATTTGACAAAAACAGTTCACAACACACTAACACAGACATTACATAAACTGTAAGAGGTGATCTTGAACTCTGATCAATGGCACCTTATCAATAAATATACGATTAAACCTGAGCAAAAACACTCTCAGTCAAGTACTTTACAATAGAAACTAACAAAACAACAACAAACTTCACAAAATATGGAACTAAAATGGACATTATCAATATCAACGTTTTTTAGCCACAATTACAGAATAATTGCTTAATGCTGATGGTCAGGATTATTAAAAGATTTTATACAACCGAAGTAAAATATGTTATCTTCTTAAAGGTCAAGTAGACAAAAAAGAACAAAAAATCAGCAAACTTAACTTAGTAAAATATCAAAGTAAAAAGGACATAATCTATTGGTTCAGGCACAATTACAAATATACTTATTTCATGCTGATGGTTAAGATGATGGTTAAGACGAAATTCTGAGGAAATGAAATTCACTTATTCAAGGATAAAATGTGTCACAATTTTTTATTTCTACTATTGCACTGCACAGAATATAGCAGGTAAGGATACATTCCTCCCCTATAACCCAATTTGGGCAGGTTATATACCAGGAATAGCCAAAATATTTTGGTTTGCAATGTTTATATCATTGTAACGATTCAGTCACTCTCTCATTGGCTAAGAACTGATCACATGCTTAATAAAAATAAAATGAAACTAAACAACCCATACTATTCACCATGGTTGAAAGTCTTAGATGTACAGAACATTTGCATGAGCCTTGTTTTCAGCTATATGTACCACAAAGTATATTCCCCTATAGGCTACTCGTATATTTCCAAATTTTCTCTGGTGCAATACAAATTCTTAAATATCCCTAAATGTCAAATTTGTAAAAAATGAATCTCTAATTCATGTAATTGTATAATTTTTATTTAGACGGCAAGTGTCACATCAAAGAGTTGAACAGGTCAGGATGTCCATATGGTAGCAATTTATCACAAGCTGAATGTGAGGCATATAACTGTTGCCATAACAACACCTCATCTCCAAGATGCTACAAAAAAGACCCAAGTAAGAACACTCTTTACAGGGTGACCCAAAAAGATATTTCAACCCTAAACATGAATAATTTCTTTAATATATCAGCAGTGACCTTGTAAAAAACCTAAGAAATTGCTTAAAAAAAATAAGAAAAAGGTCATTCAAAAAGCTCATGCAAATATCTAAGCACGAATGCCAAAGGGAGAGGACCAAAAACTGTAAAGAAACCTTTATGATATAAAAAATACTCTAAATCTTTATATGCTTCTATTTTACATTTTTACAGAATAATTTATCGACATATTTTTGCTCTTTGATTCAAAACTAACTGTCAAAAGTTATGATTACTATGTTAACTTGTGCTTTTGGTCATAGAGGCAACGTGGCTCGTGTGATGACCATTTCGTCTATATTCCAGTATGTCAAAAGCTGGGTTGTGAAATAGACAATGAAACGGGACATCTACAATGTCCAGATCCATTCAAGATTGAGATAGCACGAGTGAAAAATATCGCTGAAGGAACATGCAATGGCGTGGAGAAATGTGAAACAATTATCCGTAAACCAAATAATACTAGAAAACAATGCAATAATCGAACAATTTGTAGATTCACTGGAATGATTGACGAAGGTAAAAAATATGAGAAGTGTTCGACGTTCATTAATGGAAGCCCCACGGAGCACAATACTACTACACAAGAGATCTGCTATAGGTGTTACCCTTTCCCAACCACCAGCCAACTTACAACAACTATGAAATACACACATCATACAAGGACCTATGATAATGGTAAGATGGTGTCCTACATACATACCATATCTAACTGTATATTGGGGTACCCTGACAGGGGCATAGCCAGCTTTCAGTCAGGGGGGTGCGATCGCCAATTTTGGGGGGTTTTAAGTCAGGGGGAGGCGATTGCCAAAATTCTTTTCGCTTTTCAGTCAAGGGGGTGCGGTAATGGCATAAGCAAGGAAAAAAAATTGGAATTTTTAAGATTTGTTTTGAATTTTACAAAAAAATGATGCAACTTCCTTCAAAACTGGGCTAGAAGCTTCAAATAAAAAGCATCTTAAAGCTCTTTTCTTCTTCTATCTTGTGATTCTATTTTTTCATTGGTTATGGAGGGGGGGGGGGGCGCGGGATGTGATCACACCCTCCTGGCTATGCCTATGTCTGATTATACTTTCTTTAAATGTTTGCACCAGGAAACATAAAAGATTAACATCTATCCACTTTCCAGCTGCCATTTCAACTTTCCCCTCTTCAAAATATTCCCCTCCAAGTGTTGTTGTTTTTTTTTGTTTTTTTAACTCTTTCTAAATATTTTATGATAATCAAGTCACCTGAAGAATTTATCACAGATTTTTGATATATCTGGTAGGGCTAAGGGGTGCAATTTCGACAAACAATTAAGAAAAAAAGAAAAGTTAAAATCTCTTGAGATCTTGATCCATGCGATCCCTCTAGATCGGAAATTAGAACAAATAAACAAAGAGGTGCCGAAGTTACCCCACATGTCGAAGTTACCCCAAAATGATGTAGACGTTACACCCCTTCGCCCTAGATGTTGTTGGAGATATTGTTTCTTGCCACAGTTCATTTTCAATTTTTCCCCTATGATGCCTGCTTTTCAGATGTGACAACACAAGATGATGAAAAATCCAGAAAAACAACCAATAAAATGGATTTCCAAACACTGGCGTTGATAACAACTGTAACAACAGTGGTGCTTTTGATATTAGTTATTCTAGTAGTAGTTTATATAATTGTACGAAGACTCAGAAAGAGACGTAGAAGTAGAGCATCCAGTGCAGTGATGGATTCTTTAAACCCTTCAACGTGGGACTTTTCTGCAGACTCTGGTCATTCAACTGGTGCTTCAACATATGTTCATCCTTACAATGAAATCGATGAATCACAGATGCTACCAATAACTGATAGCACTTATCCATATCAATATGTTGAGAGAATACCACTCAGAGATTTGGATCCCGAAGCCACTGAAAATTAATTTTGACATGAATCCATATACAATAATACCTGTATATCCAAAAAACCTGTCTCATCCTACCACATCTTATCAGTATAGTGAACACTTTTTCTCTATCCTGTCAACTCCCAATCAATGTGTACGTATATTAAGGAAGCTCGTAATGAGAACACCTGCTAATCTGAACACTTTTGGCCAGTCCGAGTGGTGTTTGGATTAGGAAGGGTATACTATTATCTAATGTTATTGATGATACTATTGGCAGTGATCTCCCTAGCATTAAAGCAAGGCGTAGCACCCACCTGAGATTTTGAAAACAGGCTAGTTGGAGGCTATAACAATGTGTCAACACTTCTTGTGGTGATATAATAAATATTCAACTATCGTTGCAATGTCCTGTATAAAAAGTGGGCAACCTTGAATGAAAACCCAAATACTAGTATTTAAAAAAGTCAACAGTGTTTTTCTACTATCTGAATGAATAATACACTTTTGATTTTGATATGATGAAATGAATGTAAAACTTTCTTTAACCATTTGGTGGATCCGCCAAATTAAAACAGCCGCCAAATTAAGTAGCCGCCAAATGTTCAACACAAAGCTGCAAAAATCAGTAGCATGAGAAGTACAGTATTCTATAATTTAGGTCAGATGGAGAGTTCTGTTTTTGTAAATTTGAATTTGTACATACTGTATATATAATAAAATGTTATTATGTCTTTATTAAAAATGGAGGAAACCTTGAAATGATATGAAAGGCAAAGCAAACCACATGAAAAATAGCAGTGCCACCACATTAAGTTTCATTCACTACCTACGTAGGAATGTATCAGTCTCTAATAGATGCTGAAAACATGAAATGAAAGAAACATACAAACAAACAGTTTACCCAGAAATGTGCAGTCAAGATGATTTGATGGCACCCACCCGACTGGCAAACTGATTACAAGGGTGCAATAAAAACGTGAAACATTTACCTATGTGATTTACATTAAATATCATTTTATATCTTTTAGATCAAAATATTTATCCACTCTACAATACAGACCCTTGCAAAAAATAGATTCCCGTCTTATGACATCAAAATTCAAAACTGAAAATATTGAATATATTTGACATCAATAAACTACAAACCGCTAGCTTTGTTCAGAAAACTGTTTCAGAATCACCAGATTTTCCTTTTCAAAAATTCAAACATCTATTTGTTCCAGGAACATCATCATGACACGAGAATTAATAAGAATTTAACTGTAAAAAAATTCAGAACAGAAATTGGAAGAAAATCAATTGAAACAAGTGGCCCATTACTTTACAATACTCTTTCACTTGATCTCAAAAAGTCTAAACATATCAAATCATTTGAACGAAAGTTAAAGTTTGATTTGCTAAGTCATTATTAAATCTTCTTTGAAAAATGCTTTCTTCTCATTACTTGTATTTTATTGTGATGCATTTTATGCTTTGTCATTTTTTTTTGTTTCCATATAACCTGACTGTTAATTTAATAAATGCTATATTGTATGTTAAACATGGAACCTTATACACCCCTCGGGGTGTCTTTTCATGTCAATGTAAAACACTGTATTTGAAACATTTGAAATAAAGTGAATTGAATTGAAAAATTGAAATTGAAAATTAATTAATATTTATCAATTTCTTGCTGTCAATTTTCTATTTCCTTTCGACATCCACCACAATAGGAAGATTAATATTGCACTTTTCAAGTGCAACTGAAATTACTTTTCCTGCAGCATGGAATAAATTGTCATCTTACCCCTTGCAAAGCCAAGTCTAAGGAGTAGTCGCTAATGAATGTGGTTTTCCCTGATCCAGTTGGGCCTGTGAACACTGTCAGTTCACCTCGTCTGTGCCCCTTTAATAGCTTATTCAACTCGGGATACCTGTTCCACTGTAAATAAAAAAATAACCTGATATACATGTTTATTGTACCTGTATATTGACTTGTATATGTTGCAGGTTCTTCCTGTGATATCTAAGGATGAAAATTTCGAATTTTACCTATTCTGAGTACTGTTCTAAGATTTAAGAAATGTCAAGAACTGGTTAAATGATTTTCCAAAATTCAACTGAGTGCAATCTCATTCCAAAATCCCGACGGGGTCAAAGGTCATTTTCAAATTCTCAAAGTATAACTAATTATAATTCTGGTTGAATACCTCCCTTCAAAATTGTAATATAGAACAAAATGTAATTGAATGAAAAACATGCTTTTAATAGTCATTGTAAGCTACAAATCTGCATCCCAAAAATGTAACTGACTTTCTCCCTTCTCCCATTAACTATCTGACTATTGTTTGTTGGTTTAGCCGACCTATGTAAGCAAGCACACTTCTTTAAAGTGTATTTGACATTAAAATGTCATGTCATACTCATTGATAAAGGAGGTCATACCTTAATCCCAGAAAAAGCAATCCCATATTCATTGATAAAGGAGGTCATACCTTAATCCCAGAAAATGCAATATCATATTCATTGATAAAGGAGGTCATACCTTAATCCCATAAATTGCAATATCATATTCGTTGATAAAGGAGGCCATACCTTAATCCCAGAAAATGCAATATCATATTCATTGATAAAGAAGGTCATACCTTAATCCCAGAAAATGCAATATCATATTCATTGATAAAGGAGGTCATACCATAATCACAGAAAATGCAATATCATATTCATTGATAAAGGAGGCCATACCTTAATCCCAGAAAATGCAATATCATATTCATTGAGAAAGGAGGTCATACCTTAATCCCAGAAAATGCAATATCATATTCATTTATTAGGGAGGTCATACCTTAATCCCAGAAAATGCAATATCACATTCATTGATAAAGGAAGTCATACCTTAATCCCAGAAAATGCAATATCATATTCATTGATAAAGGAGGTCATACCTTAATCCCAGAAGCCTCTTCTGCGTGTAACATCTCATTGAAGACTTCCTGTCTAAGATAGGAGAACGACGTGATGGATTTGTGCATCAAAGGTTTGGAATTGCGGTAGATTGTTGGAAGTGGGAGTCCAACACGCATGGATTCAAGGGGACTAGGGTTATCTTCAGTTGGTCTAAAATGTAATTATAAATGGTCATTAATTTTAATTGGTGTATTAATGGATAAGAATATTAGCATCATTAATTTTGTTCATAATGATGAAATGTTCTTGATATTACTTGTGTATATATTGTGTTCGATGTGGATTGTGTGACACAGGGATATATGTATATCCATACAAGGCATTTACTTGCTGAATGTTACAACCTGCCATTTGTTACAGAAACTCCAACCTCAACTGCCGAGAAAAGTGGTGACATAAAATAAATGATCAAGGCAAGGCAGTAGAGACAGGTAGTGAACATATTGCATAAAGGTTTGAAAATACATTTATTTGAAACTTGTGTATTGCTCTTACTGGGTGAATCAAGGTTGTGGACATTTTCATTTCAGGATAACATTATTTGTATCACCCTGTAGTTGTACATATGGACATGCAATTATCTTAGTGCAGTTACCTTATAATATAGCAACGTCTTGAGTTCAACTTTTTTGCGAAACGTTTAGCAGTTTCCCAACTTTGCAGGTCATTGCCAAACCAAAGAGTTATTTTCTTAAATTGTTCTAAAAGTGGAAGCACCTAAAATGAAACAATAGATATTTTATATCTGATAAACAATCCATATTTTGGTACGTAAACGATACATATGATTTATTGCATAATTCATAATGTCATAGATAGCAATATTTAATTAATTTGCTGCTAATTTTTGAAAATCTTGCATACTAGTGTAAATTAAATCTTTGAGATATGAAATGCCTATGATTACATTCGTTCAAACAGTTCAAAAACAGCAATGATCAAATTTACAGTTACCAAAATCACAACTTACATGCTGGGGTAGACTAGAAAGATTCTTCGTGAGTGACACAGCGGGAACTCTCGTTTCTTGGAAAGCAGCCATAGTCTCCAATTCAGATGACGTCAGAATCACTTCACTTGCATCGTGACGTAATGTTTGAAGCCCGAACAGACCACCAGTTGGAACCCTGAAAGAAGTTGTACAGTACAGTATAGGCTTTACATAACAAGCTTTTGCCAAGAGGGGTTCATTTTTCAAAAAAATCCAGGGGATTCACATTTGACAATATTGGCACAAAATCACTTGAAGTGTTCAGAATGGTGAAAACTGCATGATTTTGACAAAATTTTTGGGCCTGGGGGATTTGCTCGATACTACTCTTCAGGGTTCTTGTACAATCAGAAAGTATTCCACTTACTAGTATTGTTCTAACTAGTTATTGATTTTTTTCAAGTTACATCATCCTTGAACCAATGTCAATGGACCTTGCAAGTTCTGGATGCGTGAAATCATTCATGGAAAATATTTGAAATGTTAGATCAAAGATTTATGGAATGAGTCTTGTATCATTTAAATTGTAACAAGGCATCAACATGCAAAATGTCACTACCTGCCATTTGTTACATTCATTACAGATGCTGAATGGCGAACACCAACCAACGATTAACAGATCCCAAAAAAAGTTGGAGACAATAGCAATATGTCACAACTTGTGGTGGTGACATAAAAACACAAACCTTGGAAAGGTTCTTTCAGTAATCTTGGGCTGACCAGATGCATTGACAACATAGCGCATGACTCTAACACTTAGCAATGTGCCCTCTGTATTAAAGCATGGAAAGACAAGGCCATCTTCTTCTTGTGTCATTCGTACCTTATAATTTTGCAAAACTGGAAGTTTCAATTTCTGAAAATAAAGTATGAGCTTGAGAGCCACATTTTGAATATTTTTTGCATTTTATAACTCAAAGACTACAAAATATCTACAGGTACCTTCGTTTAACATGTACACAAGATGTCTTTGCCTACTTTTGTCAATGGGGCCCAGTATGCCATTTTTACAAGAAATTTCACAAAATTAGTTTTTAAATAAAACATGTGATAACATCTCGTGATTTATGTTTAAGAGTATATCTATGATTTTTGAGGGATATCATTTTTAGAGTGGAAATCAATTATCAACATCTCCAAAAATGAAAATAAATTAACTAAAGTCATTTAATGACAAAGTCGTGACATGGTTGCACACAATTATGGAGTGGAAACTTAATTTGTTGCTATGGTAACCAATATTTCCTAAAATGTTTACTTACAATAATGTTCAGATTAAGCCAAATTTTTCAAATATTAAGAGTAAGCATACTTTCAAGTATGTTCAAATTATGCCTTAAGTCGGAATAAGCTTACTTACAATAATAACAATTATACAAAAAGTAGGAATACTTACAAGAATGTTAAGGTTATGTAACAATAGCTGAAGTTTCTCTGGATCACTTTGCGACACTTCTGTAGCACCCTGCCAGATCTCAGTCAATCGTGACGTGTCTCTCTCCTCAACCTCACTTTGAAACGTTAGACAGTCCATTTTTCTAAAATAATCAAATTACGTTAAAGCTTTCAAAAATCTGTAATACTTTGAAAATCATTAAAAATGTAAAACAGTTCAAATGTAAAATAAAGAAAGACCTGTCTAATCTAAATAATGTCACTTGGACTGGCCGAAAGTGTTCAGATAGGCAGGTGTTCACATTTCGAGGTTTTCTATGGTAGATTAAACAAGGCATCAATATGCCAAATGACACCCCTTGCCAATTGATAAAAACAACAACCAATTGCCAATTGCAAAAAGCTGTCCACAGAAAAAGTTGGAGATTATAAAAATATGTCACAACTTCTGGTGGTGACAAAAAAATGTGAAAAAAAGCATTCACTGTGACAGGTGTTCGTATTATAGATGTGTTCTGATATACACATGTTTTAATATTGAAATAATGTGAACAATTTTAATATTCATAATGATTGACAACTAAGATAAAAGTTTACCTTTTGAATTTCGCCTGATTTTGGAGTAAATTAATGTTAGTCTTCAACTGACACCAAGTTCCTGACTGGTGACAACTCTGGCAAACAAAATAACCTGAAATGAAAAAAAGGTAAAATATCAAGCACATATTCTGAAGGCAAATGAGAGGTGTTGAACTGAAATATCAAATCAGCTTTGAGAAAGATGTAGAGAATTGATAGGGGGTACTTAATTGTCTTATTTTCAAAAGGGACACCTATGACCTTTTTCTGGTACTTTGGCCAGATGGCTTAAGCCCCACAACCCACATAGCAGATGGAAAACATTTCATTTCAGTGAAAACATGTTCGAAATGAGTGCATTATGAAAAATAGAAGGTGGATTTTGTTTCATATGTAGGCACTAACTTTTATAGTCCAGCTAAAAGCTTTTGTGCCTACACACCTCCCTTGTGTGAGAAGTTTACATCCCTATGTCAAGTGAAGTGGTGGGGGTCACGGGGACTTGTAGCTACACTGTAAACTACAGTTTTAAGTGAAAGCGTGAGTGTTAAATTGTTCCTGATGAATGGCTCCTATAATGTGCATATCTACTATGGTAAAGGCAAAAGAAAATGATAGGTAAAAATTAAAACTTTTTAAAATTATTTCTTTCTAAAAATTGCATTTTAACGAATAACTTTTATTGTGAATCAACACGTTTATTTGCATACCTGTTTTCATATTGATGAAAAGTTTATCAATTTCTTTCGTCTTTAGCCTCTTGGTTGTAAACTTTGGACACGTCATAACAAAACATGTATAGCCTTCATCTACTGCAATTGTATTCTGCTTCAGAAATTTCTTAATTTCATCTGTCTGAACTAGTTTATCATCAACCTCGATATGTGAGGTGCAATATGACCTTTTATGTCTTAGTATAGATTCTGGTTCCTTATCAGTATGCCCATATATGGTAACTTGCTCCAATCTTAGCTGCAATATTGAGGATGATCTACAGTGCGTTCTTGTACGATTTCCTTGATATCTTATCTGCGATCTGAGGTATTTAGAAACAAAAATACTCCCATGTTTATCACTGGTGTATTTCGATTTGTCTATCATTGCAGTATGTCGACCCTCAACAGGAACAGCTATAGTTTTACTAATGGGAGAATAGTGAATGGCTGCTAAAGATGGGTTCTCTGATCCATTCCATGTTTTTGATAAATTACTTAACTTCTGAGATAAACACTTTGAAGTTGAAATGGTACGAGCTTGGGAAGGAATCATCATCTATGGTCAATACATCCAGCTATCTGTGTCAATCATCAATAGAGGACTGACCCACATCTACGCATATACATGTATAGCTGTCATAATTCTGGTAAATGTCACGTGCCATCTGATCATTCCTGAAAAATGAAAAAGAATTCACTTAGAAGTATCAATAAGTACATTGATTTTGTTTAAAGTCCCCGTCTAAAGTTTGAAAATATTTTTTTATCATTCATTTACTATTTGTCAGGACTTAAAAAGTGATTTTAGAGATTTTTGAACAAAAAATCTTTTTTGAAAAAAAAGTTGTGAGCATTTCATTTCTCAGATATTCAAATTTCCCGCCATTTTTCAAAGAAAAATGAAATTTCTTAATCATCAAATATTTCTTAATGCATTTCAAAAAAGATTATATTTTTAACACCAATGCAAAGATTGAACAAAAGACACACTATTTCAATAATAAAATGTCATATTCAATGGGCCACTTCAATGTTTTAGCTTATCAAAAATATTTTGAAACATTAGTGATGTCACTAAGGTAACAAAAACTTTTTGAAAAAAATTGAATTTTTTTTTCGATGTCAATCTTTTCTAAATATGCTAGACTTTCATAAAAAAACAATGTTGATTGTCTAACCAGGTTAAAAGGAAGAATAAATTATGTTTTAGATATCATTGTACCATTGGTTTCTATGAGAACTAAAATTTTGAAATGCATTTTTCTCAGAACCATTTTCATGCACTGATAAGTTCATTTCTCGCTTGTTTATCAACCGATTTTCTTAATTTTTTCGGCAAAAAACATGGGAGGATGTATGCTATGCATTGGTATGAATTGTGGCTAATTAAAAGATATGAGTGACCTCTAAAAGTTGGTTTTAAATAAATTCACAAATTTTGGAACAAAAAGTCTATCAAAAACCACTTTTTGAAATTAAAAAAAAAAGTTTCACATATCACACTTTGATAACATTGGGTAAGACTACAATATAAGCCAAAGTGGTTTAAACTTTACATGGGGCCTTTAATTTTCTTTGGGTAGTTCTGCACTTTCTTTGAAGCATTATGATTTTGAGCAATGTATTCTTATAACATTGACAATTTACATGTGATGAAATAGATGTGGCTCTGCCCCCTTTGATTGCACATGCAAAGTACTGCAATACCCAACAGCGTTACTCTGCACAATGAACTATTTAGGCTCTCAGCGGGGCATAAACATATGCACATTGTTTATGAAAAGCAGCCCGTACCATTTTGGAACGAAATAAACATCCAGCTCAGGCCCGTAGCCAGGATTTGCCAAGGGGGGGGTTCAGTTTTCAAAAATTTCCAGGGGGGGTTCACATTTGACAATTTTGGCCCAAATATGACTAAAATCACTTGAAAAGTGCTCAAAATGGTGAAAAACTGCATGATTTTGAAAGAATTTTTGGCCAGGGGGGGTTTGCCCGAACCCTGCGAACCCCCCCTGGCTACGGGCCTGCAGCTCTCCAAATAAAGTAAAGATACCTTCATTAATCGTGATGACAAGTGAGGTTTCAGGAACATAACAGTGAGATATAGAATTGATATCTTGGGCAAACGGGACATACAGTACTCATATATTGCCCACTGCATATATCACACTGAAGAAAATCTTCTGCAATACTTGTGGTTTATTTTTGAAGATTCAACCTTCAAGGCGTCATATCTGACTTTTGAAGTAGAGACCATCAAACGTTGACAAGAGTCGTCAAAACGTCAATAATGCAACTCTACAACTCGACTATTTTCTGCACCCTTAGAAAATATTTTTGACAGCCTATTCTATGTCACATAAAAGAAAATCATTTCAAAACAGGAACCGAATTTATTAATGAGAAAAAAAAGAGATTTTTCTTATTCAAGTTTATTTAGTTTATTATTGGGCGATAATATGTGAACTCTTGAAATGTGATTTTTAAATGATCGTTTTTCCATCATACAGGCATTTTATATTTATACTAGTGATATGAGTATATAGCACTTTTATTCCGGAATAAATATAAACATATATTACCTTCAAATACAGCTTATTCAAATCAAATAATCATATTTAACTGCGAATTTCTTCGGGCGCGAATTTTTCAACAATTCTCCCCTTCTTTCTGGAGAGTTTAAGTTCCGGTATGGCTTCGTTTTGCAGAAAGTCAATTTCTCTCTTTTTTGAGTATGATACGCCTAAAATAGTTCATATTAGAAGTAAAAAAGTAGGAGTAATCAATCGACTCATACAGTTGGCTATAATAGGATACATAATTGGGTATGTTACATCGTAGTAACCCTAGAAACATGATTTCAAATTTTGTCAAGATTTGTTTCACACTTGACTCACTAAGAAAGTACAGATACAATTACTGTATCATATGACTTCTGAATCATCAAAGTGAGTGGTATGGGACATATCTGTTATCAGTAAGATTTTTTGTACATCCTAGCATGTCTAGTGTCAATGGTTGACATATTTTAGCATTATCTTCATAGTGTTTCATAACAATACCCATACACCTGGGGATATGCAGTAATGAAGTATATCAAATCATGTTTCTTGTGTTATATTCATCTTTGGTCTTGCTCAGGTCTCTAGCCAATCTAAGTATTTGACTAGAGATCAACACAGGGCCCACCTACCTCTTTCACAGTCTGACTGATCTGATCTGCCATCCCGGGGGGTTCACTGTTTACAAACTTTGACGGTGGTCCTAAGCTTAACCCTCAGATATCAAAATGTTCTCATATCAATCTGTCAAATTTTTCCCAAACCGAACAAAAAAAAGCCATACCAAATGTTCAAATATAGGACCAATGCCATACCAAATGTTAAGATATAAGACCAAGCCAATGCCATACCAAATGTCTTAATATTACCCCCATAAATGTGGGGTTATTTTGAGGTTCTTTGATATTTAGGACATTTGTTTCTCAAAATAAAATAAATCCTCAAAATAACCCCACATTTATGGGGGTACTTAATATATGACCAATGCCATTTAAAATTTCTGAGGTAGAAAAAAGCTACTATTCAAACTTAAGAAGGCCTTGAGAAGAAGGCAAATCTATTAAAAAAAACTCAAATTAAGGATATGTGAAGCTACTAGATCAATTCCATACCCCAAGTGTGAAGTAACACACTTTTTTGGGGGGGGCATTCTCATACCAGATCCTAGGTCCAGTGCCATACCTAATGTCAAAAAGGTACCCCATGTGCTTACCACCTTTGTTCGTTCGGATTTTCATCGGCTAGTTATCAAATACTACACTTCGATGGGATGTTTTAATTGATATAGGCATATTCCGTACACCTTTCTTTATCTTGATGTGAAATGAGAAGCTATGATATTGGTTAACACGCCACAAATGAACATAATATTATTCGAAGCGTTTTTCGAAATTTTGAAACCGTCATTGATGACGTCATTTGTTTGTCGACTTTTGACCAATCAGCGATGATTTCATCTCAATACTGATTTACAAATTACATTATAAGCGTATGTCATCTTTGAACCCTGGTGTTTCTCCCCCTCTGTGATAGTGTTGAACTTTATTTCAGTATAGCGAAATTGTCATTCAAAGGTCTGGAGTACTAGATAGTATACATGTATGCAGATTGCAGATGTCAAATGATTGATATTTATATACTTACACTTTTAAAGACTCAGTAGGCAAAATTTTATGCATTTTATATTCTGTTCCTGGGCATCAACACATGCAGTACATAATTAGAAGTGACATGCAAAAGTAGACTGGAAACTCTCCTGTTTCATGCATCATTGGTGATTGTAATCTTGAAAATTAAATAAAAATTTCATCATGCAGATATACCATAGTACTTGTGCCTAATTTATCTTTGTACAGATGGTTATTTGAAAATCATTGAAATTATTTGATATCTAGATGGGCGATAGTATGGAAAAAGGGATACCAAGAGACAGATTCTGTGGAAAGTGGCGTCACAACAAAACTGAAAGGAGTGGCGTATACAAATTCATCACTTTATAACATTACAAACAATTCTAGTGGGATATTTGATAGAATTTGGGATGTTGCTGATTATGTGAATCCACCACAGGTATATATGTCACTGATCTTTCCATTTGGTGTATGATTTTTGAATTTTAGTTGAAAATCCGTATTGCATAAATTGCACCCTATCAAAATGGTGTTAAGTTGAATTGAGATATTCTAACCATCTAATTAGATATGAGCATCTTACTTAGAAGAAGTTATGGCAACATTGGTATACTGTAAGTGATAAAATGCATATTTTTGGAGTAATAATGGTGATCATGATTATGTCCATTTTGTGAAAAACATGTACAGTACTGCTATCAGAAAAGTGTCAATTTGAAATCTTGATTTTAAAAATGCAAATTACAATCTTTCTCTGACCTTTTGAATTGAGTCAAATGTTTTTTAAGCATTTTTGGAAAAGTTATATTGTTCAGAGAAAGTAAATTGTTTTCTGAAATTAAAAAAAAGAATTATGAACATTGAGAAATACATATTTGGTTTTCAGGAGAACAAGCAAATCTTGGAAAATACATGTTCAGGTACAAAATATATAAAATACAACATGTGCAAAATATACATATAAACATACATAATACATATTTGGTTTTCAGGAGAACAATGCCTTCTTTGTCATGACAAACATGGTCATCACTCCAAGCCAGGCCCAAGGAGAATGTCCTGAGGTATGTCTTAACATGGTCTTGAATTGACCCCCCCCCCCCTCCCACAGTTATCCATCCAATTTTTATTGGGTATGTATGATGCAAGCCTAATTTTAACAGATCAATAAAATTGTAATAAAACCTAAAATTGACCATAATCAGAAGTATGTGCTCTGTTTAGAGAATTTTAAATGATTATTTATATGATGTGTAAGATAGGTTCTATTGAGTCCAGGTTTGTTTGCAAACTGTGATACTATGCTTACAGTGTATACATTTTGTAGGATCCAAGTATGGGTGTGCTCTGTGATGGTCCACAAAACTGCTCAGCTGGCGATCCTGTTATTAATGGAAATGGTAAGTGAGATTACCCTTACCCTGCTATATCCCTTTTGTGTAGCCAAACACCCCTACCCTGCTATATCGTTTTTGTGTAACACTCCTCTGACTTTAACAATTATTTGACAGTTCTGATAAAATCTTAATAATCTCCAATGTTACTTTAGTAACTTTTAATGGGAGCTATGAATGTAAAATAAATTTTAGTTACATTGTCACATGTATACTACAGTTAAACCTATTAAGTTGAACACTTGTAGTAGGGGAACACCTCTGTAAGTGGAACACTTTTGAGAGTGCCAGACCAACTGACTTATGTTCAATGAACCTCTGTTAAATGAAGCTCTGAAAGTTGAACACTTCCCAAGTAGAACACTTTTAGAGGTACCAAATATATCCCACTTTGACAGGTTGAAAATATGTTGAAAACTGACTTTGACTTATACACTGTATTCTGATTTGATGTTGTCTAGAATCTTCTTTGATTTCAAGAGTACAGATAAAGTTAAGCTCTTTCAAAGAGTACACTTAGATAATACCCTGCCACTTCAGAATATATTCAACACCAATTATGGGCAATATTCACAATGAGTGGCTTCCGCATATCAATACAATATTTCATAGAAAATAAAAATATTATGCAAAGGTTAATTGTGGGTCCTAAAATCTCACTGAAACAGATCATACTGGAATAACAAATAACAGTGATTATTATTTAAATGGAAAATTATTCTTTCCATAATTTCAACACATTGCTCCTGAAAATGTATAAAACAAACTTGTTAATTCAGGTTTTGAACTCTATTTTTTTGACCAAAGTCAATTTCCCAAAACTTGTTAACTGGGGTTTTGAACTCGATTCAATTTTAGAGGATGTCTTATTATCCCAATTTTAATTGAGAAAAGGTAGAAAATGACACAACATTGAGACATGTACAGGACGTTCGGGTACAAAGATAACAAAAGCTTAAGTTCAGTAAATGAGGGATTATGAAATACTTTATAAAACCCTGGAAAATATTAGCAAGGGGATCATCTCTGAAATACAAAATTTGATAGAATAGAGAGTAATTACCAAGAAATTGTGTCTACAAGTGTATAACTCATTCTGGTAAGTATACAAAAATATTAGAAAACAATTTCAATTAAAAATTTTGGAGGAGAAAACAGAAAATAAGCATGTTATTTTTTTAAGAATGGGTAAAATGCAGACTGACATAGCACATATGGATTTATGACAGACTTATGTTGTCTTATGTGCAGTTAGTATAACTGGAAACAAACAAATTCTGATCTAACTCATTGCTGACCGACCCCAAGTTATTTTGTCTATGATGTCATTATAGTATCTGACCAACCCCGAGATATCTCAGGGCACCGTCCAATAATTGTCACACAATTTGTACCAATGATCTTACCAAATATAGTATGGGTCACTAGCGGAACATGGTTGGGTGCAAATTAAATATAATGGCTTCACAATTGCCTAAAACATAGCAAAAAGGATGTTGATACAGTCCATTTTATGCTAAATATGGACACATGCAATTTTGACCAATTTTTCATCAAAATGGCCAGTCACCAGCAAAAATCCTCTAAAACATATTTTGCTAGCAATGAGTTTAGCCTAGTTCAGTTAAAAAAAATATTTACTCTGACTTCTTCGAAATAGAAAACAACTCTCTAATCTATAAAACGAGGTTAAAATTTGGAATTTTGATAAACAAATACCCCCACAAAGGATGATACCTCAGCATAAGATACATAAATGTATTTATTTTATCTAAAAGATACATGTAAAACATACTTCAATAAGTGTGCACAAATACTAAAATCTTGATTAATTTTTTCATGAGGAATTAGTAGTTGAATACAGTAAAACCTGCGTATAGTGAACAATTTTTTGCCAAGAAAAAATGTTCACTGTTGGTAGGTGTGATGATTTGATTTCGCGGCATTTTGCTGTATTATATAAAGAGACCAGCTATTAAAAGAGAGGAGGGAATATTTTTTATTTTTTTTATTATTTACTTTTTTAGATATACACTTTTTTAACAGTGGCACTCTTACATTAAGGTGCATGTAATCGAAAAATATCCACAATTCCATGTTGGTTAAAACAGCACATTTTATCAAACTAAAATGAGTCTTAAAAAGAATTAAAACATATTCATATTTGAATAATAAATTTAAATTGTATTTTCTACCCATATTAACCCATGACACTCAAGCGTTAAGTATTTAATTTGTTGTAATGCTATATACAAACTGACTTATTTTAGACTGACTGTCATCTGAATGGTTCATCCTTTTATTGTCAAATTTTTATCTCTATATAATTCTTTTTATCTCATCAAGATGGTCCTTTAAATAGTGGAATTTTTTGAGACATTTGAGTCAGTTAAAGGACTTTATTGAATTAGTTAATGGACATGATAGATGCAGTTAATAGTGAAATGATCATGAATTATAATTTTGATCCAATCGTTTTTTTAAATTAACGGGATGAGAAAAAAGATCAAGTTGGGACTTAGCAGATAGAGGTAATAATAGTTAACTAACTCCAAGCAATCAATCCCAGATGCATATCCTTTGTAACAAAAACAAAGCTTATTAAGAATTATAATTAGTCACACCTGTTTCAATAGAAGAGATCAAGATCTCAAATTGACCTTTTAATTATTTTTGGCAGGTAATATAGATATAAACTGCTTAACTCTGATAAGGCAGTTGTAGAAAATCGGCGAGAAATGTTATATCTGATTCAATGTTCACTAGAGACAGGATAATTCAATTGATTTTGCCAGGGTTTAGTGTTCACTGTTCATAGTTGGTAGGTGTTCACTATAGGATTGCACTTTAACATGGGAGTCAATGGGAGAAAAAGGTTTTGCCGAATAAAAACGTTCACTGTTAATAGGTGTTCACTAGAGAGATGTGTTCACTAACTCAGGTTTTACTGTAGTTAAATATTTATTTAATGCACAAAATCTGTTTATTTTGTAAAGGCAAGTGATCTTTTATCAAAATCACATGACTTTAGTATCTCCTTTCATATATGGTACTTAACTGACTAACTACTGTAAATCAACGATTTGAAATACACACTGAATTGTCCAAATAACACAAATAAATAAGTAAACAAACAAACAAACAAATGTCATTTCTTATAATAGCATATCAAAATAGCTTATTCATCTTTGATGAATAAATAAGTTAAAAAATCTAGTTGTTTGAATAGCATCCACAGAAAAGATTATTGTTTGAATTAGCATGATAAAGTGCATTAGTTGTGTATGTGCAAAGTATATACATGTATCCTCATTTTACCCGCTTCTTTAGCACAAAATGTTCATTCACTTTCTTTATCTTTTTGGAACTATTGGTATTCTTTTGATTCACCCATAGCTTCCTTAAAGATCATCTTCATCTTCACTATTTTGTTTAATGGAAGCCTCTGAATTCATCCAGCCAACGAGAGTTTGTTGCCTGAAGGATGATTTTCTATATAAGGTCATTTCCTCTAAAGTCATCACAATGGCAGTGGGGCAGACTCATTGAACTATAAAATTGCCTGTACTTTTCACAGGTTACTTTAGAAGTACTGTATTTCTACTTAATTTGATTGTCGTGGTGGATCCGCCAAATTGTTAAAGTCTGCCAAATTAAGTAACCATCGAATTCCCAGGAAATTTTAGTACCATATATATTAGTACCAATTTGTAATATTGCATGTTGGCCAAATTAAGGAGCGGCCAAATGTTCAAACTAGTAAATCTTCCAAATAGGTAGCGCCAAATTAAGTAGAAGTACAATGACCTCTGTGTAATCTTTTGGCACCATTAGCCAGCTATTAGCCATAAGCCATTACCCATTCTGCCAATGAGGACTCCTCCGTTTTTGGTCTCCTTAGACCCTGTAAAGCCCATGCATAACATGTATGCTTTTTCTTGTAGGTGTTATGACTGGTGCTTGTAGTGACCCCTATTTCTCGCCAGTGACAAACTCTACAGTTAAGTCATGTATCATAAAAGCTTGGTGCCCAGTGGAAATAGACCTTCTTCCTGTGTAAGATATTACATTTATTCAGTTTGGTCAACAATTATAAAATTATAAAAAAGAAAGTTTTCATAGCTATATGTACAGATGTAATGCTTAGAATCATGGCACTTTATAAATGGTGTCCAGTTATCCAGTTATTAACAGTTGTTGAAGAACAAAGTGAATTTATTGTTTGAGGAGGAGTTTGATGATGATTTAGTTTGGGAATGGTGTTGGTTTTTTGTGACGAATCAACATTTAACATTAAAACTTTATATGAGGGGAGGGGAAAGAGGCAAACTATAATGAAATTAACTTCATTTTTCCAAAATGGATGAGACAAATTAGACCACTTAAGCAGGACTTTTTTATAAAATCTTATTCATTTTTTTATGTACAGTAAAACCTGTCTACAATGAATTCCTATGGAGCCACAAAAATATGTTCACTATAGGTAGGTGTTCACCACAGAGAGGCAGTTTTATACAGAACTCAGTGGAGTATGTGCTGAAAATAGGTGTTCACTCAACTTAAATGTTCATAGAGAGAGGTGTTCACTAAGACAGGTTTTATTGTACTGTAATCTGCATGATTTGTGCTTTCTTGCCACCCATAGATAGTGCTATAAGTGCTGAGCATGAGGCAAATGCCTGAGACTAGCATTTTATGGAAAAATGTTTATTCAGCTGTGTTTTGAACTTAAATTGTGAAAATGAGCTTAAATTTGCCTCACTTATTTACATTTACCTCACCTAATTGCAGGTCATAATTGCAGGTCCTAATTGCAGGTCCAGGCTACACCAAGCATACATAAACATCAACACTTAGTACATGTATCATAAATTACATGACCCAGTACAGCAGTATGGCCATCTATTGACAACATCGACATACCCTTTTATAAAGATCACCATTCACTTTATTTTCAGGCCTGAAAAAGCAATCTTAGCAGAATCAAAAGATTTCACAGTTCTCATTAAGAACAACATACAGTTTCCATTATTTAAAGTCAAAAGGTAAAAATCATCTATACCCTTTGCAAAACCCATTATATTCCTCTTACTCTTTGGACAACTGATAAACTACTTAAACTACAGGCAGTTTTTACTCAGCCACGATTTTTGTAGACTTTTTTGAAATAAATGTAATTTGCAGCCAAAGGTATGGTAAATAAATTAATATCACTGTTCCATAGCTGGATGACTCTAACTGCAGTTAGCGTCATTCAAGATGGTTTCTGAAATTCTTTCACTCTTGACAAACCTCCAATTTCAGCTTAATCTTGATTCCAAAAGTTTCGCCATGCAAACTAATAAAACTATTATTGTAAAAAAACACAAATAAATGCCCAAACACCCGCAACATTTGAAAGAAAATGGTTTCACTTAGAATGACTCTAACTGAAGTTGATGATGAAAACTTCAGTTAGAGTCATTTTAAGTGAAGCTCCACCCATATCGCAGCTATTAGGGCATTTGTCTGTTGTTGTTTACAATCATAGCTTTATTAGTTTGAATGGCGAAATTTTTGGAATCCAGATTCAACTTAGTGTAGCTGAAATAGGAGGTTTGTCGAAAACAAAAGGATTTTGGCAACCATCTTGAATGATGCTAACTGCAGTTGGAATCATCCAGCTGTGGAACAGTGAATATGTAATATTAAACCTTTGTAGGAGGAATATTCCAGAGGCATATAACAATGACACATATCTTAAAAGATGTCGCTGGAATGCAGAAAAGGACCCATATTGTCCCATATTTACACTGGAGTCAATGACAGATGCTGCTGGGGAAAACTATGAGGAAATGGCAGTTAAGGTAAATGTATATGAATATGGTACAGTCCAGAGTACTCAGAAGACATTTAGATAGAGGCTCTCTAAATATGTAGTTCATAGATTAGGATAAAAATTGTGAGGTTTTCCCCCCAAATAAATAGAGGCGTCACAGTTTCCCAAAATTGGACTGAATTTTGGTCCAGATGCTTCGGTTCTGGACACGGGACAGAAGGAGTTAATATCGGTACGGTATCGGTACATAAATTCCTTCCCTAAAATGCATAAAAACGTATATAAATAGCTGAATAATTAAATATTTTCACTTACCTCGTACCCAGATTACACTTCTTTGCATTGAAAGGTGTTATTAACGGACCCACGATTTCAGGTAGATTGTAATGCATGTTCGTAAATTTCTTCATCGTCGTTCGCAAATCGAGTGCATTATCAGTATGCCGGATGTAGAAAAGAAATTGAAAAATCGAGCCGGCATCAAAGTCGAAAAAGTCGGCAGTTTGGAAGTATTTTGGGACTCCGATATCACAAGGTAAACGAATTGGTGATAGTACACCGTGCAATTATGTAAAATGCCGATCACATTCGTGGCAGATGCGTTATATTAGATTTGAATTGATGTTTTTTATTTCTGAATATGATTTTGAAAAGTGAAACTGAAAGTGAAACTGCCATCATCAGACGTTGCATAATTTTTCTATAAAGTTCTGTCCCGTCCCGAAAGTACCATGTCTTGAGACCATTTGTACCGTTACGTACTGTACCGAAATTTTTTTGGAAGTTGACACCTCTAATTAAATAAATGAATTAAGAATTTTGTATACTTTGAATATATTTTCATTATCAAGCTCAGTTGGTAAAAAAATCTGCTTGTGAAAACTTTTAACTGTGGAAAATCTACCAGTGAAAAAATTTACCTGTGAAAAAAAATTTGCCCCTGAAAAAATTGACCTGTAAAAGATCTACCAACCACATGTTATTTTCAGCTGGGTGAAGCACTCTATTATTCATATGCTACGATTGTTGAATAGAATATTTTTACGTTACTACAGGGAGGTGTTATGAACATTATCATCAGGTGGGACTGTAACCTTGACTATGACCCAAGTGAATGTGTGCCTAAATATGAGTTCAGACGCCTGGATGATAAAGATGCTAAAATATCCAAGGGATGGAATTTCAGGTACGTTGTACCTTGCATTGTATTGTACTGTATTGTGTTGTTTTGTCTTATGTTGTGTTTTATCACATGGTAAGAAGTTTCTAAGCATTTGATTGGTCAATTTTGATGGTCCACATGACTTGTTTTCATGACTTGTTTTCATGTGTTACTATTGACTGTTGACTGCCTAAATAGTCAAAAGTGACCCCCCCTTGGATATTTTAAGAAAGTGAACCCCCTTGACAAAAACTGGCTACTGGCCAAAATATTATTTCACAGAAATAAGTTTTCAGTATAACTCTCACTGGCATGTAGCGGCCCTGATATCGATAAATTCTACACGCAATATAACCCGAGACTACATGCTTGGTTAAAACTTTACACGAAAAAGCTTCGATATCCGGGCATTTACTCTTACACTGAACTGAAAATAGCACCGTCTAAACGTGTATGTGTTGGCTTCCAGGTAAGTTTATCAACATTTATACTCAATTGAAAGAGCAGTCGTGCTTATATCGTGTACCAGTTTGATTTATTTATATGTGTGTGTATTTATAACATGATAGCCTAGTAATACCGTGTCGTTAGAACAACTGCTAGAAATCGAACTGATGACCTGAAATTACATCATTCGACTGATCGCGCATCTGATATTAGATGATTAATTTGCATTGAATCTGATATTAACTTGCAACCCAATACCATGACTTTACATTTGAATGATAACACGGCCTCATATTCTAATCCATTATACGTCCATTGCAGGCCAAAAATGTTTCAATGTGGATATTGTAATGCACACGAGAATACATTCGATTTCCTGTACACTTTCCCAAACCTGTGGAATAGACAAGATACGAATAGAAATTATCTTGATTTACGTCATCAAATATTCAAAATTCATTTTTTGAAAAAATTCGAAACTATCGAATATCACTTTTTAAGACGTGATATTCGATAGTTTAAAAGTGATATTCGATGGTTTGTAAATCGTTTGCTAAAATATGATATCTTGGTCCACATATCAAATATATCATCATGTGATATTCGATCTATATCAACCATGGGATATAGAGGATATCCTATGATTTATGAGAGATATGATTTTTATCCACGAATGCATATGATATCTGCACGAGCGAGCGTAGCGAGAGAGTGCAGATATCAATATCCATGATTAACATCATGGGATGTTCTTTTTATTCCATAGTTAAAGCCATCGTCAGAATCGTCGGAAATTAAGTGATTTAAATCGAATTTTCCAAACGATCCGGCGATGTTGACACTTAGCCTCGTTTTGATTGTATGTCGTGACTAAAAAACCGTATGCTATGGTTAAGTGAACATTTGTCAAAAATATCATATTTTACCACTGATTACAAAAAAAACCGTTTTTATTTTCACATGTTATCCTATGAATATTATGCTAACTATGGAATAAATAAGGGTTATGTACTGGGAGGTTTTGGATACAGGGTTTATCCCAAGGGAAATATGTGTATCTCATGAGGGACCGCAGGGACCTAGGGAGATACACATATTTCCCGCGGGATAACACTGTATCCAAAATCGACCGTACATAACTGGTGTATCTCATACTTGAGTGGGCTTGGGGTAGATATAACCTTTACCACCTTTTTCAAATGACAAGATAGGCCTATACTGTAAAAGCACAATTTATATTTAACATTTTCATAATATTCCTTCAGTTCAATACAATAAAATTGTAACATTTAAACTTTTTGAAAAATTTTAAACTTCTGAAATTTAAATTTTTCAAGTTTTTAAACTTTTGAAAAAATTCCCGGGAGTGGGATGGATATATTATATCTGCCCGCATTTGGCCTAGAGCGGGACATATACATTATATCCTGCCCGCTCCTCAGATATAATATATATTCCCGGGTGATATCTACCCCAAACCCACTAAAGTATGAAATACATAAAGGTTATGCACTGGGATGTTTTGAATACAGGGAATATCCGAGGGATATACAATACATCTTCCCGAGGGACCGAAAGGACCAAGGGAAGATGTATTGTAAATCCCCCAAAAAATCCAAAATTTTTTTTCCCACATTTTTTTCAAAATTTTTTCACCTTTTTTGGCATAATTTTTTTTCAGAATATTTTCAAAACTTTTTTTCAAATTTTTTTCAATTTTTTTTCCCGATTTTATTTTTAACATTTTTTTGAGCGGGACATACGATTTATATGTCCCGGAGCTCCGTCGGAGCGGGACATACGAAAAATATTTGCCGGATATGGAATATATTCCCGGTTGATATGCCCCTGAAACCTCATCAGGTATGGAATACATAGAGGTTATTTACTGGGAGGGATTGAATATGGGTTTTATTCCGAGGGACAATATGATATTGACTGAAGGGTAATATAATATTGACCGAGAGCGCAGCGACCGAGTGTCAATATCATATTGCCCAAGGTCAATATCATATTTTCCGAGGAATAAAACCCATATTCAATCCTGACCAGAAATAACCTATTTATTCCATAATACATCCCTCTAGAATGTTACATTTGGATAATGCAAACGTTATATTAATAAATGCATATTGTTTGAAAAATAAAATAAATAAATAAAATAACCGGGAAACTAAAAAATAGGTCAATACGCTCCAATACGATTTTTCACGGGGACAATACGATTTTTTCATGAAATACGCTCCAATACGATTTTTTTCCAGGGGACAATACGATTTTTTCATGTAATACGATTCAATACGATTTTAATTCCTTCATATTTCCCTGGAAAAACAGTAGTATTATGGAATAAAATATATTTTCCCTCGGGACCTGCGGCCCTCGGACAGATATATTATATTTGCCTCGGGGTAATCCCAATATCCTGAACCTCATATAGGATAATCTCTATATCTACCTGATGGACCATAGGGACCGAAGGTAGACGTGCATATCTCACGAGGGATAAACCCCATATCCAAACCGACCGCACATATCTGCTTTATCATATACCAAGTAGTTTTCTAAAAAATTAATCTTATTTCCTTTTTTAAATTTTTAAAATTTTTCATTTTTATTCTCTACTCTTCTTGTCAAAGGATAATAGACGATAAATATATGTATATAGTTTAGCATGATATGTACTTCTTTCTGTAACTGGAATACGATTCTAATATAAAGCAACACATACGTATTCCCGGGGAACCATAAATATTTTGTGTAGGGTGTGGACATTTTTCTTTTCATTTCTCTAAAATCAGATTATTTTCATAAAATCCATACAAAGTTGGGCCTAAGCCTCTATTTTCGTATTCTGCATGTTAAGATATTAATAATGTAAAACCTAAGAGATAAATTCAATGTCTTCAGTTGAGAATAAGTATAAGGTAAATGTGTGAATTCTGCTTGTTGTTGCACTATTTTTATAATAAACAAGGTTCGATACGCAACACTGAATAGACTGCAGTCATAGCTTAGTTGTAAAGAAAACAAAAGAAGTTGGGACGTGGTCATGCTTGATTATGTTTCTTTTATAGATCACCGTTTGCATTCGTTGAAATCGGCCTGCATTGATTTCAAGAGGTGGTCGGTGTACAAGGTCATATGTTTGAGTTATTGGTTAAATGATAAATGTGACCCTTGAATGCGTTATGCTTTATGTATGCGTGAAACAAATACTACAATGGCCTAATCTCAATTTGCCTACAAACAATATAACATTGAAATAATGGTCATCTGCATATTAACTTCCGCACCACACGTCTAACTTCGACACAATTCAGTAAAGTATCCAGTATCGCTATAATCGCTACATGCCAGTGACTCTGAAGGTATCAATGAGATTAGATGTACTGGGTCTTTTATTTTCTTTATACATACTGTATAAAGCAGTTTCAAATTTGAAATACATTGAGGTTTCTAATTTATATATTTACAATTACATTTAGTGGAGAAGGTTTCAATTTGAGAAAGGAATTTGATAAATTGATAGTTTTTTATTTTATTTATTTATTTATTTTCGTCTCACAGCAGATTTATTTTACATAGAATACTAGTAGTACTAAGATAGTCTGTCATTGTAAATGAAGGCCAATTATTCATAAGACGAGGAAAAAAGTTTCTGGATACTACTTGCAAACGCTGTTCTTTCTGTAAGAGCTTATTACCTTATGAATAGAGAGGACAAACTGTAGTGAAGAATTACACAAAAGCTATAAGTATAGTTAATCTTATATGGAAGCTAATAGAGTATATTGAAAATTCTATCATTAATACAAATAGGGTATTCAGAGACTTCCCAGTGCTAATATTTTTAGTGAACAGGCAAAAGGAATAAGATGGATGAATGGAGAGTGTAGAATATTGCTTAAAACCGGAACAAACTGACAAGGACCTGAATATATAGCTACATGTAAAAACAGGAATATACTGAGCAAGACCCCGAATCTTGTTGGTTATAACAGGAATATACTGCCAAGAACCTGAATCTATTGGTTAGAACGTGAATAAAGTGCTAAGAACAGGAATATACTGCCAAGAACCTGAATCTATTGGTTAGAACGTGAATAAAGTGCTAAGAACAGGAATATACAGCCAAGAACCTGAATCCATTGGTTAGAATGTGAATAAAGTGCTAAGAACAGGAACATACTTTGAGAACCTGAATCTATTGGTTAGAACGTGAATAAAGTGCTAAGAACAGGAATATACTGCCAAGAACCTGAATCCATTGGTTAGAACGTGAATAAAGTGCTAAGAACAGGAATATACTGCCAAGAACCTGAATCCATTGGTTAGAACGTGAATAAAGTGCTAAGAAAAGGGACATACTTTGAGAACCTGAATCTATTGGTTAGAACGTGAATAAAGTGCTAAGAACAGGAATATACTGCCAAGAACCTGAATCCATTGGTTAGAACGTGAATAAAGTGCTAAGAACAGGAATATACTGCCAAGAACCTGAATCCATTGGTTAGAACGTGAATAAAGTGCTAAGAACAGGAATATACTTTGAGAACCTGAATTCATTGGTTAGAACGTAAATAAAGTGCTAAGAACAGGAATATACTGCCAAGAACCTGAATTCATTGGTTAGAACGTGAATAAAGTGCTAAGAACAGGAATATACTGCCAAGAACCTGAATCCATTGGTTAGAACGTGAATAAAGTGCTAAGAACAGGAATATACTGTCGAGAACCTGAATCTATTGGATAGAAAGGAATCAAGGAATAAAGTGCCTAGAATATGTTTCAAAGAAAAGGATCAACTGCCGATACAATATTCATGAGCATCAATACTCCAAAAATGTATACCATTAAACGAAAAATATCTAGATGGTTTCACCCTGTATGTGTACGTCTCATAACAATCTCCACAATATGCGCTTTTATTTTAATAACATTTCAATACAAAGAACTGATTCATATTCTCAGAAAAGATCCAAATAATCCTAATCCTAATGTTAGAATCGATGATCCTTTGGAAAAACAAGGAATAATAGGCAGAAAATACAACAATCCTGAACTTCAAGATACATTTAAAACTATTGAAAATTCAACAGACAGTTTTGTACAAAGCGATGATGCCAATATTAGGGTTAAAAAACGACCAGGAGTTATCAACATTGGTATCCAGAAGTGTGGAACAGGTGCACTTCTTTCATACTTAAACATCCATCCAAACCTAAAGATTAAGTGGAGTGAGGTCCACTTCTTTGACAAGCTAATCAATCACGATCATCCATTTGAAGAAGAGGTGAAAAGATATATCCAAATGCTCCCAAAGGCATTCCCAAATGAAACTATCCTTGAGAAAACCCCTGCATATTTTGACTTGGCTGACCCCTATGACCTTTACAGAATGAACCCTGCATTGAAGATAATTTTACTGGTTTGTGACCCTGTAAGGAGAGTAATATCGGCCTATTTGCATAATAAACTATTAAGAGTGTTTTCAAAAGCTAAATCATATGAAGAAATCATATTTGATAAGAACGGTTATGTTAATACAACTGAAGATATTATAACCAGAAGTAGATATGACAAACCACTGGAAAGATACTTAAAATATTTCCCTAGAAATCAATTTTTAATTATGGAAAACACATTTTTATTGAATCAGCCAGCTTTGGCCATGCAAGACATTGAGCAGTTTCTAGGTTTAAAGACATTCTATACCAACGAGACATTTTATTTCAATACGTCTGTCGGTTACCATTGTATTAATCCATCTATTCAGCCAAAACGTAGCGGGTGTATGTTAAGCATAAAATACAAAGTTCATCCTTATGTAAGTGAAGAAAACGTTTTAAAACTGAAGCGGTACTTTCAACCAATCAATGACAATTTCATGAAATTGGCAGGTAAAAATTTTCCATCCTTAACATATTTTTAGCCATTCGAATATATACTCAAGGGTATTAACCAAACCTCGAAATACTGTGAATATTTGAGGGTACACATTGAGCCAAACATACATACAGCCCCAGCCAAGCAAGTGATCGTGCGGTTGGAATAATTCTCGTGTATACTTGTAAAACAATATTGCGTCAATGATTAGGAATAAACCAGCTGTATGTGTTAACTTTTCTTATCAAGAAATGCCATTTTATGCACAATTGAAGAAGTGATTTTACATCTCTGATAAGAATATTAATTAGGGATATCCATGTGTGATAAAAAAAAATATCGCCTAATAACAATTTTTTTTTCTCTAAATCAAAATTTCTTTTATTTCCAATCGTAATTTTTCTACAGCACAAATCGAATACTTTACTCATTTAAAAGTTTTTCAATTACTTCCCATCTTTTTCTGTGCTTTATTTCTTCTTTGTTTCTTGCCTAATAACAATATGGATTTTTCCCACATTGTAAATTAGATGCAAATTTTGTTTCATTTCCCTTTCGAATTCTTACATATTTACATGAAGGCGAGATGATAGTGCAACACAATACACATGTATTCAGTATCAATATAGCATGGTTTATTTTAGAGAAAAAGTTCTACCTGGCAACTGAAAGGATTCCATAATTTGGCCAATTTGAAGGTCAGCAAATGATATGTATGGTCCGGGTTATTTAAAAATCATTATAAATATGTGTTGTTGGGTATAGCTTGCTTTATGCCTTGAGTTTGTTTGGCTTACTCTGTTGACATGAATTCAATTTACATTAACAATCATTTATAAAGGGAAATAGAGCAAGGCACACAAAGTTCAAATAAACAGTCAAGTCAAGTCAACAGAACAAATTCGTCTTAATTCTCATCTAAGCATATTATATGTGTACCACCAATAGGCAGGGCTTTCACTAGAGTTTCTCACAACAGGCTAAATAAATGAAAACAGCTGGAAAAATTAATGGAAATCATGAATTTAACATGGAAAAGTTCAAAAGTCTCTAACAACAACAGGCAATTTTGTGAAAATAACTTGTGAAAACTGCCTGTTGCTTGCTGCTGATGAAACCCCTGAGTAGGCCATTAATGCATTGTCTTAGGCTCTGTCAGTGTATTGCATACAATGAAAAGCCTGTCTAATTGAGTGCCACGGGACCGGCGAAGTGTTCAGACTGGCAGGTGTTCTAATGTGAGGTTTTTTGACATGGAAGTATATGACCGTTTTTTAAAATGACTGAACTGCGTTCACTTCGGAGAAGTGTTCAGTTATATAGGTTTTACACAATATAGTTTCAATAATGGAGGCATGAAAACTAAATGGAAATAGTATATAATTTTAAAATTAACACCATACAAAGGTCACTCAGATATACAGGGTGTCCATAAAGTCTCTAAAATTACAATACATAAATTCTCTACAATTACAAAAAAATCTCTGAACCTTGTAAAGAGACTTTATAGACACCCTGTATAAGTCAGTCATTGAACATAAAATGCATAAAAAAAATTCCATTTAATACTCATTGAATTAATAAATGTATATTTTCTATATTTTACTACATTGTATTCTTAAGATCGTTTGTAAATACCATTATTTAATTGTATATAACGAAATATGAGTGCTTTCTTTCAAATGTAGTCTAGATCGAGTTAAAAGTTCAATTCTGTTACCGCAACATATGTGTGAAGAGGCTTATGTTTATAGTGTGTATTATATGAGAAATTATGAAATAAATTGAATTGAATCGAAAAAAAATTGAAAATTCTTTTTAATGATTTTAAGGGTGCGCTATGCACTTATAAGGAGGGATATATAGGGAACGCCTCCATCCAATTTTTGCGTCTCCTTTTAAAAAAACTATTCCTGTGAAATATAACATATAGACTAAAATATTGAACAGAATCTGACAAACGCTATTAGAGTTATTGCCAAGACACAAATTGACGGATTGACAAACAAATTCCTAGAGCTTCTACATCCCTGCCCAAACTTCATACGGGATAGCCATCCTTGTTATCTTAAACAGGCCATCATTTTAAATCAAAGATTTCTGGCATTAAGGCTAAAAGGAGGAGGGAAATTAGCGCAACAGCTTTTGGTCAGTCATTTGTTTGAATTTGGCCATTTCCTGGGGATTCCTTTTAAGTGGTTAACTATGTGTCAAAACGCAACATATTGATGCTAGAGAAATTAAAAAAGCAGGGATGGAAGGGGTTGAAAATTAGGAAAACATTTCAGAAAAAACATGTGGATGGATTGTTTCCATCTACCCTGTCTTAAAGTCGAAATTATTTTATCATCTTTATAAGTGATTTTCCTGGAGGTAAAGCATTGGCCTAACATATGCAATTGTTTAAATCCTCAGAAAATGGCTAAAATCCAACATATGACTGTCCAAAATCTGTTGCGCTAATTTCCCACCTCCTTTATTTAGGATCTAACTACAGTAGAACCTTAGCCTGTCTCTCCCTTAGCTGCTTCAACTCTTCCAGCTCTCATATACAGCACCTGTAGGAACATACACTTTGCATACTGATACAAGTACATGTATTTTACCTATTAGTAATGTTTCAATAAAATAGCGATCCTGAATGTTTGATACCTCCTCCCGGCAACCCACACTTGGACACTCGGGAGAAACAAAAGAATGATAGTAATACGAACATCGTCTTTCATTCTTTCATACATTTGCAATGTGCTTCATGCTCATCATGTAGTTTGTAATAATTACTATAATTAGTGGCAGCCTTCTATATGCTTTTATGTCACTACCAAAAAGTAGGAGACATATTGTGATTGTCATCATTTTTTGTGACAGGGGTTGACAGCTTATATTTATTTGCTCTTGTATCCTTAATATCTAAAAGGTTACAAACTGTCGAGGAAGAAACGAAGGTGTCTGAATAAATGATTCTTCTTAAAAACACACTCAACCAAACAACAAGAACATATAAAACAAACTATTTGGGATTACAAAATTAGATTAAATTTGCTTTCAGATATGCTTATTACTATGAAGATACAAAGCAAAAGACACAACGTACGTTAGTGAAGGCTTATGGGATACGATGGATTATCAGCGTCCATGGAACTGCGGGAAAGTTTAATTTTGTTCCACTTTTGCTCAACTTTGGTAGTGGTATCGCCCTCCTATCATTAGTAAGTAGAACAAACAGCCAAAACGTTTATGGAATCGCTCATCTGTCCATCTTTAAAAAAAACTTCCATGAATGTTACAGGTGTCCGACTGTCCATGTCTGTATCATTTTCAGCTAACCACCCAATAACAAAATCATTCTTACTCATATTGAAATTAGAAATTGTGTATTGGAGGACTGTTGTTACAATGACCAATGATCTAGCTCAATAACTATTGTTACAATGACCAATGATCTAGCTCAATAACTGTTGTTACAATGACCAATGATCTAGCTCAATAACTGTTGTTACAATGACCAATGATCTAGCTCAATAACTGTTGTTACAATGACCAATGATCTAGCTCAATAACTGTTGTTACAATGACCAATGATCTAGCTCAATAACTGTTGTTACAATGACCAATGATCTAGCTCAATAACTGTTGTTACAATGACCAATGATCTAGCTCAATAACTGTTGTTACAATGACCAATGATCTAGCTCAATAACTATTGTTACAATGACCAATGATCTAGCTCAATAACTGTTGTTACAATGACCAATGATCTAGCTCAATAACTATTGTTACAATGACCAATGATCTAGCTCAATAACTGTTGTTACAATGACCAATGATCTAGCTCAATAACTGTTGTTACAATGACCAATGATCTAGCTCAATAACTGTTGTTACAATGACCAATGATCTAGCTCAATAACTGTTGTTACAATGACCAATGATGTAGCTCAATAACTGTTGTTACAATGACCAATGATCTAGCTCAATAACTGTTGTTACAATGACCAATGATCTAGCTCAATAACTGTTGTTACAATGACCAATGATCTAGCTCAATAACTATTGTTACAATGACCAATGATCTAGCTCAATAACTGTTGTTACAATGACCAATGATCTAGCTCAATAACTGTTGTTACAATGACCAATGATCTAGCTCAATAACTGTTGTTACAATGACCAATGATCTAGCTCAATAACTGTTGTTACAATGACCAATGATCTAGCTCAATAACTGTTGTTACAATGACTAATGATCTAGCTCAATAACTGTTGTTACAATGACCAATGATCTAGCTCAATAACTATTGTTACAATGACCAATGATCTAGCTCAATAACTATTGTTACAATGACCAATGATCTAGCTCAATAACTATTGTTACAATGACTAATGATCTAGCTCAATAACTATTGTTACAATGACCAATGATCTAGCTCAATAACTATTGCTACAATGACCAATGATCTAGCTCAATAACTATTGTTACAATGACCAATGATCTAGCTCAATAACTATTGTTACAATGACCAATGATCTAGCTCAATAACTGTTGTTACAATGACCAATGATCTAGCTCAATAACTGTTGTTACAATGACCAATGATCTAGCTCAATAACTGTTGTTACAATGACCAATGATCTAGCTCAATAACTGTTGTTACAATGACCAATGATCTAGCTCAATAACTGTTGTTACAATGACCAATGATGTAGCTCAATAACTGTTGTTACAATGACCAATGATCTAGCTCAATAACTGTTGTAACAATGACCAATGATCTAGCTCAATAAGTTATCTAAGGTATACACATCCGTGATTGTAATTCAGTCTGTAGTTTTTAGCTCACATGGTGAGCTTTTGCAATCGCTCACTTGTCCGTCTGTCTGTCTGTCCGTCCGTCTGTCTTTCTGTCCGTCAACAATAGTGGCACGTTTTAAAACCTCTGTCGATAGGATTCCTGTTTTAAGTTATTTCTGTTCAACATCAATACAGAAAACTCCCCTATGACTCCTGGTTCAAAAGCTCGCCTATTTTCAAAATGGCCGCCATTTTTGTCTCGCGAAATTCACTTTTGACTGGCACGTTTTAAAACCTCTGTCGATTGGATTCCTGTTTTAAGTTATTTCTGTTCAACATCAATACAGAAAACTCCCCTATGACTCCTGGTTCAAAAGCTCGCCTATTTTCAAAATGGCCACCATTTTTGTCTCGCGAAATTCACTTTTGACCCATTTCCTAGCTTTACAAATAATTTCAGGTGTCCTACATTGTTAAAATCTGTGTCAATGTAAAGAGTAGATATATGAAATAATTTTGTTACAAAAAATCAGCGAAAAATTATATCTCTTTTTTTATTTTATTTTCAGCCATTTTAGTTAACATTGATTTGTCCATCTGACTTGTGAAATCCACTTTTCCGTCAACAACAGTGGCACGTTTTAAAACCTCTGTCGATAGGATTCCTCTTTTAAGTTATTTCTGTTCAACATCAATACAGAAAACTCCCCTATGACTCCTGGCTCAAAAGCTCGCCTTTTTTCAAAATGGCCGCCATTTTTGTCTCGCGAAATTCACTTTTGACCTATTTCCTAGCTTTACAAATAATTTCAAGTGTCCTACATTGTAAAAATCCATGTCAATGTAAAGAGTAGATGTATGAAATAATTTTGTTACGAAAAATCAGCAAAAAATTATATCCATTTTTTTATTTTCAGCCATTTTAGTTAACATTGATTTGTCCATCTGTCTCGCAAAATCCACTTTTGGACCATTTGCCTTAAACCCTCTGTCGATAGGATTCCTGTTTTAAGTTAATTTTGTTCAACATCAATACCAAAAACTCTCCTATGACTCTTGGTTCAAAAGCTCGCCTATTTTCAAAATGGTCACCATTCTTGTCTCGCGAAATTCACTTTTGGCCCATTTCCTAGCTTTACAAATAATTTCAGCTGTCCTGCATTGTAAAAAGCCATGTCACTGTAAAGAGTAGTTGTATGAAATAATTTTTTTACAAAAAATCGGCAAAATATTATATCAGTTTTTTTTTATTTTCAGCCATTTTAGTTAACATTGATTCGTCCATCTGTCTCTCAGTCAGTCCAAAAAAGTGGCAAGATAGGATTCCCGATTTAAAATAATTTTGTTCAAAATCAATAAAGAAAAAAAACCTGTGACTCCTGCTTCAAAATCTCGCCTAATTTCAAAATGGCCACCATTTTTGTCTCGGGAAATTCCCTTTTGGCCCATTTCCTAGTTTTACAAATAAGTTCAGGTGTCCTGCATTGTAAAAAGCCATGTCTTTGTAAAGAGTAGTTGTATGAAATAATTTTGTCACAAAAAATCTGCAAAAAATTATACCCGTCTTTTTTATTTTCACTTTTGAGCAACACCATGTGAGCCCAGTACCCACGGTACTAATTTATTTTGTCAACATGAATGAGTAAATTATTAATTTAAAGAATAATTATCATCCAATAATTTCAATCTGTTTAGATTCATAAGTTTTATTTCATTTTCAGGCCACAATTGTCTGTGATATAATTACACTCTATGTACTTAAGATGGGAACATTCTACAAAGAGAAGAAATATTTCAACGTGACTGGAGATGATGCCTTTGAATATGAGGTAATAACTGTGAATAAATGAAGAGGTTTTGTTCATATTTTGTACACATATGCCCTATGGGGGGAGAAGTTCTGCTTGAAAGCTGATTTTGAATATTGCCACTCGTTTAAAAATGGCAGCCATTTTAGTGCTGATTTTACAACAATTTAGGTAAGATATATGAAACCCTAAACTGTGAATAAATAGAGAGGTGATTACTCTCCCCCTTTTGATGTGTTTATACAGGGTTTATACAGTTACAATCATTTTCCTTCATACTCATTTGGGCATGTGAATACCACCAAAGGGAAAATCATATCAACAGAAATACAATTTTACATGTTTTGTGTTCTTCAAAACTAAACTTCACTTCACTTCCCCTAATATTTAATACATAAAAATTGCATAGGGTGGCCCCAAAGTGATCTTGAAAATTTAAGACTGTTTTAGAGCGACTTCTAATAAAACTTAGCCTTTGAAATCATACTTTACACTTGTTGCATTTTATGCTAACTTCACCAATACATTGCTTAAGCCCCCCCCCCCCCATCAAAAGTTTCTATGAATACAAGTCTCAGGAAAGAAACCTAACGTTTCTTCTCACAAGATTCATAATTATAGTGTTATATTTTATATTCACTGTTTATCAGAGCATGGTGAGTTACTTTATATGATTGAATATGTATACAGGGTGGGTTCAATGTTGGTCATTTAAAGAAATATACATGAATCATATATATACATTTATATCATATACATGTATTATTATATACTTGGTGGCCCAAGTAGGTTTATATTTACACTTTACAGATAGTTGAATAACTGTAAATCTACTTTCAGACCACTCTGTATATGCATATAGGTACATGTATGCATGTATTTTACATGTAGTCATGTATATGTTTATATATCAGCATTCTCTTCTTTGTGTTCTCATGAAGGAGTAATTTTTTATTTTCAAGTGGCTGAGTGGGAACATGGGTTTTCAGGTGAATGCAAACCTTTTTTCAAAAACCAGTGCTGGGAAGGTTAGCTATGTGTATTGTGGTACAAACCTGTAAAGTGGAACACTTCTTAAAGTGTCTTAACATTAAATGAACCTCTATAAGTGGAACACCTGTCAAGTGGAACACCTCTCAAGTGGAACACTTCCAAAAGTGAAACACCTCTCAGAGTCGCAAGACCATCTGTGTTAACATTAAATGAACCTCAATAAGTGGAACACCTGTCAAGTGGAACACCTGTCAAGTGGAACACTTTTAGAGGAACCAAGGGTGTTCCACTTAGACAGTCTACATTGTATTGTTGATCTGGGTGGTAATGGTTAATTTCAATGTTTTATTTGAATATGATTTATGGTGGTGAAGGTTGAGAGTATCTTTTCTCTTTTTTTAATGTTTTTTGAAGAGGAAATGATTCATTGGTATTTGAATTTTTTTCATTGTTTTCATTGGTTCTTATCTATGTTTTATATTTATGGGTGCTCCACCACTAAAGTAAAAATACTGATGATGAACATAGATCTTTCACATTTCACATCAGAGCTTAATTTGTGCTAATTTTGAAATTTTTTACACTTAATTGTGAAAGATAACAATTTTGAATGACAAATAAGAAAAATTACCCTTTACTTTCATATGAGCCCATGATCTTATAAGATAATCTAGTTAATTGCTGATATTTTACTCGCAGGCTCTACCTGATCATGATGATGATGAATCATCATCGGGGACAAAGGCAGTCCAGAGGAAACCTGTCAACTCCAGCGCAAGTAATTATGGTACCACTGGGGAGGGAGCTCAATGACTAGAAGGCTCCACAACGAAGAAATCAAAGTCAGAAAAACCTGTGTGATTCCAACAATTCTGAATTTAGACATTCCAACATTTTCAAAATGTCCATCAATGGGAGAAATTTTACTCATGGGTAGTTTTTTGGACGACTTGAAATCTTTTTCCATTATTGATTGTGTGTGGAACAAAAGGATTTTATATAAGACTATAGAAAATTTGCAGTTTAAGATTGCGGCAATAATTTGTACTTCCAAGTGCCATGAACTTAAGTGATATACATGAATAGTGACATACATGTACTTATACAGTAACACATACTGTTAGTCAACTTAATTTGCTGACCGATTAGATTATAAGCGAATTTGGTTAATTGCAAAAATTTGCAAATTCAAGTCTTTGCCAATTTTTCAATGATTTATCTTTAAAATGATATATAATCCATTGCATGGTTTAACATATATCATGAATCATTCATCTTAAAACTTCGGTATTGTTTTTTTGGCAAACCCTGTATATCCTCAGGCTCACCAAATTAAGTATTTTCCAATTTTGCTCAATTCACCAAATTAAATCACGCCAAATTAAGTGGACTAACAGTATAGATACATGAACAGTGATATACTAATACTATGAGGTTATATAATGGTTCTTTCTGTATATCGTGTTTATACTCGAGTGAGTATATGATATATTCACAAGTGAGCGTAGCGAACGAGTGAATATATTATATTCTCACGAGAGTATAAAATGCACGATATACAGAATGAACCATTATATAATCTTATTATGCCACGCTAAGTTCAATTACAGTTGATTCGAACACAATCATAACAATTAATAAAAACCATAAAAATATCCCATAGCCAACTCAATGATGCTGATGTTGATCTCGAACCATTTAAGACGTGGCTTGATTCTAGCAAATCATGCCGGAACCATTTATGACGTCACTTGATTCTAGGAAATCATGAAATTTTTCATGATTTTTTTATTTATTAGTTCCCAGAATGCACTTCTACAGTGGTATACGCTGGAGTGTATACGGAGGAGTTGTATACGATGACGATATACCACTCTCCACTGTATATCGTTGTTATAGACCCATGTTATACAACTGTAATTGGACTTAGAGTGGTATAAATGTACTTATACAGTAACATAATCATATACATACATAATCAGTGAATTAAGATTATACATTGCTTTTTAAATACAATGTTTATTGTTATACTTGTGCTCTGCTTCATTGAGATATAATTATAATTGGTCATTTATTGAAATACCATAGTGTACTACAATATGTTGTTACATATACATAATGTATGCATACTGTACTCCTGGTAATTTTCGCGCGCTGCTATATTTCGCGCTTTTTGCAAAAATTTTGCCGCGAAATTTTAAAATGCTAAAAAACGCAAAATATAATAGCGTCAAATATTAGTGGGAGTACAGTAATTCTTTTGTATTAGGAGTCCCAAGATACATCATATTTTTCATGAATACTGTACTTCTACTTAATTTGGCGCTAATTATTTTGGCGGGTTTGCCATTTTGAACATTTGACAGCTACTTAATTTGGCGTGCTAATGGTACTCATTTACATGGTACTAAAATTACTGGGGAATTTGGCGGCTACCTTATTTGGCAGATTTAAACAATTTGGCGGATCCGCCAAATTAAAATCGGCTGCCATATTAAGTAGAAGTTCAGTATGTAATTTCCAGCAATCTGATTGGTTCATGTGACATCAATATATCGTGTACAATGGGACCCTAAATTGCATATGGATATAAGTATTTGAACAAGGGCGATATAACCAGCCTATGTAATTTCTATTTTTGGTAACAGTATGGGAAAGTCATTATAGTCACAGACAACCCATCCACATTATTTTTTTATTTTAATAATATTTGCTAGATTATTGTACTGTTGTTTGAATATACCAATTTTTGATTTATTTTATTTCAAATTGATCAAAGAAAAATTGTGATAAATGGTGGTGTCCAATAATCATCAGTAGTGAAAAAACAGGTTTTCATTAGGGGAAGGGGTTTTCATTAGGGGAGGGGGTAAAAGAGGATTTGAATTTGTTGCAAAGAGTGTTGTTCTTTGAGTATACATGTGAAGGACAAACAACATTTAAAATTACATTACATGAGTGGAATGGGGGGTGGTGTTGAAAAGAAAAGAGTGTTGAATTTATATTAAAATATTCAAATGAATATCAACATTGTAAGATTTAATGATATGAAGGGATGGGGATGTCTCCATGGAAACCATAATGAAATTAATTTTTTTTCCACAATTGGATAATTAGACACAATTCTTAAATGATTGTATATTTAATAGAAAGTATTACATTTTATACATATAATGCAGAAATTATTAATACAACTATGTGCAATATGTACAATGTACATTTAATATTAGGAAGAAGTTCTGTAAATATTGATGGGATGATATTCTAAAAATGAGATTTTACATGTATATATACCAAAACATATAAATTATAATTTGTATATACTCCATGGACAAATAAATGAGGCATTATATCTGGTACATCTTGCATTTAGTTTCTAAATCTTTTTGACAAATCTGCATATTTCCCACATCTTTGGTGTAGAAATTAAAGAGTTAAATAGCCCTAGAGAGTTCACTCTTGTTGAAGCATTTACATTTCCAATTTCATCTAAGAAGGATGGCAGTATTCCGGTGTAAAAGAAATTATGGTCCCCTGGGGATTATGGTCCCCTTTCCTTACGGCCCTTACTGGCCCTGACTGTGTATAAATAATAAGGAAATAATTGTAATTAGGTCACCATATAAATCAATAGAGAGTAGGACCAAAATTTGATAGGACCACCTACCCTTTTACATCTTGATCCCCAGCGGATCTAGACGGGGGCGTGGGGGGCGCACGCCCCCTCCCCCCCTAAAAAGTCGGAAAATTCATGTTTTGCCTCATCACTTTTTACAAAATTTGACTCTTTATTTAATTCGCTCACAGTTATTATCACACGCCCCCCCCCCCCCCCCCCCCCCCCCCTAACACAAAATCCTGGATCCGCCCCTGTGGATAATAATAATATAATGGAGTGACACGCAGATCTACTCCCGGTAATTTTGGAAAGTGTTGCTCATCGTGGTTCGTGCAGTGTAACTTGTCAAATTGAACTGACCTCTGACACGCGAAATGGGCCAATCAAATCCATTGTAACAAATAATGTACAATTTTCAAAAAAGGAAAGTTTTGTGGACTGAAACGATTTTGGAGCACAAAACTCAAAATAACTCATATATTGTTGGAATGAAACGGTAATTAATAGGCACACGATGAAGAGCATTACTGAAATTCAGGATAGGAGAAGTTTAGTGGCCTTGATTAACCAGGATTTGAAAGAAAATGGCATCAAAGTTCCCAAAGATAAAAACAAAAAGAATTCGTTGAAATTGGTGAGTGGTTTTGAATATTTTTGGACTTGTATTAGACCATATTATGATTCAAAAACAGTAAATTATTTCTGTATAACATTTACTAGATAGACACGAGTGGCTAATCAAGGACTTGTTTAACGTTTTTCTTGAGTGAATTTTATCAATTGTTGGGCCAAATTCCAGTCTTTGAACCTGGGCTTTGAACCAAAGTTTGTTCTAGGCTATCTGAGCTGAACTGCTCATCTATTCCCAGCCAACTGTTTTTACCAGCGCAATATTCAGATGGTGTTATGTTCTTTTATGTTCTTTTTTATATTGTTTTCAATGTCACGTCCTGTTTGGTGAAAAATGGAAATAGACTAGATCTAAGCATACTATATTCAGATATTGGACAGCATAACGCTGTGTCATTTCAATTAAATGTGGGTTTATTTTGACATTTTGGGGGACTTCGACACATTGTTTCTTTGCTCTAAATATCCGATTAAGGTTCAGCTGGAAAGTGACATTTTGGTAAAAAATTGCTATACCTGGACATGTTATTTTCTGGTACTTTTATAATATTTGGAAACAAGTCAATAGCTCCTGTGTTGTCTGGAAATTTTGAAAGAAAATTTGGAAAAATAGAAAGTGTGAAATATCAGAATTTCCTGGAGTTTCCATTGAACCCCTACCAGATATTCTAAAAGAAGACAATGTAATGATACTTTCCTGAAAAAAGCAAGGAAATTGACACATGCCTTCATACTTTATTTTGTACCAGAAAATAACATGTGCAGGTATAGCAATTTTTTACCAAAATGTTACTTTCCAGCTGTACCTTAAGGTGGAAGCACATTTTTCTTCCCATATCGATCAAGATTGCAAAAGATTTTTTTCTTCGAAATTCAACGTGGTAGAAAAAAATTCTAATTTCTACCAAGTGTTGAAATTACCCCACTTCTCCTGTTGACATTACCCCACACGTCAAAGTTATACCCCTTTGCCATACTAAGGTAAGCGGTTTCAGTGATTACAGCCAAAAATTAACATCCTATAACAACAGTTAAAAGCATTGGTTAAAAAAAGAAGTTTTCGTTTCAGGAAAAGGCGCCATCTAACTCTGTGTTTGGAGGCCATCTGTGTAATGTTCCAAAAACATGTGTGCCAAACTGCGGAAATGTTCCCAAGTAAGTTTGCCTTTAAGTCATAGTTCATAGCATTTTTTCCAAAAGTGGTAAGAATGGTTGATCATAATTTGTGTAAGATTGTATTGTAATGTATCTTGGTTACCGCCATATTCTGTATTTTACATTTTACACTCAGAGCCAGAAACCCCTCCTTGAAGGAGCCCTGTGTTCTTTTGTGTGCACAAGTACACAGACATACAAGTTCACACCATAGCTTTTTATACGAGTCCTGGACCACTCAAACACCCAGAATTACAAAACGTACTTGTAAACAAACTTTTCTGAACAGGGAATTGAGCCCAGTGCCAAGTGATAGCGGTAACCTTGACTCTGCCAATGAGCCATAGCGTGTGGACTCGTAGCGTGTGGACTCATAGCGTGGTATCACTCTTGGTCATTAATCTGATTAATGGCATATTATCACAGCATATCCCCTGAACTTTATAAATCCAAACTAAAAAAAAAAAATTCTGAGCAGCATTTGCAAAAAGTAAACCGAAACATAAACATTGCGATGATGCAACAATAGCACATTCCATTAATACAGTATCCCTCTTAATTAAAACCCATAGGTGGTAGTTTGACTGCCTGTGAAGTAAAATTATGCCTGCTGGTTTCACAAATACACCTACTTATGTGTGTGTTTTCATAGTTAATTACATATTTTCTACCTGCTGTTATGGGGACTCTCCCATCAAAATATTACCAGTGAAGAGACTGGTTGATAAGATAAGGAAGTTCTAAGGTAATATGACCAGATTACTGAAGCCACTTTGACAAACATGATCAACTTCAATCCAGTCATAATTGATTCATTTGGTTATGATTTATCTATGGCCTCGATATCCTGTAGTTTTCAAGTATCATATTTCATTTATTTCTTTGTCTTTTGATTTGTGTGACTCTGATCTGAGACTTTCTTAATTATCCCAACGAACGAAGTTCGTTAGGGATATAGTGAAGCCCTCCGTCCGTCAGTCAGTCCGTCCGTCCGTCCGTCCGTCCGTCCGGAAGATAACTCAAATACTAGTGGACGGATTTTCTTCATATTTAGTGGAAAGATGTATATTGATGAATAGTTTTACGCAAAAAAAAAGTTTTCAAGATGGCCGCCGCTTTAAAAATGACGGGACTTTTTCGCAAAAATCATAAATTTTTCATTCTAAACCAAAGTAATCAATATTATTGTTTGAAATTTTGGTAGTATATTCGCAACATCTATCTATTTCACATATATTCCGTGTTTTTCATCCTGGCCCCCAGGGGCCGTGTATGGGGGTCAGGAAAACAGAAATTTTCGCTAATTTTTTGATCTTTCTGAAGTATAGCTTTATTATACTCAAATGAAAGGCAATTAAAAGTAGATTGCAAATATTGTATCTTTTTTCTGATTCCAGCCTCGTAAAATTCAAAATGGCCGTCTAATGTACGATTTCGCAATCATTTTTCGATCCCTTCAAAGTATGGCTATATTATACTCAAATTGAAGGAATTTTGGAGTAGATCACAATTATGCTATTATTTTTCAGATTTGTACCTCAGAAAATTCAAAATGGCTGCTTTGCAAGAATTCGCAATTCTAAAATCTAAATTTTTCAATTTTAACCAAAGTAATGAGTATAATTGATTGGAATTCGGTAATTGATATTTTGTTCGTTGGGATTTGCTACTCCGCGGAGTTGCCATTATCTAGTTCAGTTTTCTCCACAGGATTTTTTTCTCAAGTGGGTGCAAAATTCTCATTTTCACAATTCACTCTAAAATTGGTCAAAATACCCGTTTTTCATAATTTTTCCTATTTTAAAGTATCATTAAAATATTAAAATTTTTGTATTCAATATTTTGAGAAATGGGGCAAGCATTTTTGAATTGATGGCTTCCTTACACATAAACATAAACAATGGAGATTTGAAAAATGGTGGGTGTACAATTTTACTGACCCAAAGTCTATTTTCATCAGAAATTACTTTCATCATTTTGTAGCATGATATAATATTGCATGATGCATTTAAGAAAGTTATTTTACAACTGGGGACAATGCTCTAATTATCAGTTTTTAGTTCCACTTTAGTGATTTTGAAATTAACAGGGAGGTGTAAAATGGAGTTGTCAACTGGATGTAAGGTCATTTAGATAATTTTATTGACTGGGGCAATATCACCATTGTATTACATTAACACAACCTGATTGTGAACACTATTTTCTTTTGATGTCCTCATCGTTAAAGCACTTGCTGCACTCACTTGAGATTTTAAAATAGGCTAGCACTTTCTTGAAAATCTGCTTGCTACCACCACTTGTTAGGAAATTGTGAAATTTTGACATATTTTGTATTATACTCAATTTATGAATTTAGGTAAATTATTACCTTTTTTATTTGGATTTAACCATAAAGGCCCCCTCACATATGAGCGAATCCACCAAACGCAGTCTTGCGAAATCAATCCTGGTGATTGGGAATGTTAACATGCAAACTAAGCGCATCTTTGCTCATGCTTCCGAAGCTTTCCGAATGGGTATTTACATATACGAACACCCCAACAATGTACAATGTACATATACTAATGGGAACGAATTTAACTCAATTCCTATTCTCAAGACTGGGCTTAGAGGATTCGTTCATATGTGAGGGGGAATAGTGTAGTGAGTCAACCAAATTAGATGCAGTGGATTAAATTCCTTTTCTTCACCTCATTTTCACAACACAATTTGAATTTTACATTTTAGGTTTCTGGTGTCTGCAGCTCAGTTGATAGAAAACCAGGTTGACGTGGAGGGACTTTTTAGAAAATCTGGCTCTGTGACAAGACAGAAGGAGCTCAAAGTAAGTTCATTTATATAGCAACAAATGAACATGTCAATTTTTCTTAGCATTTTTTAAAACAAGATTTTCCAAAATGAGTAACTTGATTTTCTGGCTGTCTGAGGAGGTCTATGAAATCCAAATGTTTTGTTTTTATGGTAACTTTTTGCTAGAAGGCAATTCACATTGAATTTTCAGTGAAACATATGCTTCGTAAAGGCTTTTCTGCAAATTGGAATTAACACACTATTTAGATTAAAATCATGATAAAGTAAGGTATATGTAAACACCTTTTAAAGAGCTAATAATGATAAACTTCAGAATCTTTTCACATCACTTAAACTTGTAATATTGATGATTAACTGTTTATTTACAGGAGAAGCTAGATAGAGGTGAGCTCTTGCCCCCAGGTGCTCACGTTTTCGATGTCTCGAGTCTCGTTAAACAATTCTACCGAGATCTCCCGGACCCCCTGCTAACCAAACATCTGCACGACACGTTCGTTAAAGTCTTCCAAATTGTAGACCAAGAAAATCGTCAAGATTTGTTACTCAAACTATGCCTTCTATTGCCAAGTGACCACTTGAGTACACTAAGATACACGATGCAGTTTCTCGCAAAAGTCGCTCGGTCATCAACGCAAAACAAAATGGATGTCGCAAATTTGGCGGTTGTTTTAGCCCCAAATATAATGCATACTGGAAATAAAAGTGAGAAAATGAACTCAACCGATCATAAACTGATCCAAATCCAAACCGCAATTGTAGAATATATGATCAACATTGCCGATCAGATTGGATGTGTGTCAAAGAGCTTGTGTGAAAGGACGGAGATGTGGTTTGGGTCGACTTATGAGTCTGAAGATGAGCTAGAAAAAGGAGATGATACCCTGGATGGGTCACGACGCAGTAAAAGTTGCGATGAATTGGATAACTCAAGTCGGCAGGCAGAGAAGAAAAAGAAGAAAAAACGAAGATCAAGCTCTATACAAGGTAATTACATTTTAGAGATGGTCCTGATTTAATGAATTTTGGGATATTTTTGTAGTTGACATAAGCTGGATCAAGTTAACCAGCTGAAAATGGATTTTGGCAAAATCCTTAAAAATCCTTAAGAAACTAATTTTCATTTTGCATTGCTAACAAGAGATCCAGCTTTCTGTCAAATTCTGACAATTCAGAGGAGCAATGAATCATCTGAAAAATTGTATACTTGCTAATGATTTCCTCAATTTTGTTCCCTCTAGGTATGTTTGCGGCACAACTGAGCAAATGGCGACGAAAGAGTGGAAACAACACGTCCTTGGCGGAGCAGAGCATCAACAGCAACATGAGCGTAACATCTGGTGACGTGAGCGATGGTGGCTTTATCACAGTTGACATCGACACTAGTGACCCCCCTAAGGTCCCCACTATTGAAGCTACCCCCAAAGTGATGAGAAAACGCAAAGCTGTTGAGGATGTGGCATTCTCGGCAACAAAAAAGTATGACATTATATTTGTAAAATTGAATATTCATTTCACTTCATTGTATTTTATCGATTTTGTACAAGCAGATTTGAAGCATAAACAATATATGCTAGTAAAATACCATAATTAAACCAATGTTAAATTAGGTGATTTTTTATTAAGTATATTTTAACAGATTTCATACATTTATTTGAAGATCATGTATAATATTTAAATATAAATTGCAGTTTAAACATATAGATACTTGTAAATAATAAACCTGAATGTATCATACAGTCATAAATTTTGTTTAATGAATACTGTTTTTAGAAGGATTTGTGCCTTTGTAAAGTAAGTACTCCACGACAGGACGGGGTATGCTCCAAATCAAAGAGACACAAACCAAGGCTCCCTATGTAGTGCTAATATTAACTTTTGATTTTAATAGGAAATACAAACAAAAATGAATTGTTCTACCTCTGTTTTTCTAACGTGGGACAAGGTTCATAAATATTTTTGTAGTTAATGCCTTGTCAATACATAGCTTCTAAAACAAATCAAAACAATACACTGTTCTAATCATGGGCTAGCAAAACAAATCATACACTGTTGTAATCAAGGGCTTAGATTATCTTTGTTTAATTCAGTGTGTTTAATGCACCCATGATCAAACCTCGGTGACTGGTAACATTTATCCAATAACTCCACGCACATACGACAATATCATGTATCACCATGAATCGTGTAATCTGCAGGGAGAAAATCATTTTGCTCTTTCATTTCATTCAGATGGAGAGAACGAAAATTCACAACTCTCACTGAATGCATAAATATTGAGCATTAAAATAAGTATAAAAATAAAAGATGTCAATTGAAATTGTATTTCAGGAAAGCCATATTGGATCAGATGCCGACTATGACTCCATTGCAGAGACCTTTCACCCCTATGAGAGCCAAAGCTTCAGGAATGGACTCACCCAGTATTAATTTTACGAAAGATCAAGGGTCAGTTATGTTTACTGCAACCCCTAGTGAAGCCAGCAAAACCATGTCCTGCTCTGTAAAAAGTAAAAGGTATAACGGCCTATGGAACATTTGCTGTTCAGAAACATTTCATACCTGCCAACATTTAGTTTGAATTCAGAGAATCTTTAAAATGTTAGCATGTGAACATTTTTTCAAAATTCATGTATTCATTTTAAATAATTGAAATGATGCATAAAAGCAATTTTGAACAATTAGCTCATTTTTAATATTTTTACCTTAAGTAAGTCAGATATTCATTCATTAAAATTCATTACATTTTTGCAGTTAATCTTTATCAGACTCTGTCATACCATTAATTTGCTTGTGTAATCATCAGGTTGATTGGGGCCTCATTTTCTCATGAGTGAAGCCCTTCACCTAAGCTATGATTCCATGAGCAAACTGATGGTACGATAGGGTACAGACAAATATTAAATCTCTAATTAATTCGTATTCCCGTAAAATATCCACTGGTTGGCAGGTATGCTGTTGCTGTCAGCCTAGAAAATTTACTAGTATAGGCATCTGCTTTACACTGCACAATATTGCTTGCTTTTAGAATATTTAGTGTACATGTTGTTCCACCCTTTTATATTTTATATATAGATCCACCTTTTTATTTACACCCTTTTGTTGGGATCTCTTTGGAAATATAAAGGTCGCTGGACCAGTTTTTATTCAAATCCATAACAGCCCAATTAGAAATGATAATTTTTTCACCATGACATAATATAACATTGGCATGTGTATTATGATTTAATCCCGTTTTTAATTTACGATTAACACTAACCCAATTTGTGCAGTGAAAAGCGCGGAATGAGGGACATGGTTTGGTACTTAGTTAAGGATAGGTAAATCGTACCCTATGCTAGGTATTGACTACATGGAATTTTTATCCAGAGTTAATTTGGTGGGCGATATTTTTCAAAGGCATTGAAATTGGTCCTACTGAGAACGTCATCTATGTCGTGATAAATGTTGTCACATTGATTTTGTCATGTCACAAATCGTTGCTTTTCTTTTGCCCAATCTGAAAGTTTGATCACTCATTAGTTTGCGAAATAGTCAATAGCTAGTTCTTGGTTGATATCCATTGTAGCAGCGTAGATAAGACTAAATGTGTTGTGTTGCTATTTAAATAATAACAATTTGTAAGCGAAATTGAGGCCTCTGATCCCATAATGCATTGTGGGATCAATCCTCTTGTGATTTCGGAATATGGACCTCAGCAATGATTGCCATTGGCTGACCTCATAGTGTTTTAGAATTTCGATTGATTGAGGGAATGAATGACTTATTTCAAATGTTCATGCCTATTTAGAGGGGAATTGAATTTGCTGAAATATTCAATTTGAGGTCCATATAATAACTGTATTTGTCTTTAATTTGCCAAATTAAAATAAACGCCAAATTAAATAGTCACCAAAATCTCTGGGAATTTGACTTGTTTTTCGTTCAGTGAACTTCAGGTTATAAGATGTCCGGGACCGTATAAATTGTATAATTTAGAGCATAATTTAAATTGTTCATCAACAACGATTAAACTGGTTTAGGCGAGAGGGTATATAATAGATATAAATATGAGATTGAAAAACTTGAAAAACTGCCAAATTAAAGACAAATACAGAACAATTTGAACATGCCAATCATGTATTTTTTACATGGTGTTGTTAACTATATGTAATGTCTGATGACATTTCTGTTGTTGTGTTTTACTAATAGTTGTGTAGAATATTTTATTTCAGCTAGCTTTGAGATGAGTAGCAGATGCCCAGTAGCTGAAGTGCCATTGTAATTGTGATGACAATTGTACATCTATATCACAGTCCTATTTGTATACAAATCTTTATAAACAATTTATGAATGTTATTTATGATTTGGCACTCTAAATGAAAAGTTCAAATTATCCTGGAGATGACAAAATTTTTCCAAATTATTTTTATCAATTTTTCTGGAATCAAATTGAGTACCATAGTTATAGATCTTTAAAAAGCCCAGAAGTATTTGCCTAGTTCTCATTTTCATCCAACATTGGCGTTGCAACACAAATAATTGCAATAGACTTAATGTCTTGAATTATTTTTTCAGCCATATCGGCATCAGTGAAGCTAGCTGAGGCAATTTTCTGCTTGAGCAAATTTTTGGATGTATTTAATGAAACTGGCTAAAATTTATCTCATAGAAATATCCTAGGACTATTCTCTGTGGCTGAAATTTTGCCTCATCTTTTTAAAATTTGCCTCACCAATTAGCTAATGAGATCCCGGCCATACCCCTGGACATATGACAACATAATAACAGGCAGAACTGTATTACATCACAAATAACATTCACAAATTTTTATTTGCTTGTATATGCATAGGACTGCTTATTATTATTATGTCACTACCATAAGTGGTGACATTGTTATAGTCTTTAACCTTTTTGTGGACAGTGTTCGGTGGTTGGTGTTCGGCAGTCTGTGTTTGTAACAAATGACAGGTGGTGACATTTTGCATGTTAATGCCTCGTATGATTTTATATGAACTGCTTTGATGCAGGACTGTATTTGATTAGCTAGTATAAGATTTTGATGTCAGCATGATATAACTTAATATAATGGGGGGGGAGGCAGGTTGGGGTCTGTGTACACTTTTGCTTGGTCTCTCCCTCACAAAATGTTACAAATGACCAAGTGGTATTTTATTTATGGGAATGCAGCTGTTAATATCTGGTGATTGGAAATCTGTTTCTAGTCAAATATTTTAATGAGAATTGATTCATGTATTCGCTTTTTCCGACCATTTGGATTTTTTTTCAAAATTTTTAAATTGTAGAGTATCTAAAAATAGTGAGGAAAATGTATTATCAATTTTTGTTAAATATATTTGACTCATTTTTTCTTTAACATTTGTGCGAGATTTTGTGGTGTGAAAAATAATTGTCTTTATGTGGGGTACTAGCATCTGTGGGTCTTGAAAGGGTATCTTGAATAACATCATGGAGGAGGTTGAAATTGTTAATTGCATGTAAAATTATTACATTTTCATGTAAAACGTACAAAATTTTATGTAAGAATTTTGAAAATATTGTTATACTTTAGATCCAGTGTTGATCAAAACAATATTCAAATCAATCTAAAGAAATCCAGATATAAAAATTAGAGTTAATCTATATTGGTGTCACATATTTCTCTATGTAAACCTTGTGCCACACGTTTTTCCAACTTGGTGTCTCATACTTCTTCATGTACATAACTCTGGTGTCATATTCCTACTAATATTGTATTCCAGGCATGTATCAGGAAAATCAAGCCACACGCCATCTATTAAAACCCCCAAGCGACGAGGTTTCCGTGGGTTGATCCGTCGTCTAAGTGGCGGCAAAGCTTCCCCTGAGGTAATTTTTTACTCATAACAAGAAAATCTCCATGAATTTTCTGTGAAATGGTATTTATAGTTCTGGGATGGGCCAAATAATGATGGTACATTTTGGGCTTTCTGGATATACATGGACAGCATATAAATTGATGTACTGGATTTTCAACTGGAATTAGTTTATCAATTGATATTTCAAATCGTCTGTATCATTTACAAAATTTTTATAAACAAAATATTTATCCAGTAATTTTTTAATTTATTCTAGTAAGAAATCATTAACACATGCATTCTTTAATCTTCTAAGACAAGAAATAGTCATAATTTCTATTCCTATCAAATAATTGCACAAAATCACTGTGTTTTTCTTTTGCAAAGTCCAAACACAGCATTTGTTCTATCTTACAAATGTCCACTAAAATTGACCAAAGCAGAAAAAACAACATACTTTACCCACGTAACTTTTGCATGGCGCACAATAATAGAATCACTGGTTAAAATAAAATAAATAAAGACCAGTTGCACTGATATTTAATTAATATTTTTCTGTTCAAGCTCAAAATTATCTTGGTCAGATTGAAACAATTTCATTCTGTGCCTCTGCGCAAGTGCTTATATCGCACCATGAACATACAATTTTGCACCTTGTACACCCACCCTTGCACCCTGTACATTCAGTCTTACACCACCAATCTTTGTTAATAACCCTTACCTGACCCTTTGTTAAAGTTTCTCTGCACTTTCTATAATTGTACCCGTCACCTAATTCCCCTTGCTTTGTATTTTACTCATGTGCACAATTATTGATTTTATATTGTTGCTTGGTACTACATGGAACCTTGATGTCATATTATATCTTCGTTTCATGTTATACCTTGATGTCATATACCCTGGTGTCATATTATACCTAAGTGTCATTGTACACTTTGGACTAATATTATACCTTGGTGTCATGATTTTTATGGTCATACCTTGATGTCATATCAACTTGGTGTCACATTATACCTTGGTGTTATGCTTTTTATGGTGTCATGCTTACATCAAAATCTTACCCTATAGTTAAGCTTCTTTTAATATTTTTGCTTTTAGTTAGATCCCTGTCTGCCTTGCATGGTCTGGCTATAATGTCATTAAATGTTCATACTGTATTTCAATGTTATATCAAATTCAATATGCTTCTTATATTTCAGGAGCCATCCCCTATGAATGGTATTCTGACATCACCAGTTACAGCGAATAGACTAGCTGATGATTCCACATTTCAAAGTCCACCAATGGTTGTCATAGATGGAAAGAAGAAGAAAAGACACGCTAAACACCCAAGTTCCCCTGCTAGGCTTATTGCTTCTCTTAAACCATCTGCTACTCCTTCCCATAATGCATCACAATCCAGTATGGCTGACAGTTCATCTGCTTCTGCTTCCCATAATGCCCCTGAAACCAATATGGCTGCCAAGCAATCCCCAGAGCCATCTATATGTACACCCTCACACAAAGGAACAGCACCATCTTCTACTGGTATTACTCCAATTGTCTCGTCCTTGGAGATATCTGATAAAGAACTAGCCGCCAAGTTAAGCAGAGATCTCCGCAAGAAGTCAAATAAAATGCTTAATACCACAATGATGTTTGACAACACGTCTGATACTACATTTGAACGCAATTCAAGAATTGATGAAGAAGATTGTGGTTCAAAAACTCGAAGAAGAGCAAGATCTCTCGATGGCCGAAATGCAATTAAACGTGGTAAGCCTAACACTGTTGATTCTGGGTTACCCTCTGATCGTTATATTCCCTCTCCTGTTAGGAAGGCCATGCCTACACCAATCAGGCCCACAGAAGCAAACACCAGCATTGAGTCTATGGACATTGAGATGGTTCAGAGTGAGGCTGGCACATGTGAAGCTAATGATACCCCATCAACAGTAATTGTTGGTAAACAAAGTGAGAATAAGATTGAAGATGTCTATGTTGCAGATGATGGTAAAGTCAAAGCAATCCAGGACCATTCTCACGAGACCTACCAGCAATACATCGATGATCATCTCGCAGATAAAGCCTCTAAGACAAAGAGGCCTGTATCACCTAGCAAGAGTATGGATAGTATAGACAGTGGAATCAGTATGAGCCAATCGTGCGATAACTTGGCCTTGGATCGGCAAGATAGCTCAGAGTCCATCGGGAAACCTCTGAGCTCTTCTTCAGCTTGCACCCTCCCAAATCAACGAAGCTTTCTCGAGAAAGAATCAATTAATTTGAAAACCACTTCTAACTCTAGTTTGGAAATATCTGTTCAACAGGGCAATACTTCGGAATCTGATACGAGTGTTAATCATTGCTTTGCTCCCCCACCCTCCCCGAAACCTCCATTGAAGCAGCTTACTCCTCCTATACAACCAAAATTCCAGGATGAGACACCCCCTCTAACTCAAACAGAGATTCCCCATCGTCCAAGTCTTATAGATCTCCAATCTGCTGCCAAGGTAACTGCAAATGTTGAAAAGTTCAGCGATGAACCAAGCAACCATGATATCTCAGAAAAACATAACTCGCCATATCGTTTCCCACAAGCCACCAGTCGTACCCGTGGTAACGCATCACCAATTCGTATACCTTCGATTTTCGCGAAACAGGATGGTGAAGCACAAAGATTCCGAGAGATGGCTATGAATGCAATTAGGAATCCAAAACCTGTCTCTAAGATTCGAGCAAATATTCCTCTTTCTACAAATCTTGTACATAATAAGGCTGTTCGTAAAGCAGTGAAAAAAGTTGAATGTGGCAACTCGTTGCGTCTACAGGAACACGAGCAGAAGGAAATGAGACGTCGAAACAGATTAATGAATTCAAGTCTCGCTTCGTCAACTGGCAATGAAAGTTTCATAAGTGTGACATCGCAAGAAAGTGGCCATACTGTCTCAAATTCTGATTTCAGTGTGAACCCCTCTGATAAACTTATCTCTGTAAATGAAAGCAATATTGAAATAAGACATGGACCCTTAGAAAATGTACCTAGTGTCGATAATGTAGATAGCCCAAAGCTTGCCTCTGACCCACAGAATAAATGCAGCACCCCTAATGCAGATCAAGAAAATGGAGGTCAAACCTCAACCCCAGTCCAAGACACAAACTCCAGTTCATTCCATAGCCATACCCCAAGCCCACAGTTCACTCCCATCTCCATAAAATCAAAATCGGTAATCACACCAACAGACAACCCCACTGATGCCATAAAAGCCCCCCTGAAAGATCACAATGAGATTCACGCCAATCCTTCTCTTGAGTTACCCAAATTGAAGCCCCAGATTTTGACTGATGAGGTTGCTTTGAACTTCATGCTGCGTACACAGGGTGGACTCACCCCAAAGAACCCAATGAGGAGGTCAACCATGAAGGCACAGAAAAGCTACAGGTCTCCAGTGAAACCCGTCAAGAGGCTCGGGGGCTCCCCAAGCTCTCCCAGAACCAGGAAATATGGCTCATCACCCGTTCGGCCAAAAACCAAACGAAATGTAAAAGATTTGAGCCCTCTCCCCGCTCATATGAAAGAAGACATGTTCTAAAGGCAAGTTACCCCCAACCCACCCCACTTATTTTATATTATAATGTAAGATGTTTCCCTTGTTGAAATGCTTGAATAGTCAAAAGGGAGAGATGTTTTTATATATATACACAAGGTTGGGTTACAAAATGTCATGTATTCCCTTCCCCCAAAGTGCAACATAGATGGAAGCTGACAATCGCGGAGTATTAATGAGTACATATCTCATTTTGTATGCAACATTGAATAATTATGGGACAAAACACTATATAAAAGATGAACCCATATCCACCGATTACCTTTCATTCAACATGGATGACACTTTCGACAAATGATGTTTTATAAAATGAACACACATCCCCCAGATTCATCAGATAGTGTGAACCCTTAACTGAGATATAAATGACTTTGTACATAAAATACTGTACAAAATAACACATGACAATAGCAGCTGCTTGAAGTTAGAATTGAACTTGTTAAAACATGACATTTAAAGTGACTATAGTTCTATTTTCTCTTGTTATAAAGAGGAATAACTGCAGTATTTGTTATAAACTGGTGCATGCTGTAAAACATGCTTTTGTCAGTGTTTTAACCCAAGGTGGTAGGCATATCATGAATATGTACATTATATACATGTGCTTTCTTGTACATAATAGACCGTTGGGTCGAGTTTTAAATAAATGCCAAATATGGAGGTAAAATAAGGAAACAGATTTTCTCAAACTATGAGGAACAGTTTTTTAGAAGAAAAGTTTCACAGTGGTGGTTATCCATGTACCTTACATAATAACAACAAAATATATCTGTAATTTAATTGGATAATAGGTTTTAATTGATTTGATGAATCAAATAAGTTTTTACAGATTTTGTAATGTAGTAAAAACTCTTGTAACCATAGTGAAATATGCTTTTATCAAGTAGAATGTTGAATCATGCAATGTATTACAATCACATACTTGTAAATATTTACACCATTTTCATTCATCTGTATATACACATTAGAACATGTACTGGGTTTAATTTATTACACAATCGTAGTAAAAAGTGAATACATGCTGACATTTTATGGAAATTAGTGAAAATGTGAAATGTTTGTATGACAATGTGAACGTTGAGTGTGTGGAGTGTGTGTAATGAATGTGAAATGTGAAACTGGCTTTGTGAAATGTGAAATTGGTTGATACGTGTAAAATCGAAAGTTTCAAGTAAAATGAGAAATTAGGTGATCAATGTAAGACATGAATTTTGCCGTAGAGTGTAGAATTAATTGTAAAGAAGAATAACCAATGTGTTCATCTTACTGTTCAGATTAGAGCACAACCACAGAAAACACAGCCAGTTCTTTAATATCTCTGAGCCTTTTCCGGGGACTGTTCTCCAGGCTGTGAGTGTAATTTGAACAAAGAGACCCCCAAAAAGTGTTCAGTTATCAGTATTAAATGCTATATCTTTGTGTTCATTGAACTTCATTCCCTAAGTTTCTTAATTGGTTAATAGTTTTACATCAGCAACCTTTTTAGACTTTTTATTATCATTGATTATCATCTTCATGATTCCTTGTTGATAGGCCTACAACAAAATATTTATCATGGCTAATGGTGTAGTTTAAGCATTTTTATGATTGATGAAAAAAATGTTAATTTCAAGTAAGTGTGATGTTAAATTAAAATGTACATTGTGCAATATTGAAATAACTTCAAGGCATTGATTACGCTTGCTTCAAGCCTTTGTAGCCAATACTCTTGACACCAAGCTTTGTCATTTTATCCATACCTTGAGAAAAAATGCTGCAAAATAGTTCTGGTGATTAGAGTGGGTGCAGTGTATTTTTAACTAATAAGTTATGGTTTGAATGGTTGTGCAGAAATTAGATTTTATTATATGATCAACACGATTATGATATGTTTGAAGATTGTACTGTAGATGGTAAAGTGGCAATCTGTTAAAGTTTTGTCAAATACAAATGTTGATGGATCAAATAGTGTATATAGCATAATAAATATATAAAATAAATAATGCATCTTGGATATTTTTCATGCCACAGTAAAACCTGTATAATCTGAATGCAAATGGGACCAGGTATATGTGTAGATTGGCAGGTCTTCACATTTCAACATAGTTCAAGGCTGTAAGGCAAATTTGAAACGAGCCATGCAAAATTTCCCCACCTACCATTTGTTACAGACGTCAACCGCTGAACACTGTCCACAAAAAAGTTGGGGATGATAACAATGTCATTGTACTGGTCGTGGTGGTGTCAAAAAATGGATTAAAAAAGATTTTATATTAACAGGTGTTTGGGTATACAGGTTTCACTGTAGTTTAAGTCCTCATGCCTGACTGTAACCAAGTTTTGGCATGTCAAAATATATTGTTAGATCAATTTGAATTTCATGTCATCAGAAAAGCAAAGATAGATTTTACTGTATGATTTCCATTACTTTTGAAATCTCTATGGTCCAGCACCTCCGTAATTTTCCTATAATTTCCGTACCTCCTTTAATTGATATAGTCAGATAGTAGTACTAACAACTTCTGAAATCTGGTGTAAAAGGGTAGGAGGTCCTATTAATTTATGGTCCGACTCTCCATCGATTTATATGGTGACCTCTTTGTGCTCTTTCCCTTATTATCTTATACACAATCAGGGCCAGTAAGGGCCTTTAAAAGGGGGCACCATAATCCCTGGGGGACCATAATTTCTTTCACACCGGCGGATCCAGAAGCTAACAAGGGGCCCCCACATTTCAAATTCGAAAAAAATTGGGCCCCTAAATCCAAAAATCGAGCCCAAATTTTGAAAATGTAAGACCCATTTTCTAATAATTTGGCAAAGTAAGCCCGGAAAGGCCCACTTACTAGTATTGGTGTCCTAATTTTAGGCCCTAAATGCTTGGATCCGCCAGTGAAGCATGGCTGGTCTATGAATTGAAACCCTGTACAGTTGATCAGAATCAGAAATAGTTTATATCTCTGTTTCATTTAGGCCCATCAAAATGAGCCTAATATGCAGACCGATAATTTTGTCATCAATGCTGGTGTACCACAGGGGTCTGTCCTTGGACCCCTGCTATTTCTAATATATATCAACGATCTGCCCGATGAGCTTGTTTCAAAATCGTTCATTTTTGCTGATGACACCTCAATTTATTGTCCATACGAAAAAAATGAAGTGTTTTTCAATATTCACGAGCCAATCCAAAGTGATCTAGACAAGCTTGCTCTCTGGGCTGCCACCTGGAAGATGCAATTCAAAGCTCAAAAAAGTGCAGATATGATTTTTTCTAGAAGGAACATTTTATCTCATCCACCACCTTTGAGATTAGGTGCTGATTTTATTCCTAGCTGTGAGAATCACAAACATCTTGGCCTTAATTTTGACATTCACCTTAACTTTAATTATCACATTGACCAGATAATAAAAAGAGTTACTTCTCTTTTGAGACCGATGATAAAGCTGAGTAAAATTCTAAATAGTCAGCACTTAGAGATATTATATAATACTTACATTATGCCTCATTTTGACTATTGTGATGTCATTTACAACAAGGCATCTAACATGAAATTACAAGCTCTTGAAAGACTTCACTACAGAGCAGCCTGCCTGGTTTCTGGGGCTATACATAGTTCCAATACTATCAAAGTTTTAAACTCTTTAAACTGGAAACAGCTAACAACCAGAAGAATTGAGCACTTAAACATGTTTACTTTTAAATGCAGGTATAACATTAATCCTCCATTTATTTGTGACTTACTTCGGAAATATGAACATATACCGGTCCGCCCCTTAAGACATCAAAGAGATTATGTTCTCCCAACTCGCCTTAGCTTCTCTTTTAAAAAAACTACCATCTTCCAATCTATAACTTTATGGAATAATTTGCCATCAGATACTAGAATGGGTCAACCTATTTCTAGGTTTAAAAGATTAGTAAGAGAACACAAGAGCCCAGTCTCTTTAATTCCAACTTCTAAATTGAATGTGACCTTACCCAGACATATTGAAATACCTTTTAATAGACTCAGGTGTGGCCTTTTACTTAAAGCACACCTTTATGCACATAACTTTAATGACATTAGTGACCCTTTGTGTAAATGTGGTGTTCCATTGACTACCTTGCATTTTCTTTTAAATTGCCCACTGCTCCATGATGAAAGAATCAACCTCATTGCAGGCCTTCATACTTACAATTTAGGAAACCTGTTTAACAGCTACAATTTGAATGATAAATTACAATTTTTACTTTTTGGAAAAGATGATTTAGATGCATCAACAAATGAAGAATTAATTCATATTGTTAGTTATTATATATACACGAGTTTCACTATCATATCACGTCTGTGACAACAGGTTCCGTTTCTTCATTTTTCTGCTCTTTCCTTTTTGTCATCATCCCCGCCCATGGGATTTCCTTGATTCAGTGATTTGGAATTAAGAATATATGTAAACCTTTTGTATTTTATATTATATCTATTATTTCATTTATGTTATATTATTTAATTGCCGCTAATGTTGCAAAACTTTGGCAATCAGCTAACTTTGTACATCTATGTTATTATTTGAAATAAATCGATAACATGAAAAAAAAAAAAAAAAATTTAGGCCCATTCATTATCTCCAAGAAAAGTATATATAATGCACGGTGTACAGGTGTATAATGATAATTATGTAGTTTATACAACAAAAGTTTTCTTTAGACAACCTATTACTTGAAATCCCAGAACGTTTCTAATCCCGATTCGGTTCTTTTATCAACTGTAATATAAAAAACTGGGATTCGTCAAATAATAAAGGTTGTGTATAGATTAAAACTGTTTTTGCGATTTATGTAGAAATATTTTAGTACCCCGGACAACCACTGTCTAAAATGGGCCTTAAATTCTTGATTTTAAATAAAGATAATCAGAGTATCTGTCCATGGTACTATGGTATGAAATACGTATGAAGGATAAAAATGTACGTTTTTCTCCGTTTATCTTGTGGTCACGCCCAGTGATCGGAAGAATGAACGGACGGGTGAGTAACCGATTTCTTAAAGAAAATTAAACAAATCTTCAAGATTTACTTTCAAGAGAAAGTTTAATGGGCTCGTGAAAAAATAAACCTTGCAGATTTGTTGAATTCTCTTGTAGAAATCTGTTACTCCCCCCCCCCCTTCGTTCATTTTTTCGATTCTGACTGGGCCTGATGGTGCCACTAATTGATATAGGCTATGGAATGATTTAGAACATGAACTTAACCAGACAGTCTGATATTGTGACAACGTGTTACCTGAGGCAAAATATGAGAAGTTTGAATATAATTCATTCTTATAATTTCCATAATTCATTTGATTAACTGCAAGGCCAAATACCCTAAGAATCATGACTGTTTGGAGTTTCTTGCTAATATCCCCATGGCATGGGTGTTTATCTGATCGTGCAAAAAATGAAATTTTTTATTATTTTTTTATATTATTGTGGGCCTAGAAATTTTTTTTAGTGCCACAAAAATTTTGTAGGGCCTCAAAAAAAGGGTTTCAGGCCTTTTTTATGCCAAATTATCAAAAAACATCGTTTTTTCAAATATTGTTTGCCCCTCCCCCCCCCCCCCCCCCCCCCCCCCCTTAGTTCACGGCGTTACTCAACGTCGGCGCTTTGTGTGGCCCGTTGAAGAGGGGAATATAAATCTTTCAAAGGAGATGGGCGTTAAAGCCACATGATAAACGTATGTCCTAAATCCGAATACTAGTAGGCATTCACTAACTATCAAGGGCGTAAGCGGCGGCATGATCAAAAATTTTAGGCGAAACTACAGAGGCGTAGCCAGCTTTCAGTCAGGGTGGGGTAGGTGCGATCGCCCGAATACTTAGGTTTTAGTCGAGGGGGTGTGATTGTGGCATAAATTGTGGCGATCGCACACCCCCGGCCTCCCCCTGGCTACGCCTCCGAATGAGTTGCATTGTCTCTGCGATAACACTATTTTGGGACTTTATTTCATCCTTTTTGTTCGGAACGTGCGAATAAATATATTTTTGACTTTTTTTTAGCGAGGCAGTCGAAATGTATACCTCATATCTGGCTACGCTCCATGCCTCCAATAGTTTTAAACTTTCCAATTTCCCGCCGTGTAAGTTTATTATTCTGCTACACCACTCCGCGTTGTCATCAGTATAGAGCTGTATAGGGAAATGCAAGATAAGACTTTTGATGGAAGTGTGAAATCACAAACTCACAAAAGCACCATAAATCTACACATTTCTGCTGAATATATTCATAATGATAAATACCGCACCGTCCAGATGAATCATATCACTGAGCTCGTTTAAATTCACATATGAATGACAGGGCACTGGTGTAGATCTAAAACCGGTTTAGCGAAATCGGAGGGAAATATATGTTCTCGATTTTGTGACTTCAAATATTTATCTTATACTCGTTTACGACTACTGTTGTGATATGGAGAATCATTTGATCAATTATTATAGTCAATGGAATGATTTTATTATTAAAGTAATGGAAATTGATAAATGCATGTGGAATAGTGATCGATACTTTGTATAATTAAAATTGAACGTGAATGTACATTTACCCTTTGCAGCCACATTCAAAGTTCAAGGTCAGTGCTGATTTGGAAAAGTAATGGTAAGTTCATTTTTTATAATAATTCTATGTTTACTGTGCTTAGATAGTGTACTTGTTGACCATTCAAAGATAATATACTTTATTTGATAACGTGCGAATGATGTGGGATGTAACAACTCAGTTCGCTTCAGAATTTCAAAGTAAATGACAAGTTTTTGAAACCAAAATAAACTGAGATTTTGGAATGTCAGCACGTCCTTGCAAATGTTGAAGGTCAATAGATACAACTCTAGACTAAGTAGATAATTAATGTATATGTCCTTGTTGATATTTATTGATTGGTTTGGAACTAGCGTGAAGATCAGTAAAGGTATAGATCAGCATGAATGAAGATGGTCCAACCCCTAGACTGTATCCTTCGTCTGAATAAATTCAGACTGTAAGTCACCTATTGTAAAATGTGGTGTTGTATAAATGTTACAAATAAGTTTGTTTAATGATAAAATGATTACCTTATAAAGAACTTACAATATTATTTTTTCGTATATTGTCCTCTTACTGAAGATATTGGTAAAATGTACAGACGCTTCTTGTAGCGAAGCCATTGATTAGGTCAAGCCATTTTGGCAATGCCAATTCTCACGATAAACGAGATTTAGCCAGTGACGTCAGTCTATTTGTAAACAAATAACACGTGGAGCGGACGGACCAACATTACGGAAGCGTATTGATAAATTCCATTTGTGCGGGAATTTATTAGATCTAGTCATTTATTATCATTATCCCGATCAATCTCGTCATTTATAGTAAATAGAGCGGAAATATTCATGAAGAAGGCCGAGGTAATCAAGTGGTCATGTGTTGTCAAAGTTCAAAAATTTGCATATCTCGTTTGGATCTCGTGAACTCAAAACGTCCTTGACATTGATTTCGCGATCTACTTATGAACACATCCTGAACTTTTGGTGAGTCTGAACATTTCATTATTAGGAGGCCCCATCGGGGGCCTCCTATCAATTTTGTAGATATTATTAGGAGGCCCCATCGGGGGGCCTCCTATCAATTTTGTAGATATTATTATTCTTTATTCTTTATTAGACTCCAGATGAAAATCTGGAGTCTATTGCTTTCGTCAGTTTTCTTTATTATTATTATTATTCTTTCAGAATCTTCCTCCTTCCCAGATTTCTCACCAACTAAAAGAATTTACTTTAAGCTGCTTACATGATCAACTAGGGGCAGTTCCTGGGATGATGGGAAATTAGGTCAAATTTTTATCTAGGTCAAGGGTCAAGAACTAGGTCAAATCAAGGTCAAACCAACATTCTGTCAATTATCTTCGTTGTTGTTTGTCGTAACTACTTCATCTTAGTTTCTACATGTAGCTTAGAAAAAAACAAATCGAGAGTGTGCCATCCGTTTTTTGATTACTCTTCGCGATTTTGAGATATGGCGTCCTGAAAGTAGGTCAAAACCAAAAAGTTCTCCAAATTTAACATATGAGCTATGAAATAAGGGTAGAATTTTCTCAGGAATCCGAATCTGCAAACCAAATTTTGATCCGACTTCCCGTTCGGAAGTTATGGCGTTTTGAAAGCTCAAAAATCGCTAAATTTGGTGCCCATGTTAAGTCAATGAGAAAAAAGATTTTTTTGAAGTGAAAAATACGAAATATAGACTGAGTTCAGCTAAATATAATGAAAGCTTTTAAAAGAAGGGGACCTCATAAGCCATCTAGCTTCAAAATTTGGACACCAAAATGCCTAGGTCAAAATCTAGGTCAAATTCAAAGTTTTTCCTTATTTTTGCGATTCTGACACAACAGATTAATTATATTCTTCGAAATTTTGTATACATGTAGCTTAGAGTCTGCTAATAGTGTTAGCCTTTTGCCGTCAGAAAGTATTTTGCCCCATTTTTGAGATATGGTGTCCGAAAAGTAGGTCAAAATAAAAAATTCTCAAAATTTGACGTTTGAGTTATGAATTAAATATAGAATTTTCTCAGGAATCCGAATTTGCAAACCAAATTTCGATCCGACTTCCGGTTTGGAAGTTATGGCGTGTCCAAAAAGTAGGTCAAAATAAAAAATTTCCAAATTTAACGTATGAGCTATGAATTAAGGATAGAATTTTCTCAGGAATCCGAATCTGCAAACCAAATTTCGATCCGACTTCCGGTTCGGAAGTTATGGCGTTTTGAAAGCTCAAAAATCGCTAAATTTGGTGCCCCATGTTATGTCAATGGGAAAAAATATTTTTTTGAAGTGTAAAATACGAGATATAGACTAAGTACAGCTAAACATAATGGAAGCCCATAAAAGAAGGGGACCTCAAAACCTTCTAATCTTGAAAATTTGGACAACAAAATGCCTAGGTCAAAATCTAGGTCAAATTCGAAGCTTTTCCTTATTTTTGCGATTCTGACACTACACTTTAATTATATTCTTCGAAATTGTGTATACATGTAGCCAAGAGTGTGCTAATAGTGTTAGCCTTTTGCCGTCAAAAAGTATTTTGACCCACTTTTGAGATATGGTGTCCCAAAAGTAGGTCAAAATAAAAAAATCTTCAAATGTAACGTATGAGTTATTAATAAGGGGTAGAATTTTATCAAGAATCCGAATCTGCAAATCAAATTTTGATTCGACCTCCTGTTTGGAAGTTATGGTGTTTTGAAAGCTCAAAAATCGTTAAATTTGCTGCCCCATGTTATGTCAATGGGAAAAAAGATTTTTTTGAAGTGTAAAATACGAGATATAGACTGAGTACAGCTTAATATAATGAAAGCCTATTAAAGAAGGGGCCCTCAAAGGCTACTTAGCTCCAAAATTTGGACACCAAAATGCCTAGGTCAAAATCTAGGTCAAATTTATAGTTTTCCCTTATTTTTGCGATTCTGACACTATATTTAAATGATTTGCTTTAAAATTTTGTATACAGGTAGCAAAGAGTAGGCTAATAGTGTTAGCGTTTTGCCGTCAGAAAGTATTTTGACCCACTTTTGAGATATGGTGTCCGAAAAGTAGGCCAAAGTTAAAAGTTTTCCAAATTTAACGTATGAGTTATGAATTAAGGGTAGAATTTTCTCAGAAATCTAGATCTGCAAACCAAATTTCGATCCGACTACTTGTTCTGAAGTTATGGCGTTTTGAAATCTCAAAAATCGCTAAATTTGGTGCCCAATGTTAAATCAATGGGACCGAATAATTTTTTGAAGTATAAAAATACGAGATATAGAATGAGTACAGCTAAACATAATGAAAGCCCATAGAAGAAGGGGACCTCAAAAGCTACTTTCCTTCAAAGTTTGGACACCAAAATACCTATTTCAAAATCTAGGTCAAATTCATAGTTTTTTTTATTTTGCGATTCTGACACTACACTTCAATGATATTCTCCGAAATTTTGTAAACTTGTAGCAAAGAGTGTGCTAATAATGTTAACATTTTGCCGTCAATAAGTTTTTGACCCACTTTTGAGATATGGTGTCCGAAATGTAGGTCAAAATAAAAAGTTCTCCAATTTTAAAGTATGAGTTATGAATTAGGGGTAGAATTTCCTCAGGAATCTGGATCTGAAATTAAAATTGCAATCCGACCCCCGGTTTAGATTCTACGTCATTTTGAAGTTGAAATTCGCACTTGCCAGTATTCACGATGCAGATTGATCAAATATACTTTCAAAAATTCCTGCATACCCTACTTTACCTCTCTACCTACTCAGCTACTTATTTGACTACTTACTCAATTACTTAATTAGTTATTACTTCCTTAGCAACTTACTCAGCTACTAACTCAGGTACTTACTCAGCTACCTACTCAGCTTTTTACTCAGTTACTTACTCAGCTACTTACTCAACTACTACTAAGGTACTTACTCAGCTAATTACTCAGTTACTTACTCAGCTCTTTACTGATCTATCTAGGTCAAATAAATCTGGAGTCTTAAATTGAACTTGTTCAATTTCACAAATCTAGTTATTATTATTATTTATTCTTCCTCCCCCTTTTTCTCCTACTTCCGACTAGCTTTCAACTAGCTTCTACATAGTCCTACTAGGGACTTGGGTTGAACTTGGCAGGAAAGGAATTTTTATCTAGGTCAAGGTCAAAGGTCAAAATCTAGGTCAAATCTAAGTTTTTTTCAAGTTTCTCAAATCCTGACACTACACTTCAATATTATTGGCTGAATTTTTGCACACAGATAGATATTAGTATTCTATTAGTCTTAGCCTTTTGCCGTCTAGAGAAATTTTGCCTAGATTTTGAGATATTGAAGGTCAAAAAAAGGTCAAAAAAGGTCTTTTTTCAACTTGCTTCAAATTGACCAAATTTTTTTTTAAAACTCATCTACAAGTTCTCAGGATTCCAAATCTGACCTAACTTTTGACCTTTGACCTTTGGTTGACCTTCAGTGACCTCCGAAAGGTCAAAAAAGTTGATTTTTCAAATCGATTTTCTGGATTCAAATTTAGGTATATTTATTCACAAAAGATCTTCTGAGGTCTAAAAAAGTAAAATTTGCAAGGTCAAAGGTCAAGGTCATCAAACGAAATCACAAACTGTGTTTTCTAAGTTTCTCAAAATTGGAGACTACAAATCAATTTTTTTCACTGAAAGTCAGAATATATATTCCTCTAAAGGGTCTACACATATTAGCAATTGACTATTTATTAAAATTTTGCTCCAGTTTTGAGATATTAGAACTCAAAAACTGAAAAAAGGTCAAATTTCAAAAATTTTCAAGGTCAAATTTCAACTTGCTCTAAATTGACCAAACTTTTTTTTAAAAAGCATCAACAAGATCTCAGGAACTCAAATCTGACCTTAGTTTTGAACTATGACCTTTAGTTGACCTTCAGTGACCTTCGAAAGGTCAAAAAAGTTAATTTTTCAAATTGATTTTCTGGATTCAAATTTAGGTTTCTTCAATCAGAAAAGATATACTGAGGTCTAAAAAAGTAAAACCTGTAAGGTCAAAGGTCAAGGTCATCAAACAAGATCACAAACTGTGTTTTCTAAGTTTCTCAAAGTTTGTGACTACAAATCAATATTTTTG